ACTTCCCCCACCCCTTTGGATAATACTGAAACAAACAATCATCCTTTGTATGATTAATCTCTTTAAATTATTATTATGACCTGTTTCTGAAGCCAGGTATTGATAAGATAAATTAGTGTAGCTGCTGGCTTTCAAGTTGCTTCTGTTTCCAGCAAAAGAGCCTAAAAAATGACATTACAAAATGTTATTGCTTATTCGCAGTTCTATATCACATGCTAGCAGGAGGGAAGAGACATAAATGTTGTTTTTTGCTTCTTCACAGATGGCTGGGCCTGCAGAATCAATGTGTAATCTAGGGATAAAATTGGACTGTTTCTAGCAAAAGGAACAATTCTTATCATCTAATATACAGCATCCCTGTATCCAAGTTGGGACATTACAGTCTAGATGAATGAAGTACCAGATCAGTGACAAATGCAACTGAATTAAAATAATATTAGTTCATACTACTGGCATTGCGTGTCACCTGGCATTACAAGTGAAGGTCCTTGAGAGTCTATCCATTTATTAGATGTGGAGGACAGGTAGGAATACATTCTTATCCAATGTGGCTTACCACATCTGGTTTTGGACCTCCAGGATGTTGAAAAACTTGAGTAAATCCAGGAGAGCTGCTACGGTAGTCAGGAGCTAGTTAGCATCCTGTGAGGGGAATGAATTGGTATTGCTTAGCCTGGAGAAGAAATTAGTTGCAGTCTTGCAATACTTAAAATGTTACTAAAAGGATAGACTCTGGCATTTTACAGAGATGCATGGCAGGAGAATGAGAGAGAATGATAATAAAATACCACAAGGGATGTTCTGACCAGATGTAAAGGTGAGGGTGGGAAGGAATTACTGTGGGAATAATTAAGCACTGGATGAGATCTACCAGAAATTCTGCAATTTTTGTCCTTGGAAGTTTTCATGTTTCAACTAGACAAAGTCCAAAGCAACTTAGTCTAGTCATTTTGGAGCTGACCCTACTTCAGAGAGGAGGTTGGTCCAAATGACCTTCCAACCTGAAGAATTTCTTGATTCTGGGTATTGATCCTCCAGTCTGACCATCATATAGTAATTTATAAGTTAACTGTAGTCAAATAAGCAGTCAGCAGTCAAAGTGCACATAATAGCTGATTATTTGAATAAGTTAATACTATAGTTGTTTCTCTTCTGGTGTACAGCAATATTTTAGAAAACTCAGTGGAATTGGATTCATAATTCTTTTCTAATAAAAAGGAAGCGAGACACAGTCATGCTCTTTTGGATATGTTGATTTTTGCAATGAAAGAAAAACATGTGCTTGTGTCACTAAAGTAAGCAAATGTGAATCAGATTTTGTCTAGGAAGCATAAAATGAGAGAAAAATACTTGGTTTGCTGTTCTGTCATTTATCTATGCAAGATGGGGAAATCTCCCTGCTTGAAAGACCACAACTGCGTTTTAGGTTTGTTCAACAAAGTGCCCCCTCTAGGATAATCATTTGTAATTGGGAAAGAAAATTTTTTTTTTTTTTTCATTTGGAAAATTTTTTGCTTGACTAGCAACAAGGCTCCTGGGTCACTAAGCAATAGTGTTCTGCTCTAATTAACTTCAACGTATTTACATTTCTGACTTAGGCCTTTGGTAGTATTTTTTTCCAAATTATTTAAATTTGATATCCAGCTCTCCTGGAAAACAGAACAGTTTATAGAATGTTTATATGTAAAAATTGAATTTGAAAATAACTGCTTCATGTAACAACCTTAAGGTTTTTCTTAAACAAGAATTAATTGGCAGCAAAGGACAAGAATTATTTTTTACCCTGATCTTATCTGTCTCCCCTCCCCACAATTAAATTTGTTCTCTTTTTACATTAACTAAAAATATAGTCAAATGGCAATTTGAGAAAATATCGTCTCAAGCTCCCAATTCTGCCTACATCATAGACAAAAATAAACGTGTAACTAGAATGTGATGTATAATGCATGCAGTCCAGACAGTAGAAACATATCTAGGTTTCTCCAAATCTGTGAGGAGTGAAAGAAAAAGAAACCCAAATGACTCTGTGTTACTGAGTACATCATGCTCATTTGGGCAAAAATGTGCATGTTTGGTGGTAATATTTCCAGGTATTCTTAATATTACTATCATTAGCAATTTCTGCTGGGTGATCTATCAATACACAGGTCCTGCATCAGAGGGTTCTTTCAGGAACATGGAACAAAGATTGGCGCTGCCTCCTAAACAAATTTGCATGTTTCTTTCAAATAGTAAGTTGTTTAGGAGGAGGAAGAGAGCAACATTTTTTAGATGCATATAATTTTCAACTTTTTTGGATTTTCTCCTATTTTAAAGTCACTTCCTGTATGTTGTGAGACAATAGGTTTTTCTCCAGATAGTTCCTAGATCCAGGTTCCTTTTGAACTACCCTCCTGAAGGACACTTAATGTACTGTTCTCCCACTCTCATCTTCACACTTTCTTATATGCCGTTCCTTATGCTTAGAAATTCTTATTCTCCATGCCAAATATCCACCCACTCCACATTCACATTCTTCATTTAAACTGCATTTCCTTAAAGTCTATCAAAAATAATCTGCAAGTTAAGAATTATACCAACTCTGCCAAGAGATCTGACAGACTTCTGATCATCAGATTTGCTACTGCAGGCTAAATTCTTTAACTTGTGCATAATACAGAATAAAGCAAGGCCTAATTTTTCCTTAATACCACACGTACTATCTTTTTCACCATATATATGTATATTTTAAAGTACCCCAAAGTTCAGCCCAGCTGGTTTCCTAGAGACCATCTGGCTGAGCTCTGCTGCTTGTTGCCTTGTTCTTGTCATTCTAGCTGAAAGCCCACTGATGGAAAAAACATGAAGTCAGTAAGAAGTAGGATGAGGTAAAATCTTTGTTGCAGGTTAACTGAACTTACGGAAACAACCATCTATGAATTGTAGAGTGGCAGGGTTTTTTCATATTGTTGGGGGTTCTTTTGTTCGAATTTGTTTGGGAGGGCTGATGTAGAGGTTTTTTACACAAAACAAGGGAAAGAACTGCTGAAACAATAAAAGTAAATTCATTTAGGAATGATTAATGGAAATTTAAAATGCAAGACACATATCTAATAACTTCTGGATGGTAAGATCTGTTAGGCAGTTATGACTATTTAGTGACATCTGGCATCCTTGTGCACTTCGTTCTTCACAAGTAGCGAAGATTGGTTATGTGGCTTTGAAAGACAATTTCCTGTAAGGTAAAGGATCTACCATAATTAAAATTTTAAATGTCTGACTGGTTCACTGTTGGAGAGCTTTCTCTAGGGATTTGAGCATAAGCCTTTAGTAAGCTCAGTGAAATATATAAGTGGCTTTCACTATTATGCTTTGAAAGATTGAACATATGGCTTTAAATTCACTTCAAATTCGTTTACTTCCTGAAGAAGGTTCCTTGCTTTTGGCTAAGAAATATGCACAAGTGCTTGGAGAGCAATAAAAAACCAAAACAGACTGTGTAGGTACCATAAAAAAAAGCAAATGGAAAAAAAAAATCCATCTGCCTTTGGTTCTTCTGCTACAGCTGTCCTGTTGTCTCCAGCACAGGATGTGGGGAGTGCCAGGTTATTGCAAAGGCATGACTGGGGAGAAGCCTCTGCTGCAAGAATCTCACAGATCTACCCTTTCCCATAACTACCTTTGACTGTCCTTTACATATGAGAGCTGGGTTCATCTTAGACACATACTTAACCAGATAAAATTATGTTACTGGAGTTTTGACTTAAGCCAATTTGCTCAAAGAAAGCCCCAGAATGAATAAAAACTACAAATGAACCAGAATGTATTTTTTGTGAACTTGTATACAATTCTTAAAACTATTTGTTTTTGCAGGGAGGTAATGCTACTTATAACCTCATTTCCTTAAATTCTTTTTATTGCTAAATAAAAACAAAAACTGAAAACAAAGACCTTGCATCCAAAACAGAATGATTTATAAAAGTTTGATTCATGCAATATTAACTCCTAATTGCCCCTAAAATAAATGGTATCAGGAAACTTTCAGGCTGCCTAAAATACACTTACCTTAAAAACTTTTTTTAATCTGGGTCTAGTAGTCTGAAAAGTTAGTGAAATACTGCTTCTCAGTATTTCTAAAATACGCACATTCTTCAGTTGTTTGTTGATTGTCTGAAGCATAAAATTCAGCCTAGTATTCTTGAAAAAAAAAAAAAAAAAAAGCCACTCCTCCAGTTGCAAGAGAAGTAAACCTAAACACTGACTGCTAACAAAGCAAAAATTGTAATTATTTCTAAAACAAATGAAACTGGCTGATAATACTTAATAGCAAAAATTGCTATTTTCAGATATAGTTGTGATCTTTTAGTTAGTCTTAAATTTCCATTTAACTATGTTAAAATAATTGTGAGTGAAGTGGAGTCCAATTGATTTTTCTCTTAATGTATATGGGCAAAGTTAAGTGCATAACACCAGGAAAACATTATTCATTAAACTCTGTGGGATTTGGTTATTAGATTTCTTTAAACTCTGATATAAAATTTTAGATACATAACCAAACCAAATGCATTGTTGTAGGAGTTGGTCATGTTGGTAATGGATCAGCATCACCTCTCACCTCCAGACTTCTTGTTTTGCATTCTCAGTAGAGTGTCATAACTAGCCATTACTAGAGACATTCTCCCAAATGTTCCCAATCATATCAGGCTGGACATGCATCAAAAGAACATTTTACTTTCTCTCTGACCTAACTTTTTCTTTCTCTCATTCAAGCAGTTTATTGGAAAACATCAAGTTTTATGTGTTCCTGAGCTATGAGGAAAACAGAGTGGAAAAGGAGATTCTTTCCTGTTGTGCTGCTCCGTAAAGCAAGTTCTATATGGGTAGCTTGTAGTCCTGAGGAAGACTATACCCACTGAGTTGACACACAGTTTTTCTAAAAGCTGAGGGACATTTGCTGTATTCTTCTTACGTTTTTGTTAGTTTGTGGTTTTTTTGTTTTTTTTTTTTTTTTTAATATTTTTGTTACAGAATTATTCACATTCATCCCTTGTCTCTGATGTTGCAGCCTGGAAGTGTTCTGGTTGTCAAGAAATGTAAGTTGCTCAGGAATTAATATCAGTGCTCAGAAACTAATCTCAGTACTTCTCAGAATGAAAACAGATGCTTTGAATTCACACAGCAGTTGCATACACTTTGCATGCTCCAGGTGTACTGTTCTGTATCTTATAAACAGAAACATGACTTTGTCTTCCAGATTTCACTTCATATGGATATTAATGTAGGTAGAATTCAGATCATTACAGTTATTGCAGAGATGCCTTACATTAGGCATAGAATCATAGAATGGTTTGGGTTAGAAAGGACTTAAAAAATCATCTAGTTCCAACCCCTCAGCTTGTCCAAGAGCTCCTTGTCCATCCATGCCAGCCTCCTGGAGTTCTTACCTGACATCCTCTTTGTCAGGATGCATCGTTTCTGAGCTTGGAGGAGGTGATCCTTGAATATTAAACAGATTTTTTTAGGCCCCTCTTCCCTCTAGCGATGTATCCCATGTTACTCTTCCAGGCAGATCCCTGAAGAAGCCAAAGTCTGCTCTCCTGGAATCCAGGGTAGTGAGCTTGCTGTATGCCCTCCTCACTGCCGTGAGCATCTTAAACTCCCCCATTTCATTTTCTCTGCAGCCAAAGCTACACTTGAGCTTCACACTCCCCTTCAGCCCCTCCTTGTTGGTGAGAGTAAGGTCCAGTCCTGGGGCCATGACTATGTGTTTTGGTAAACTGACTGACTGAGACAATCTCTTAATATCTTGCAAGCTTAAGTATTTAATATGAGAAACTACTGTCTTGTCAAAAAAATCAGATGTAGTAGAAAAAGTAAATTTTTTTCTATGTTGCAGGCAATGAAGAAAGTGTTTTCCAATTTCCACGTACTATCTCTTGTCACACAGGGTAAGAATGTAAATGAGTCAGTTTTAGTTGGGATTTAGTTTTGGTTTGTTGTTGTTTTTTTTTTTTTTTCTTTTCTAGTGACTGTTTCTATTATACACAAATTTTGAAGTCCTAGGGCAAAATATTGAAGGTTTTCTATTAAGATATTCTGGACCTGGTTTTATAGGTTTGATTTGTTTTGTTGGGATTTTTAAATTTTTTTGAGATAGCTAATGTATGACAACAAACTTTGTGTATCTTAAATACTGTAACCATGCTTTGTATTGGAACTTATTATGTGGTACAAACATAAGAAAAACACACATTTTTTTCATGCTTGGTTTGAATGAAATAAGGTTAGAGTTTTTTAAGTACTTCAGAGCTGCAAAACCTAATTCAAAATCCTACATGAAGTCCATATGCTTTTGCAGCTATACAAAAGGAGTGCAAAAAGATACCTTTCTAATATGGTAATGTTTTACAACCACTTTGCAGAACAAAGAAAAGAGTTACAAAAAGCAGTTCAGAATTGTGCAGTTCAGCTTTGCTTATGAGTATGCAACTCACATTAATAAATGAGAGTTACTTGACTTGACCACAGGCAGTATGAGGTCAAGAAATATTAATAAAATGCTTTCTTAACTGTTTATTTCTGGGGTTTTTTATATATCCTTGTTGTGACGTGACAGAGCGTTTGGGGTGAACTGCCAAGCTATCAGCGGAGATGGAGTAAAGCACCTTTATCTACGCCTTCCCTAACAGGGTACTCAGCTGTGACTCAGAGAGGGTAAGTTAACTGATTATACTTAGCTTTTTCTACTATGGTAAAATGAGTTGCTGAGAGAACACACTGAAAGCCGAGGGCCTCTAAATACTTTTCCCTTTTATGGAATAGAGATCCCAGATCACCATTTCCTGGAGATTGTACTCTAAGCCTACACAGTGGTAAAAGAAAGTTCTCTGCATTCACTGATCTATATCTAACTACAAATTTGAGTTCAAGGGATCATTTTTTTCCTAACTATTTTAAGCAGTAAGTTTACAATAACAGACCAAAATGTTAAAAAATACTCCATCCTCTTTCCTTTTTTCTTATTCTTGTATTTTTCTCTTTACATTGTCTCATCTTAGTGTGGGAATAAGCAGTATCTGGTGAATAGGTTAGGTAATTTGTTTTGTTTCTAACTCATTTTGTAGGTGCAAAAGGCTCGTGCAGACTAAGATTGTAGATTTTCGCCCACATCCACTCTTCTTGTGACATGTGAGTTAATTTCTACAAGAATTTAATCTTAAAAGGTAATTTGCTCTTGCAGTTTCTAAAAGACTGGAATTTTGAGGGACAATCATTTACTCTGCTAAAACACCTTAATAATCTCATTGCATCCTTTGATAGGATAAAGGTATTCCAGACAAAGTTGGATCAATGCCTGGCAAAAAGAAATAACAGAATCTTGAAATTATCTTGGTGACTAAGATACTAACATGTGCTTACGAACCTTGACTGTTTTCAAAGTGCAGATGCATTTTTTTATCTATCCATTCAGTATCTTTAGAGACAATAATTACAGTTGTTTCAGTTGGTATCTATCTCACTATTGCATTTATTGTTAACATATCATTTCCTTCTTTGACTGAAACATGCTGATGTTTGTGGAAAGGAGATAAAGCTGGCAAAGCTAATGGCAGCATGATTCCAAAGGCTATTCAGCTGGCAGATGTGCCAGGCTTAGGATCAGTACAGTCATACTCTCTGCACTTTGGTTAAGGGTTCAGTAAGGCTGTAAGTTGGTTTTGTAGATAGAGATTCTAATTTCTTCAGGTTCCAAGGCTGTACTCCTCCCTAATGCTCTATGGAAGAATTAAAAAATACATCTTCCAGGGAAATAAATTTTCCAAGGACATTTCTTTCTTTTCTTCCTACATTTGCGAGATGCAGATAAGCTCCGCTAATTGTTCTTAGGGTGTTCTCGTGAAGCCCCTTTTTTTCTATATGTTTTGACTCTCACTGACATTTACTGGGGCTATTTTCATTGCCCAATCAAATAGGCATAAGGTCACTTCAGCAGTGATGGTAGAAGAACATTTATTCACTAGTATCTTAAGGTTCTGTAATTTCTAAACCTTCACCTTTCCTACTAATATCAGAAGGCAGTAAATGGCAGAACTCCTCGCAGAGCATGGAGCAAGATGGTGGTTCCATTGGTTATATCCATTCACATTTATAGGATGTGATGTTTGTGCTGGTTAAGCATGGTTAAGCATTATAAAGTCTTTAAAGGATCTGGACCACTGATTTTAAGAACCCCACATAGGTTAAAAATAAGCTTTCAAACTTAAAAAAAAAATAAAAAAAATTCAGGAGTTCTGAATGATATAGCTTATGAATTGGACTATGTCCTTATATATTTTGTTGAAATACCAGTAAGTAGTAGCCCTTACTTTGGCACCGTAGAGGATTGCAGCAGTTCAGTCAAGGTTTTCAAAGACTGTAATCGTTTTAAGATTCAGAATGTGAACAATAATACACAAGCTTTCACTGCTCCAATACAGTCCTCAGCACTGGGGTTTTCTGGAGAGATATTAGAAAAAAATGAAAAGTCAGAAGAAGAAATTTTCCTACTGATCAGCAGCACAAAGATTTGGAGTTTTTTTCTATTTCCATATTTTCCTATTTCCATATTTTCCTCTATAATGAAGTCAGAATAAGGTTCTAATTGTGTCAGAGACGGACTGAACTCAGTTCACTCCAAATCTGGGGGGTTGTTAAGGTGGTGTAAATTCATATTTCTACCCTCCGTTCTCCCTTGGCTGTACTTTCTGTGCTGCATCTCTAAGACAACACATCTCAGGATTTGTCCCTTTCTATTCTTAGACAAGCCTGCTGACTTTTTTTTTTCTTTTGAAGTTTTTTTGCTTTTTAAATCTGAAAAATGAACTGAAATGTGATGAGCTTAATAGCTCGTTCTTGTTTCAATATGACTTGCATTACTTTAAGTTTGGTATGTACTCGGAACTCATTTAACACTGGGAATAAAACACTTCGGTGCAATAGCTTATAAAACTCCATGTAGGACTGCAAATACAATTTGGCCATGACTTGAAACATTCCTTATTTTTCAGGCCTAGCATTCTGTTGGGTTGAACCTATCAGAACCATTATAAATTCATAAGACAAACATTAAGAAGGATTAGATAAACAGCCAAATTTCTATCTTCTCTTCTTTGTTTTTGTTTGAATTTGACTTCTTGCAAACTCAGAGATTGCGTAGGAGAATGAGACGAAAAGCAAGTCCATGTCACTTTTTTTGGTTCTCGCTTCTATCTCATCTTCATGTGTTGTTAATAGTTGGTGACTGTTGTTTGATACAGAAATACTTAACTGTTGAAACACAGAGATGTTGAATGCTACTTCTGTCTGCCTAATCTCTGTGGGTTTATTAAAATGTATGTAATCATAAATATCTGTTTTCCATCACATTAGGGACTTTAAAGATATATTGCCTTAATAAACATTTTTAAATCTTTTTATTCATAGGAAGCTTCCTCTACTCTTATTTGAAATCAGGGGTGGGTAAAATCATGATACAAGCATGAGCTTCCACTTACTGCAATAGAGCTAGAAATTCACCCATAACAGGTTCAAAATGCCTACAAAATCTTGAAGCATGCTGTTCCTTTAGCATATACTGCTCTGAAAAAAAATATGTTTACTGTTTAGAAAAAGACTTTACTTTGGTCTTTATACTGAAGTCATATATGCTGCATCTTTTCCACAGTCTTTATCAAAGAATTTCCATGAAATAATTATTTTTTCAGAACACACGAATACTTGTATAGAGATCATTTTTACATTCTATTAGTTCTGCATTAATTTTCATGTGTGGTGGACTTGTACTCATCTTCTTGTAAAAGAGAAAATTAAGTTTCCAATATAATGTGAAATAAATCTAATAAAAGCATGAGTCTTAGCTGCTTCTCTAGTCCATAATTTTCACACATTCTGTAGGTTTTACAACACAGCATTTTTCCTGTGAAAACTGAGGTGAGGAACTTGACGCTATTGATGTTGCTTCAGTATTTCCTATGAATGGTTTTGTCTCTTTTCTTTTTTATTCATCTTTATTTTTTTTTAATCAACATAAGTATTTTGACATTTTGTCAGCCTCAATAAACAGACATGTTCCTGCATACATTTCTTTGACCTTCCCTGAAATGGGAGGGAAAACTGTAGAAGGTTAATTTTACAACATTGCTAAGTGCCTTGAACTTCAAATCATCTCCCCATGTCAACGTCTTTGTTCCATCTATCTTGATTTCCAGAAGAGTAAAAGAATTGAGATGAGAGTAGTAATGCACGTGTTTTGAAGGTTGAACCAATGCTTGTGGTATATATTTATCTCCTTGGCACACTACTGAAGTTGTTATAATACTGTTGGAGTATATAGCTCCATTCTATGCACAATTGTGAATTAACTATGAAGGGATTATAGTTACCTCTTATAGTCCAGACAGAAACAGTGTACCAGATTGTCTCTGATAACTGCATTGTCTGTCATCTGTAGGCACCACCAAGGAGTCGAATGATTTATGAGGACTGTTCCTTAACTATCCGGTAGGTGTCATAGTAAGTCTTGTAATATATACACTGTAGCTATAAAGATTAGTACTTAATATTTCTCATCTTCAGACTACTGTACAGATTTTAATGCTAATAATATCCTTGTGAAGGCAGTAGCTGCTGTTGATAGTAATAACAAGAATATTCTCAACTAATAGGCAGTGATTTTTTTTTTTCCTTTTGGGCATTACAGCTACTTTGCTTTGGAAAGTGTCTCACACAGTGCTGTTTTGCACAGATGTACACCAAGTCTTTGCACCATTCATGTAGGCCTTGCTCTTGCTCAAAAGAAGAGTGCCACCATCTGGGTTTCCAGTTTTACTCCTTTTTTGGGGGATCTGAAATCATGATCTGTAGCACTAGGATTTTGTTAGTTACTAAACGTTAGTTACAGATATCCAGGATGCTGTTTCATTCTTAGAGGATTTTTAGAGAGGGTAGTTTGGTCACAGCCAAAACAGTCATAATAACAAAAAAAAAAAAAGATAAAATGGAGGGAAGAGATGGAAATAGCAACAAGAATTGTCAGTTTTGAATGCAATTACTAAGTTATACTTGACCTTGAAAGCTTTAGTTAGTCAAGCACAAGATAGCATTTTTAATTTTAAACTAATACTGTTAGCTATTATAAAGTGATCTCTCAGTGTTAGAGCATAGAGTTTTAAACGGATTTGATTTGTATTTTTGGCATCTAACACAGCCTGCAGATCACAAGGTCTCTCAGCGCTTATGCCTTCAGGCTAACTTGAAACAGATATTCTCAGCAGTGCATGGTCCTGTTAGTCCACATTGCAGTTCCACGTGCTTCACACTGTCCAACATGCCAACCTTACCTGAAGACAAGGGACAATCAAAAGAGGCACAATACAACAGTTCTCCTCCAGCCAAAGTAAGCACTCTTACAAAGGTGTTTTCTGACACTTCTTGGAAACCTGAGGCTGAAACTTGTTTATGTGTTTTTAAGAGTTTATAAAATAAAATCTAATCATTGCTATGTATCAGCGTGTTTTGATTAATTGATGAAGCTATGAATGATCTTTCAGTTGATATAGTTAGAATTCTTCAAATATCCTATAAACTAAGGAATGAGAACTGAAGTTGCTCAAGCACTTGTATATCAGTTTGATCTGGAGGCTTATATGTCTGTCTATTCTGAACCATATATATCAAAGCTGTCCAAAAATGTCCTTTGTGATGTTATTACAGAAAACTTCAACCTTTGAGAAAAGAACTTTGGCTTGTAGTCTTGAACCATCTAGTGTTGCATTTACAGATATAGAAGATGCTATGCAATTCATATGTGTGTGAAAGAAGGAAATCTGCTTTTTGGTTTGTAGTCTTTCTCAGTGCTTTATTTGCCACAGCAGTAGATGAACATATACTGGAAGTATACAGAGAGCAGGTGGGTGCTGCCTAGACATATTCATCATTTTACTACTCAGATTTGTGGCATCTGCATGTTTTTACATGTTTTATTTGCAGATAAATTTTTAAAAAATCAACAAGAGATTATACTTCTCACTTTTGAATAATTTATACCACTGATAAAAAGTAATTTTATGTTCTAATAAAGTAGAGGGGTTTTTTTAATTGGTAGTTTAGCTGAAGTACAGAACCTTACTGTGATTACAAAATCACGGGTTATCCAGATCATCCTGTTTTATGCAAACTTCTATAAAGAAAGAGAGGATTTATAATCTGGCACATCCTCAATTAGAAATGTATCACTGTCATTGGATTTGAGGACACTGTATTCTACACTTTAGGTGAAAACATCCGCTACTTTAACACTGTTGGAAAATCTTGTCAGCAGTGAGCCCTACACTGATTTGTCATGCATTCCATCTAAATTGCACATTGTGCTGAATGTTAGTTTCCTGTCTTAAGATAAACACCCCAGATGGATGCAAGTTCATCAGACTATTAGCTGAGAATGTATATTAGGTCAAGAAGATTTCAAATTTTTTTTTTAACTCACCCATAGGGAGAGTATTTTAGTACCAAAGACTTGCTGGGTAAAACATACCCAAAGAGAAAAAAATACGAAAAGCTAACAGACATCAGTGAATCTAATCCTGAGTTTGCTTGTCAAATGGGAGAAATGAAAAATTCCAACCACCTAATCTAAAAAAAAAAAAAAAAAATACTTTTTAATACATTATATAGGCCTTTTAGAGGTAGGTCGTAAATGAACTATGATAATGTGATAGTTTGTGAATCAGTTAACTGTGCAAAATTATTCATTTTAGATAAATTGTTATTTTTAGGCATGAATTAACAGTGGAAAGATTTTAACCAACACACTGCTCATGAACCTACTTAAGTTAAGGATTGCAACTAGCCAATGTTGTAAGAATTTGATCTTGTTCATACCTGTTACCACTCTTGGATCCTGCTGCAGTCCAAGTTCTAGAGTATGACTAAGTAAAATACCTTATCAATGTGAGATAAGGACTTGCAAGCAAGGAGAGGGCATCAGAAGGAACTAACAACTGGTGCACTTGTTTTCTGCCATTGAACAAAACTTTACAAGTCTGGAACCTCATCTTACCTAAAGTACTGTCTAGTATCTAACAGTTTCCTCATTCTGTTTCAGGAGATGCTTTCCCACCTTTTGTCTGCATGCACAAATGCACACACAACAAAATAGTTCTGAGAAAAAGAAAATTAACCCTACATCACATGTAGTTTCTTGCTTGCTTCAAGTATCTTTTACATGATGGGAAGACCTGGGTTATATTTCTCAAATTAATTTTGAGAAAACAAATATGGCTTTCCATTTCAGTATCTTTTACAATAGCCTATGTTCACCGTTATGACTAACTCTCAACATTAATTGAAGTATTCATTAGCTCTGTGTTCCTGAGTGAAGTAGATGTGGAATTCCCATTAACACAGGTGTAAGAGCAGTTAGCCTAATTCAAAGAACTTCAGCCCCTTGTATGAAATGTTGTCTGAATAGAGTATGTAGTTGCACTCTTAGTTTGTGTGCTGTCTTGTTACAGTAAGTATTGAACATTTTAGAAGTGTTGTGTACAGAATCATTTCTCCCACTATAAATCATAGAACTTCATAGTCAAATGTAATTTTTAGTGATTTCCATATTTTATTTTAATTTTATTTATTCCACATAGAATAATATAACATTATAATATGCTTTCACAGATACCATTAAAAAATGATTTCAGGTTTTTAGTATTGAAAATGTAATTTCTGTATGTATAATGCATACCTGCAACAAAGAAAATTAGATCCTAAGTTAAGACTGATAGTAGCCTATAAATCTCCCTACACTTTCACAGTTGGTTGTGAGTTACCATCTTTCCCTCTTTTTAAATCAAAAATACCTATTTCTATTTCCAGCTTCCTCCCCGCTCCACTCCCCTCCCCTCCCCTTCCCTCCCCTCCCCTTCTTTCTCTTCTCTTTGTATCCCGAACACTATTTCACTGGCTCTTCTGACTGCTGAGAAAAAAGCTGTCCCAGATGTTCATGTTTCTTGTACACTGATTATTCCATCATTCAAGTTTCTACGTTTTTTAATTTTTAAACCTATTTAAATTTGTACTGTAGTTTTATCAAATCACTGCATGTTGTCTGTTTTGTTCTGAAGGAGCTGCCCCATGTTTATTTTGTTTTCCTGTCTGTTTCAAAAAGATGCAGTTACAATTGAATTTCATTACCTTACTTGCTAAACCTGAAGCCTAGCACTTCTCTTAAACATCTAAAATTAAGATTATTTAAAACCCCATTTCACTCAGAAGACTGCTCTCTGAGATGCATAACTTTTCTGAGGCCTTTCACATAAGCGTCTGTTTCAGGCCAAATTTGTTCTGAAATTCAGTCCAGACCTTTAATTAATTTATAAGGATATGGCCAGGTGGCAGAGGATTTTTTTTTTTTTTTCCCAATGCTTTAAAGAATTCAGGTGGTATACCGTAAGGCTTTATCATCTGACTGTCCTGGCAGGGTAGCTCTTTTAGCAGAGATATTTTTTTTTTTTTTTTCTCCTTTACTGTTCAAATCCATCCAATTTGACTGGATTACAAAACTTCTAAAACCCCATTTTCTGTATGCTTAGTAAGGGCTTTGTAGAGCTAAGCAGCCAGAATGTCTGCAGGTCATATTCGTCCTGAGTATCCCTGAGCCTCTTTGGTCTTCTGTTACAGACCAAACTGCATGTGCCATCCTCTCAGCCCTGCACAAGCCTCTCTGCAAGACTAGATGGCACATGGTCATCCTTGTAGAGCACATGGATCAGTTCCCACCTGAGCCGTAGAGCCGGAGTCAGTTTTACCCAACATTTTTATGAGAGGAGGGCTTGGGACAAAAAGGAAGCAGCAACTTGGTAGCAAGCAGTCACTTGTACTAGGAGATGAGTCAGCTGTTGGAAATAGCTGAAGAGCAGACGTGTCTGGAAGCTAACATGGAGAGGGCAGTTAGAGGCAGGCAATGGGAGGGTGATAGAAAACTTCTGTATCATCTTTGTGCAGATGTACAACTGTGAGACAACTTAAGCTTCCTATTAAAGCTTCTCTTCCAGGATCTACATATAGCAGCCTGAGTACTCTTCAGAGCATAAAGATTTCTTTTGATTCAAGACAGCTGGCCCTACTAAGACTTGCATGCTCAAGCTCTTCCTGCCCCTGTCCTATACAAATGTACGATAGGTTTGGACAGTGGGAGGCATGAGTTTTCACCTGTGATGAAGCTGAACCGCTATAGCAGCTGACCAAGATTAATGTGTTCTACCTGACCTGAACTAGCCATGGCTACGGTCTTTTTCTTTTTTTTTTTTTTTTTTTTTAATAAGCTGGTTTTAGAGTCCAAAAATGGACTTGAATTACTTTAGTGCCGATGTTACCTCATTCAAAAGCTTTTGCTCTTTGACAGTCATGAGACTAGTGTAAACAATGTGCATGTGTACTCAGCTGCTTTGCCTTACGAGCAGGGCAGTCACCTGAATTTTTCTCATTGACTTTTAGACACAATACATTGTTACTTAGTAATATTTTCAAGAATACTACTAAAAATTGCTTTCAAACTATTATCATACAATGCCAGTTATGCACTTGAATCACATAATATGTCATGCTTTTAGATTCTAATATTTACAGCATTACAAGGATATTTTTCTTAAACTTCAATCTTCGTATTATTTTCTTGTCATGTTTCCTATTCTGCTCTCCTGTGACTGACAATTTGAACTTGCTGAGGAAGATGATATGGAAATTATGAGAACAGAAGTGTGGAGCTGCATAGAATATATTTCTTTTAGTTAAAAAAAAAAAAAAAAAAAAAAAAAAAAAAAGCTATTTACAACAGAATCAATAATCCTAAAACAGATGACCAAACCGGAGCACATTTTGTTGCCTTTGGGAGGAAGAAGGGTTACGCTAATATACTTTAATATTATACCATTTTCCAAATGCTTCTAGAGTTCTTTGAATTGATCAGAAAATACATTATTTCAACAATAATAAAATGCAGCACTGGGAGAGATGTCGAAAGGAGTTCTGTTGTATCTGATAGATATTAGCAGTCATGTAACTGTTAGTTTTCTAGATATATGTAATTAAATTTCAATTTATATTCATGGCTACTTGTTTATTGTAACAAACATGATATAGGCTCATTTCTTCACATGACAGTAGATGACTGAAACAATTATTCATTGACGGCCTTTGTTTCAAATAATTGAAATTTTTTCATTTTCTCTCTTCTAAAATGTTCACTTGTTAAACTGTGAGCTATTACATGCACCATTCTGTAAATGACTAAATTAGTGCTTTTATAACAGCTTTTTATTACCTGCCTATTTAATGATAATTACTAAAAGAAATGTTCTTCTCAATTAATTACATTTGTGTCAACCTCTAGTAGGAAAACATTCCTAAAAGGAGTAAGCAAAATTGGCAACAAATGCTATGTCAGTAAAAGCAAAATGATGTTTAGAACAGTTGAATGTAATTGGCTTTGTGCCATGGATAACAAACATGACTTTTAGAAAATTCAGAAGCATCACTTCCCAGAGAGGTGATCAGTGCCCCAAGCTTGTCACTGTTGAAAAGGCATTTGAACAATGGCCTTAACAACATGCTTTAACTTTTGGTCAGGCAGTTGGGACTAGATGATTGTTGCAGGTCCCTTCCAACTGAAAATTTAGTTCTATTCTATTCTATTCTATTCTATTCTATTCTATTCTATTCTATTCTGTTCTCCAATACCAACTGAAGTAAAAATTTCTTATGAAACTTTGGGACTTAGTTTCAAGAAAAATTTAGACTCCAAATAACTAAATAAAATAAGATACTTGTACATACCAGTGCCTAGCAGAAGCAATTAGGATTTGAGAATTTACAAATTATTCTTTAAATTTTGCAAGTTGGTTGGTGACAGTCTCCTGACATTTTTGGGAAGCTTTCCCTCCAGCTATAAATACTCACACTGCTATGATATCTTCTACTCATCTCATGACTGTACTCTAAAATAAAAATTGCAACTTCTGATAGGTGCCTACACTTTCCCCCCTCTGCATGATTTTATGTGAATCACTTTATTCAAATCTTCTTGATTTGAATCACTTCTTGACTGACTTTAAATACCAGATTGCTTATGTAGCCTTTCAACAGTAGAGGGGTCCATTTTTTATTTTTCTTTGTGAATCTGAGTGTAGTACATAGGGTAGAAGTACTAATTTTTTTACTACATATGAGAAATCCATATTTATTCCAGCTTGATGCATCTCCATTTGGGGTATCTCACAGGAAACAGATTCCTTCTCTTCGGTTGATTGGCATCATTGTGGTAGAAGGGATTAAGTTCTTGTGACAAGTTCTCATTTTTTTAAGAAGGCAAGCATACATTGATATTCACTGTCATTTTCTTTTGTCACTTAAAAATTATATTGAATTTTATGAAATATTGCTGTTGGGACGTTTTTTAATTATTTTTCCAATTAGTTGGAGAGAAAACCAAATATAACACTAACAAGATAACCTGATAGTTGTTTTCTGTTTTTTTGGATAACGTGTGCACTCAATACTTCATTTATTCAAGCTTTCATTTCACACTATAGTCCCGTTTGGAGGTTTTATGTGGCTGATTTAGCCCTGTTAAACATAGCTGCTTTTCACTCTTGCATTCAGCTCATAATTTCATTAAGTGTTGTACATGTACTTCAGCAGAGGAATGGTTTGCTGTGTGAAAAATCAGTTTGTCTATAATTTTAAAGTTTTCTCATTAGTTTCATGCTTAATGAATTTAGCTTGTGTGCATTAAAAATTTGTAAAGAAAATGGATATTCCAGGTCTCCATCATCTCCTTTTAGCAATTTAAGTATAGGCTTCTAATTAACATTTGTTTTATCAAATAGGAGCTAATTCTCACTTAGTTCAGTCAGTTTCTCTTTTAGCTAAACTGAGCAATACACATTATTTTCCACATAGAATGTCAATATTTAGTGTTTTGAATTTCTGTTTAACTACATTTTTATATTTGTCACAAACCATTCAGGACACTACTGCTGAAGGGACGACATGCAGTACACCTTCTATTATTCTTCCAGAGAATGCTGTTACGCCAGATGTAGAAATTGATAAAAATCTGGTTAACAGGTACTATATAATACATTACCAATTTATGTATAAATTGTACAGTAATTCCAGGAGCTATGTTTCTAAAATATTGCTTTGAAATTCATATTGTATTAAAATATTATTACTGTATTTGTAATTTGATCATATTGTCTTTGCATTTTAATGATGCTTTTTTGGATGCAGGCAAGGTGGGCGGGGGGGACACAGGAATATAACTGATACTGAAAGAGTAGAGTTTCATAATAATAGTAAGCCTGCCAACCTGACTCGGCATACTTAAAATTTTAATGAACTTTCATATCTTTCAGACTAGCATAATTTGAAACTAAAAAAAAAAAAATACAAGTGAGAGTTTTGCATAATTTGGACTAAAAGCTTTAACTTTTGAAGTCCATGCTTTTGCAAGCAAATAAAATATGGCCTGTTGAGGAAAAAATTGTCTGGTCAAATCCTTTTTTAGAGATATAGTGGTGTGCATGTGTAAACTACAGTCTACACCTACTACGAGGATGACTGACAGTTGGCAATGCACAGTACTGTCTTTCTGTCCAAATTTTAATCTTCACTTAAACCCAGGCAGTGATCAGCTGAAACCAAAAAAAGTAGAATTGAGCATTTTTGTGTTTTCTGAAGTATTCCACCCCCTATAAATTTTTCAGTTCAGTAGCTAAACCCTTAATTCTGGTGTACTAATTATATATGTAAACAGTAGTGCTGCCTTTAATCCTATGAGTATTTACAATGAACCAATAAGAACTTTGTAGACTGATGTAAAATTAGGAAATTAATCCTTGAAGACTGAAAAATTACTGTTTGTTAAATGCTGAAGATGTAAGTTCCTCAAAGTATGGTCAGCCATCACTGTTGACTCTCACAAATGGATCTACCTTATGTACAAAGCCTGTGTTGTCTGTTCCCTTCTTGAATTAAAGAACTAGCTATATTACCAATATTCTTTGAATCATGATGTAAAATAGACATTGTAGCAATAATATTTGCAATCTGTTGTAACTGTTTTGTCTATTCAAAGGAAAAACACAGCAACAAACTATTATTTTAAAAATGATCTGTTTACCTGATCCCTAAATTAATGAAGTGTGTTTTAATGAAGGAAGGTTTTTGCCAGAAGATGAACTTGCAGTGTATGACAGTTTGTGTAATAAGGGTTATTTGTGAGGGCAGAAAATTTCCAAGGAATCTTACGATTATAAAAATACTTTGCAATTTTTACTAATAGCTTTTGCAGATATTTTATTTTTTATACTTAATATTTGATAGTTTTATGATCTGCTGAAATGCTTCTTATCTTCTTTTGACAGTTTTAGCGTATTACATGTATCTTTCAGAATAAATCCACCTTCCAGCCTTGTGCATATTATCTTGGTATTGACTTAAAAGACATACTGTTTTATGTAACTTTAGTTGATGCTGGTGAAGCTACTGTTAGTGTATATTGTTTCTTTCCTTACAAAAATTGTTGGTAGTCTGGCATTGCTGGCTAGCTTTGCTTCATAAGATAATACTCTGAGATGTTAGAATATCATGATATTATTAGCCAGCATCTTCAAAATTTTCTTCTAAAGTCGGTTAAGATATGCTCAGTTCTTTTAAAGTCCTGGGTTGAAATACTTGGAAATTGAATTGACTTTTTTTTTTTTCTGTCTATAAGACAGATGCAACAAATGTAGGCTCCTTTTTCAGTTCTCTTCTTTCCCTTCCTCCCGTGTATCTGTTCAGTCCTCCTTACTGTTTTGGGGAAGCTGCAAAAGAAACTTCTGTAGCACCTAGAAACTGGGATAGGACCACATTCCTGATCTTGTGAAATAAAATAGGTATCAGTTGCAAATTCAGGTAGATAATGTTTCTAAGGTAGACAGTTGGACAACTTAAATGTGTAACTTGAATACTATAGTACAGTGAGTTTTGAAGCAGGTGTTTGGGCCTGTTCAGGTAGACAGGGCAAGAAAACCATCTTGAGGTTAAGCATATGTGAAAGCAAGCTCCTGAATGGAAATAATAATTCTGTTTGAAGTTGAAAACTTCAATTCAATTTTGAGTTAAATTAAGGTTATTTTTAGTCTTCCGGTGAAGCATACTTCTTGACCTGGGATTTTTAATTTATTGACCTGCCATTAGACTTAAAATATAGGAAAAAACTAATCAGAAAGTATTGATCATGAATCTATACTATAATTTGCTTGTATTTTGAAAGCATACTTCTCCAAACTTCAAGATTATTTAAGAGTCAGAATTACAGTGCAGCCCTTTAAAAGCAGCATTATTTGTGGGATCAGCATTGAATTTTCTGCAGCCATTTGAGACTTTCACCTGTGTATCAACCTAGAAAGTTTCCATATCACTATAAGGGAGTGTCAATGTGGGAGCCTAAGAAATTATTTCAGTCATAAAACTTAGTTTAGGAAGCACTACCAATTTACAAAGACTAATTTTTTTTTTCCAATGTACCATATTTACATGAATTTTAAGTTGTGGTAATGAACTAAAGAAAAGTAGTTTTTCTGAGACATCAAAAGTTCAAAGTGTATGAGGTTATCAGCAGATGTCAGAACTCCTCTGTGAGAGCAATTTCTGTACTTTTCCTTCTTTCTGCAATCTTTCTCCATTTTCTAGTTGCTTGGAGATGAGAGAAATTCCAGTAAAACTTTTTTGTTTTCATTTTTTTCATCAAAGAAAAGTGCTTTCTTTTTAATTCTAATTTTTTATAGAGGATTAGAACTTTTTTTTTGGTGGCATACTCCCATAATCTTTGTTTTTTCTCTCTAGGCCTCGTAGTCCTCATAGGAGACATTCTAACCGTGCCACTAGGAATCCAACAAGTTCATTGACTTCTGTTGGTAAGAAGTGATTATTCATTTAAGCTAGGATATTTTCTCAGAAAATGTGACATGCAATAAAGACCTAAATATAGTCTGTCTGTACTCACTACAGCTTTTTTCCTGTGCATACGGTCTGTAATGCCTGCACAGGGAATACTGCTAGCATGTTGAATTGTGATCATGAGTTTATGATCACAGTATTTATGAGTTTATAAAATTTATGAGTTTATAAGTGGATAGCATGCAGACAGATCCAGGGAAATAGGTATATTATTAGTTTCATAAAGTTTAGATTAGTGTGTTAGCGTAACATTTTTAGAAGGCTGGAGATATACATGTGTTGTGGTTTGAGCCTGGTCGGCAGCCAACCACCATGCAGCAGCTCCCTCTCCCTTCTCTTCCGGCAATGAGAAGGGACAGAGAGCCAGGTTTGGGGTTAGAGATAGGACTGGGATGGGGAAAAATTCCCCTTTATGGTCACGAGCATAAGGCAGACTCATTAGGGGAATTAAAAAAAGAACATACATTTATTACAGACACTAACAACACATAACAGAGTAGGACAGTGAGAAGCATTGCCACATCTTGAGAACACCTTCCCCCCACCCCTCCCTTCTTCCCGGGCTCAGCTCTGCTCCCGATATCTCTCCCTCCTCCCCCCAGTGGCGCAGGGGCAGGGAATGGGGGGTGCAGTCAGCGCTGCCACTTCCTTTATCTTCAGTGAGGGGAGTTTCTGGAACTTCTTCCCCCTGCTCCATCGTGGTCCCCCTCTTACAGGAGACAGTCCTCTACAAACTTTCTCCGACATGAGTCCCTCCCACGGGCCGCAGCGTTCCCCACACTGCTCCATCATGGGTCACCAACTTTCTCCGACGGGATTCCCTCCCACGGCTGCAGCCCTTCCCGAGTTGCTCCGGCGTGGGACTCCCCCACATGCTGCAATCCTCCCAGTGCTGAATTACAGCAGTGGGGCTACCTTTTCCCACAAGACCCCAGCCTTCTTCGGGCACAGCACCTTGATCAACCAGCCGGAAGCCACAGGCCATAAATCAGTGTCTGCTCCACCATAGGTCTTCATGGGTGGCAGGGGGGGGCCGCCCTGCCGTCTCACCACAGGGTACAGGGGGAATCTCTTCTCCAGTATACCTTCCCCCTCCTTTCTTCCTCTGTTCCTCCACTGACCTTGGTGTTCACGCAGCTGCAGCAACTCCTCCTCACAAGTCCCACTGCCCATCACCACGTCCCTTCTTAAATACGTTATCGCAGAGGCACAGCCGATTGGCTCAGTTTCCAAACAGAATTGGAGCTGGCTTGGAGCTGGGGGAGTTTCGAGAAGCTTCTCACAGGGGGCCGCCCCTATAGCCCCCTCCCCTGCCATCAAAAATAACTCCACCACTCACTCAACCCAGGACAACATGCTTAAAATTCTTGTTGTATGCAAAATACTGGGTTTGTTACTTTTGAAAAAACAGAATTTTTTTTAGCAAGGGTCTTAAAAGACACTTCTCAAGTTATTTAGTTTGGTCACCATATCAAAGTAAACTTTAAATGAAAACAACCTATCCAGGGGAAAACTTTCTTCACTTCTTCACTTTCTAATTAATCTCTTACTAAATGGACAGTGGGATTGGGTTCACCCTCAGCAAGTTCACCAATGACACCAAGCTACGTGGTGTGGTTGACACGCTGGAGAGAAGGAATACCATTCAGAGAGACCTTGAGAGTTGGGCCCATGCAAACCTCATGAAGTTCAACAAGACCACGTGCAAGGTCCTGCACATGGGTTGAGGAAATCCCAAGCATAAATACAGGCTGGGCGGTGAGTGGATTGAGACCAGCCCGGCAAAGGACTTGGGGGTTTTAGTGGATGGAAAACTGACTGTGAGCCATCAATGTGCGCTCACAGCCCAGAAAGCCGCCCGTGTCCTGGGCTGCATCAAGAGAAGTGTGGCCAGCAGGTCAAGGGAAGGGATTCTACCCCTCTGCTCCGCTCTTGTGAGACCCCCCTGCAGTGCTGGGTCCAGCTCTGAGGCCCCCAGCATCAGAAGAACACAGACCTGCTCGAGCGGGTCCAGAGGAGGCCACAGAGTTGATTGGGGGGCTGGAGCACATCCCTTATGAAGGCAGACTGAGAGAGTTGGGGGTGTTCAGCCTGGAGAAGAGAAGGCTCCAGGGAGACCTTAGAGCTGCCTCCCAGTGCTTAAAGGGGGGACAGGAAAGATAGGGAGGGACTCCTTATCAGGGAGTGTGGCAATTGGACAAAGGGTAGTGGTTTTAAGATGAAAGAAGGTAGATTTAGATTAGATATAAGGAAGAAATTCTTCCCTGTGAGGGTGGTGAGACACTGACACAGAGTGCCTAGAGCAGCTGTGGCTGCCCCCTCCCTGGAAGGGTTCAAGGCCACATTGGACAGGGCTTTGAGCAACCTGATCTGGTGGAAGGTGTCCCTGCCCATGGCAGGGGGTTGGGACTAGGTGATCTTTAAGATCCCTTCCAACCCAAACCATTCTATGATTTTATGATTAATTCTATTAGTTTTCTGGTAGCTACCTCTGGAGTAAATTGATATTCAAGGGGACTAATGGCGTGGGTGCAGATTTGTGCGTACTACAACAGAAATGCTTATACTCCTAAGTCAGTGGCAAAGCTCCCATCAGTTCTTAGTCTTGGTATGTTTGAATTTGGTTTGTTAATTGTCTCCATTTATGTCTTCCCTGTAAATTAAAAGTTGAAAAGAGTTGAGAGAATGTTTATGCTATCACATGTAAAGGATGAAGGTATAAGTATATGAAACCTCCTACCAAAATGGGTGGGGCAAGGGGGGGGAATCAGAAATTTAGAATAAATTTTAAAAATTATTTTTATCTTTGCAATGTTACTTTCTCCCAGCCATTAACTTAATTTGAACCAATTATCACTGCTTTATGCTGTGCATGAAGATAGTTTTCTGTAAAATCATGGACTTGTGTGATCATTGCGTACCTTAAAAAAAAAAAAAACACCAGATGGGTAGACAACTGCATAGTTCAGCTCTGGGGGAGTGACTAGTTGGTTGGTCATATGCTCCCTAGATGTTAGCAAAAGGAGAAGGTTCTCTGAAAGAAACAAATATTCCCAGATGTCATTCTGCTGAAGACAGAGCTTTGCTTCAAGCCTGCTTTCTGTTCCTGCTGCTATGGCTCGCCTTTGGCTGTGTCTTGGAACCCACTCAAGAAAATGAGTTGTGCTTTCCTTCTCTATCAATGACCTGGAGGAGGATGGAGAGCACTTTCATCAAATTAGCAGATGAAATCAAATTGTGGGAGATTAATTAATATATGCTTGAGGGCAATGCTGCAATTCAGAGACCTAAACAGGCTGGAGGAATGAGCCAGTAGGAACCTTATGGAAGTCAGCAAGGACAAATTCACAGTCCTACTTCTGGGAAGGGGTAACCCCTTGCAGTAGGTACAGGCTGGGGTGGGTTGGCTGGCTGGAAAGGCACTCTGGTGAAAAACGCTTGGAGGCCTTGGTAGACAGCAGGTTGAACATGAACCAGCAGTGTGCCCTTGCAACAAAGAGGGCTAACAGTCTTGTGGACTTTACTAGACTCTCCTAATAGAAGCTTATCCCATAGACCAAGGGAAGCGTTCATTCGCTTTTACTTAGCACTTAGACTGCATCTAGAAAACTGCGTCTAGTTCTGGGACCTCCAACAAAAGAAGAGTGTTCAGAAATGGGAGTGAGTCCAATGGAGGGCCACAAAGATGGTCCGGGGGTGGAAACACTTACCCTGTGAGGGAACGCTGAAGGAGCTGGCCAAATTTAGCCTGGAGAAGAGATGGCTTTAGGGGAAACCTAATACAGCCTTTCATTACCAATGAGAAGTTTATAAAGAAAATGGATCCTTAGATATCCTATGTCCTTAACTTTTCTAAAGACTGATGTTCTGTAATGGCTCTTGTCAAATTTAAAAATATTTTTCTTGTATTACTTGATGACTTTGTTTCCCCTCATGCAAGCTGTTCTTTAGTAAGTTGTTCTTATGCCAAAAGATGTTATAAATTCCATCCAGCTTGATGCCTCTACTTAATCTTAGTGGGTGTTTTTGAGGACTTTCTCTAAACTTGAGAATATAACAAACATTAGAAATGAGCAGACATTAATGTTTGTTAAATGCAAGCTCACAGCTAAATTTATAATTATGTTTTATACTTGTTAATCTGAAATGCCACAATTTATCTGGAAATATGGGTACAGCTGTAATTCTGATGTTTTCTACCCAGACAACAGCGGTCACGTGTTTGATCTGGTAAATGATCAGCTACCAGATGTCAAAATATCAGAGGAAGACAAAAAGAAGAACCTTGAATTACTAGAAGAAGCAAAGAAAGTGAGTGAGAGGTTTCTAATGCGCAGAGGCAGAAAGTCAAGAAGCAGCCTTCCAGAGTCACCCACAGGTAGGTGCAGATTCTGAAAACAATATTTTATATTCTACTTCAAAGATCTACAAAGACACAGACAAGCATCTACTGTAATGCATACATTGCTACTGTATACATATACTTTGCTAATTTGAAGGTCAGAGTCCCTCTGCCCCTCCTCACAATTCCATATGAAACAGAAATGACCAATCTTTATATTCAGATGTAACAGTGTAAGATGGTGTAAAGTTTTTAAGTGCCTGAATGACACAATGCAAACACTGTAACAGGAAAGCATTAAGTATTTCTGTTGAAATCTAAAAAGTGGTCACAAATTTTTGTTTGTGAAGATTTTTTTCCCGAAGTTCCTATTGTATATAAAATGAAATTTTAATGGCAAGATTTATACTATTGAAAAAAACATTCCTCCAGACATGATTACATAGACCTTTATTCTGAACATAGTTACAAACTAAGCTAAGTGGACAAGATGCTCCTTTAAAAACAGCTGAATAACATGGTTTTTTTTTCTAGAATGTCAACTGAAATTATTTTTCTCCCTCTCATATGAAGTGTTCTAAAACTAGGACAAAATGCCATTTTATCATGAAGTGGGACTTTTAATTAGCTTTGAAATGCCAATTCAAAACAAAGTTCCATTTAAAAATTGGTTTGACAGTTTGTAGAGAAAAAAATTCCTACTATACTTTTTAAAAATAAATTTTCCTTTTTTCTTTTTCCTAAATTCCTTGTGAATCCTTCTCTTGTGTCTATTTCTCTGCAGTGCTTACAGTGTCAGAAAACTGAGGAGAATAAGGATTTTGTGTGTCAAGAGAATTTGTGTTAATTTATGGCAGGTGTACGAGATAAAACCTACTCTAAGTTCCTAATTTCCAATACAACTTGGCAATTAAAATTACTTGTCAGGCTCTGGACAAACACATGACTGACTATGAGCTACATGTTTTAATCTTATCTGATTTTTTAAAATTCAGAAGCTACAAGCCTAGAAAGTAAAATTACCTTTTTTTTGGTTTTGTTTTTGTCTTTGTTTTAACGAAGCAGTTTCCCCTACACTTAGTCCTAAAGTTTCACCAGTAGCATCTCGGAGCAACTCTCTCACTCTTCCAGTTCCATCAGGTAAATGATCTATGCAGGCTCAAACTGTAACTTAAAAAAGCTCACCAAAAATTTATTTTTAATTATTTCTTGAGAAGTCAAAATCTGTAGATTCAACTATCTCTTCCTGAATATGACAAAGCTCGTGAATGCCCACAATATATATTTTCACAAATTTTTTTTAAATAATATTTTTATTCCTGTGGTGCTGCTAGGTTACATGTTCTATTTTTTTACTTTTGAATAATGGATTTTTGAGAAGCTTTAATGATCTTTCACTTACTATATTTTAGATATTTTTTTTTCATTCTTAAATAGTATTTCCCACATTTAAATTTTGTCCTTAATATATTATGTAGAACTGTGCATATATGTGTTTACTAATGCTGTACTAGTAGTAAAAATTTTTATCAGAACATCAGGATATGCCATAGTTATGTGTGTGTCTTTCTAGGGTCTGATGCATGCACAACCGCTAGTGTTGAGTCATTATCTCCAGGGCAGGTAAGAAAGAGCAGAATAGTCTGCACAGTGACCTGGTTATTACAGTGCTGTATTACACTATGCTGTTTTGTTAGTCCCTGAGGAAAATGGGATGTTTTGAATACCATTTTATATACCGAGATTGGTTTATTGATGTGTTTTTTCTGCAGTATGAGGGACTAATAAATATTTACTCTGAAGACAAAAATCCATGAGGTAACAAGCACTGAAGGATCACAGAGAACTGTTAAGTGTAGAAAATGGAAAAAGATCCAATATAGTCCTAATCTATCAAAAAAACTAATCCCTAAAATTACTTCATAAATAAATGTAACAAGAAGTGTAAAAATTAAGCGATTCAAAGTTCATCTATTCATATCTATATCTAACATTTGCAGCATAGATGTGAAAGATAACATTGTAATGCAACTTTTTTCTTCCTTTCTTGCTAGAATAACAGAACTGTGAAAGAGGATGACAGGCAAGCTGCAGAGGTAAGTGTTTCACATTGTGTTGAATAAAATCTGCCTGTTTGTCTTAGCACACATATTTACACAACTAGAAAGGCTAGAAGACTGTTCACTGAGTGAAAAGGAAAATGATACTGCTCTAATAAATTGTGAAGCACCTGCAAATGTAGTGGACAATGGGCTTACAGCTAGCCTTTACATCCTATCATGCACCCTGTTCTAGCTCAATTAAAATCAATATACTAAATACCTTAATAAGTAAATTAAAAATATCTACTATAGCCACTTTGGTGTAAGCTGGTGTTTTAGACAGACATCTTCTTCTGGACCCCTTTGGTTCAGTGTAAGAGGGTACTGTACCTCATGTTCCGCACCACTGATGTTACGGCTCCACACAACTACTGGTGGAGCAATTTATATGAATGCTTCCTAATTTGTTTTAGGTAGTATCTGATGGCCCTCTAAGGAGATTTTTCTGTGAGTAGATTGGGTGGTACTTACAAAAATCAGTATGGCAGCAGAATTTTGGAGCAGTAACTATAAAGGAGTAGAACATATCTAAGGCAGAGCCTATAGCTAGATTGTATGTTGATTGCCGTAAATTGCTGACACAGTTGCCCTTAGACAAAATACAAATTGCATACCGAAGTAGCTAAGGTATAAGCAAACATTTTTTTGCCAGTTCTCCTGGAGAGATCACAACCAAATTATAATCTATGGTACTGTAGACAAAGAAAGAAGGGAGAAATTACCATGCATGCTTTAACCTAGTGTACAAGCCCATGGCTTTTTCCCTTGAGAGGTGAGGGACTAACAGAAAACAATCAAAGGAAAGTAACAGTGCTGTAAGATACAGGTTTAAAGGTGTGTGCTCAGACAAACCATACATTACATGTACAGTACATGATGACAAACTTGGCTATATAAAGATTGCTATAATGGACTCTGGTGTGGGAGGAGGTTATCTCAAAAGTCCAGAGAAGAGACTCCCAATTCAGTGTTCTTTCAAGTGCTTTTTAAAAATTACTTCTGTCATTAACAGCCCGTATTTAAAAGCAAATATCACTGAAAAGCAAATGGCTTTTAACAGTGAAAATCTGACCTTGTGCAGGGGAAAAGAGAAATCTGCACTTGTTCCTCTGTTTTATGTCCCACTCTACTTTCAGAATGCTGCAAAAGGATTAATTGATCGAAGGCAGAATGATCAAAGAAAGGTTTCTCAGGGAAGGTTGGTTCCTCGTTCTGCTGGTTTTGAAAACTCCAAAGAGAAGCTCTCAGAGCAAAAAGAAAACTTTGATCCAAGTAAACATATGGATACTTTAGCTAAATGCTCCCCTTCAGGTGGTGATGGTGGCAGAATGTCTCTTAACACTTGCATGAACGTTTGTGAAAACGAACTTGGAAAATCATTCCTCAAGAAAGCAAAAGAGAATGATGTTCCTTTAAGAACCCATCTACCAGGACCAGGAATAGGAAATATAGACTCAAAGCTAAAAATTCCTGTTCCAGAAATGAAGGACCATAAAATTTCATGTAAACCAGAATTTAAACTGTGTGGATTGCGTCCTCCTCTACTACGGGCTGTATCATGGGATAGCTTAGAGCCTGGACAGAAAGATAAAACACCTTTAAAATTACCATCTGAGGAAAATAAAAGCTTTGTTGTTGGTAATAAATCCAGCAATCAATTAAAAGCTTTCAAAGATCTTCAAATCCAAGTTCAACCTGTTCGAATGCAGAAATTGACAAAGCTCAGAGAGGTGAGTCCTAGTCATCAGTTGTATCCTGTTTTAAACTTATTTTCATACCTTACTAAGCTTTCAACTTGCTTAGCATTATTCTTATCATTTCAAGAAACATACAGTAATATAACGGAAAACAGTTTCTGCAAATTCAATACATAATTGTATCATGTTTTTTCTTTGCAACTTTAGTGAATTGTAACCTGTCACTAAATTCCATGGAATTATTCTATTTCTTAATTCTCTTCATTATGCATCAAATGCACTGTGGTATCTGCAATATGCACATACACATGTGCATATACTCACATGCATACAGGTTTTGGCCCCCTGAAAAGAATTGTAATACTGGTGTCAAGAAAGTACTAATTGCTTTAATTGTGACAGAAAGGTGAGTCTAAAACACAATATATCTCATTTTTGCATCGTTCACATGACCTGTAAACAGGAAACAATTGTTTAACAATTGTGTAATTTGTAAAACATACTTCAGACTGAAGTGATCTGTTTTGCTTTCTAACGAGAATTTTAGATCTGAAGAAATTTCCTTCCTCAGGATGTAACAATATTCTCTTTAAAAGTCTCATTTATGCTCTTTTACTTCCTTTGCTCCCATGTGATACGCTTTTTCTGCTTCTTCAGAATTGTCCTCAGTTTCACATGCTCTCACACTATATTGAGTAATTGACTGATTTCTCTATGAATGGGCTGAAACCTGTGTGTAAACAGAAATCTTTAACTGAAGTTTTGAGACAGTTACTATAGTCTTGTATAAGGGCTTAGAAGCCTCTATGTATTGTATACTGTTTGTAAACTTTCTTTGGATTTAAAAATCACTTTTACTTTGTTCAGCTGAGTGTTTTGGAATCCTTTATTTCTTGGTATTCTCCCTTCTAAGGACAGTAGTCCTGTCACTCAAGAATACTAGCCTTTGCAATAACATTACATTTGTAAGATCTCAATGAACAGGAAATTGTTTTGGTATAATCTTTTGCTTATTACACATATTATTAAAATGTCTCAAAGTGTCCAGAGTTTTAAAACTGGGTGTCTCTGAGAGCAAGGGCAGGTAGAGAATGGCCAGACCTACAGTTCCTAATTCTAACATGGTGCAAATGTGTCAGCTGCTTGAGAGACAGACCTGGACTGCAAAATCTATAAACTAATCCCTTGTTAAATAAGTTTCTAAATGATTGATAAAAATTAAGAATTAAACCCTAAGAATTAACCAGTCTATTGAAAAAAAAGTAGAAATGTCATGAAATGATAAACCACCATCATAAAGAAACTACCATGTGTGTATAGCAAAAATGACCTCTGAAAGGGGGAAAAAAAAAAAAAGTAGTAGTTACTTTACTTAACGGCCTAATAAGAATATTTTTTTGACCTCCATTAGTTAATATTTTAAGATGATCACAGAACTGACAGGTGAGGACCTCAAATTTTGTACTTTGGTTAATTCATTCCCATTGTATTGCTTGGGAATGGCAGCTTAGTTATTCATCTTTTCCTGTTTATATAAGATACATATTCTTAGCATATATGCACTGGAAGTTCTGATTATAGAGACACTTGAGCCATACAATTTGAAAAGTCCTAGAAGTTGTTAAACACAGATAATAGTTAGAATCAGAAAATTAATACATGGTATATAGTTCCAGTTAGGTGAGATTTAAACTGTCTCCAATAGGAATTATCTACATATAGACAAAAGCAGGTGTTTGTGAATTTTAAACATATTTGAGAATATGAAAGTAGAAAATAAGATGATAGAAGGGGAAATAAGATAACAAGGTGTTTAATGCTTGAGAGCACATTCTTCCCTACCTGGATTAGAGGCAGAGTACAGTAACAGTGAAGTATTAACTTGCAGCTGTCGCATACCAAGCTTTGGTGTGAATAATTTCTACTGAATAAGTTGAAGTGGCAAAGTCTCATATATCTGATTTTCTGAATTTTCTCTCCTTTCTGGGATACTTATTAATATGTCTGTACCCCAAATTGCTTTTTTCACTCTCATTTACAAAAACTCTCATTTACCAAAACTCAATTTTTCTACTTGCATAAGGGGCACATATTGCAAATCTCTGTTTACATGACTAGGAATTTTTCTAAATAATGCATGTATGAAATTTTAAATATGTAATATTAATATTTAAGAGTGTATTTGTGAATGTGCATATGTCTGTGCAACGTACTATATGATTATAACTTAACATAAATATCTCCATTATGTTTATTAAATAAAGTAAATGTTATATTTTTTCACATGGCAAGGATATTTAAATTGAGATTTCTACTTAAGTTAGAAATTTTACTGTTTTTCTTAACAGGAGCATATTTTGATGAGAAATCAAAATTTAGTTGGACTTAAACTTCCTGAACTTAGTGAAGCAGCTGAACAGGAAAAAGGTGCAGTATCATAAAAGCTGGAAGGAGTGTGTGTTTGTTACACAGTGATGTTTATAATTGACTACTATGGAGGAAAAGAACAGTCTTTTTCTTCAATTGCAATAGTAGTTGTAATGAAGCAGTCATGGCAGAAGGTAATAATGATGAATACGAGAGACCAATAATGGAAGTACCTGAATTTCTTCATGGTCTGAGCCAAGAAGATATTGTAGTTATTACTACAACCAAACAAAAAGGTGCATACCTGGAACAGAGCCTAGCTTGTTCTTAATAGATGGAGAACTGTCTCGAGTTTCAGTGACTTTCTGAAAAAAAATTTTCAGCAGTGACGGATTGAATGGATGTGACCTCTGCAAGATATTGTAGCCATAAGGGTCAATTTGATCCTTGAAAGTATAAATAAGAGATGGAATGCATTATTCCTGCTTTTTTATTTTAGTATATGTGTGACAAATATTGAAATGGCATGTTAACTTCTGGTCCACAGCTCTACATCAATGTGGATAGGTAAGAGTAAGACCAAAGAAGAGACATAAACATGATTGAAGGATTGGAAAAATATGCTTTGCAATTAGTGGGTGGATTTTTAGCTCAATTTATATGATTTTTAATAAGGGGAAGCCTAAAACTCTACATAAATGAAGAAACAGAAATCTGGCATCAAATGTTTTTCCAATCCAACACAAGCAAATTATATTTGATGCCTGTAGGCTGCTTCTAAAAAGATTCAGAATAGAAATAAAGAGCAAAAACATAATTCTGAGGACAATTCAACAACTGGAAGAACTAACTAACACTGGTGCTGAGCAATCAATTGAAAATACTTAAACCAAAACTGTATATTTGTTTAGAAGTAATGAAGTCAGAACGTGTTCAGAGTGTTCTTAAGGCCACATTAACTGAAATGGAGATGGTTAATATGAAAGGAGCCGAAAGCAATTGTCCAAGATTTGATTCAAGGAAAATTTCCATTTTTCCTAATACTATTCATTTTGCTAATTCAGATTTGCTTTGGGACTGTTTCATAAGGCCTTAAAGTTTCTGTTACACAGGGAGATGGCTGAGACATTATTTTTTCATGTTATCTCTGCAAACAGATACATTGCAGTCTGAATGAAACAAGATTAAAAGAGACTTCTTGTCCTCTTTCTGTACTTAGTGATTATATCTTTGGATTCTTAGATATGGTAATATCATTCCTGTCACTCTGCTAATATATAATTTCCCAGAAATTATTTAGCAGGCTTTGTCTGAAAGTGTAAAATAGTTGCCACTTTACTAGCCTGTAACATAATCTTGGCAGATTTTAAACTTCTGAGGAAAACATTATATAATATATAATTTCCCAGAAATTATTTAGCAGGCTTTGTCTGAAAGTGTAAAATAGTTGCCACTTTACTAGCCTGTAACATAATCTTGGCAGATTTTAAACTTCTGAGGAAAACATTATGAAAAGCTAAGTGTATTATCCAGCTTTTCAACCAGACCTCATGAGCATCATGAACTTTTTGAACTGGTAACTTATCTAAATGATAGCTAGAAAATTAAGGGTCAACTCCATGTCCTCAGTGGGGAAAACAAGTGAGGGGTTAAATCCTTAGTTCATTTGTTAGGGAGACTTACTTCCTTACATTGTTGTAAAAGCCACCTTGTACTTTTTAACTGGAGTAGTAATTTTGCTTAAACAATAGGAAACAACCAGATACTTCATTATTATTGTTATGAATCAAATATACTGGCTCCATCATGTTTTGCTGTCAATGCCAAGTTATTGTGATCATCTGAGTAAACACAGCTTAGCATCTACAGAAGTTTAGATAAGTGGGATATATTAGATCTGGAGACATTGTGGTGTCAGGCTGGCTGTTTATGGGGATTCACATGACTGTTCTTGAGTAAATGCTGGAATTTTTAAATATAAAGGAAATGCACAGAACTAAAATGTAGCTAGAAAGAATCTCCCAATCTTTTCTGTCTTTCATGTCAACACTGTCCACATTTACAAAATTTGAGCTTTTTCACACTATTTGTTTTGCAAGTCTAAGAATCTTTCTGTTATGCCAAATGAACAGGAGAGTTGTACAAAGATATCTTCCCAAGTCTGAGATTCAGACTGGGGAGCCTGACTTTCCTATAGGAGAGTCCTTCATTAAATTCTGACAAGATAGAAGGAGATAAGGGAATTATAGCATATTAAATTAAAATAAAAAAGTTAAGTAACATGAAGTTAAAAAAAAAAAAAAGTTTGATTCATATCTTAGTCCATAGAAAGTGTCAGAAGTAGAGAATGTAATTATAACCTTTATGTCCTGTTTCAGTGAACGTGTACAATGAATAAGTACATGTTGTAGATTCATCACCATAAATGGTACACGAAATCTGTAGTATAGTACACTATACTAGACTTCATCTTGGCAGGTGGCATTTAAAGCCTTAGAAAATGACAGTACTCTGGTACAAAATCTAAGCTAAAATATTCCAGAAATGTTGTAATTGTACTGGTAAAGCACAAATGCAAAATGTTAAGTTAGATGTTCTAGTAATTAGTTTGGGTTCCGTTTGAATTCTAGGGAAAGTACTAATACAGTAATTATTTTTCAGTGCATTAGAGACTGATGGAGGGCATATTACTTTGGTCTTTCTGCATAAAGGATGACAGTTGTACTGATTACTTTTGTTGACACTGCTTGAAAGGAAGACAAGGGATCTTTAGCATTAAAAGAGAGATGAGTGATGTATTACCATATGCAGTAAAGGAAGTAACAGTCTGCATAAAGGGATGGACCTTTTCTTGTTCACTTTTGCTCTCAGTAGAGTTGGGGTGAAAGCCTCATTAACTTTAAAAAGGACACAGTTAGACTAAAAGGTCCTATTTGGCTCTGAGATTCTGACTGTAAATAGTTAATGCATGAATTTTCAAATAATATAAGAAGTTTTTTATCTGAAAATATCTTTAGGCCCTTCACCTCTCCCTTCTCCCACTGAAGAGGAAGAGACAAAGAATAGCTCTGATGTCATGCCCAGCATTCCTGATGTATTGCTGCGAAAACTACGAGTGCACAAATCACTTCCAGGAAGGTAAAAGCTCATTAGAAGTAGAAAGACATCATCCGGGGGAAGGCACACTAATGGTTTCCAGTGAATTTCCTTTATGGAGTTCCATTCATAGGGGATCCATAGAAGTAGAGAAATTGCTGCATCTTAAAATTTGCAACACAGATTTTCTGAAAAATTTTGGGGAGTCCACCAACTTCCAGTAACTGGCCAACTTTTAAAATGAGTTTGTAAGTTCTGCATAAAAATCTGAAACCTAACTTGCATGCTCCAAGTACATTTTTATACAGATTTTTCCACCTGTCTCTCCTGATTTTCAGAATTGCTCCTACAGATATAAATTCTTGTTGAACATGTTATTACTTCTTTCCCCCCGAAAAATAGCCAAGCCAGATAATGCTTTCCAATGGTAAATTCTGGGCATGTAAGAATTCTGAATTTTTTCTGCAGGTGGCAATTTTTCAGGGAAATTGAGTCTATTCTGCAAACGTAGTTGAAGGACTCACTTGTGAATTCCCTGATCTTTGGCTGTGCAAGTAGGCACTTATCAACAGATTGCTTAACACCTGCCATAGCTCAGGAGTTTCTCCTTTCCCTCTTACGCAGTCTGAAACAATATGTCTGCATGTTATAGGTGTATAGGGTAGCACCATACAATCGATCATTTGAAACTAGAGCTATTTTTGCATAATGCAATGTAACTATAGCAAGAGAATCCTCTGGTCCATACTATTCTGAGGTGGAGACATAATAGACTATATCTGCCAGGTCTTTGTCCAGACTTTTAGAAATACCAATTTTCATTTTGATTTGAGTTTACTACTATCCAAATAACATTTTCTTGACAGAATTTAAATGGAATTTTCCTTTGGGGGGACAGTTTTATGTTTAAAATGATACAAAAGCCCATAACTTCAGAAAATATTTTGCTCTGGACCAAGAAATATAGGAGAGGAAGCTCAAATGAAACATTTATCATGACATGCCTTGCATCACTGACAACTTCAGAGACTGAGCATGTTTCATTTTGTATTGCATTAGAATAAATTTAGGCTTCTTCCATATTTCTGCATAAGCCTTTTCTTTGAGAGAAATAAAACCATAGCAAGAAAATGCTTATTAGAAATTAAAACAATTCCATACATACTTAGCCAAAACTATTCCTAAATTCACCCATGTGTTTTTATACTATAAATACCAGAGGCCTTCAGTCATTTGAAGCAGTCAGTAAGTGTTCTCTGTGCAGATGAGATAAATATTTAATGTTTGTTGTGAAGGAACTATTATATACAACATTTTATATAAATGAATTCATGAGGTGAAGAAGTTCTAAGAGATCATTGCTTGATTGTAATTAAATACTGAAAAGAAATGTAATTTCATAGCTAAGTACAAAATCAGTAAATGCTGAACTGGCTTTGAGGATCACATAATATACAGATCTTCTGTTTTTCAGGTAATACTCTGTAATCAGTTGGCTTAATCTATCAAACAAATACACACATAATTTTTCATTCTTACGATACACTTTTCGGAACATTCCCAGCCAAAGGAAAGACACTAACTTTACCATTCTGTGCTGTGTTATATTGCACATACAGATACTTGAACTTCCTTCTAGAAAGACTACTCCTTCTAGTAGGCTTCCTCCCAAAATAACAATAAATAACATGAATACTAATACTTGAGGCACAAAATGGTTTTCCAACACAGGAGACATGCTGGTCTCCCTTCTAGTTACTACTGTAAGTATCAGTATTGTTCTACCCAACAAGAAAAATCTGCTGCTCATTGATACCAGATGCATTGATTTCTATAGTTGGGATTAATGGTGCAATGAATAGTACAATAATATTTTAATTTTCTGAGAGTAACTTGTCTGTGCAGTGTGTGATTGGTGTGTCAGCCACAACTCCTATCATTGCCATTCATTAGAATTTGTATATACAGCTCCTGTCATTTCTTTTAGATGTTTCTCATCTCTACTGACATACATAAAACTCAGTAGCTCTCTGATGTTTTGGAACAATTACAGGGAATAAGAACCTGTAAATTCAAATACATGGGATGACTGCTTTTAAGTGAGATCTTGCAATATAATGTTGTCTATCTTGTTTATTTTATAGTATTCTATGAAACAGCATTTTGGTAACTTTTTCTCATTTTTATATAGTCAGTAATCATTCCTGTGATGGAAAACTCATAAAACTCAAACATATATTTTGTCAGTGTCAGAATCGTTGTGAGCTATCTTCTAACAAAGTCAGCAGCCAAAACAGGATAGTTCAGTATACAGTGAGCTGGGTTTTGAGTTCTGCCCATCTGTGATCATCATTGTGAGATTTCAGCTGTTAACGGAAGGAAAACGAGTGAAGATAATAATCTGAAATATACTGTATTAAGTCACCCGCAACTCAAAAAGGGTGACTTGTGTCTTGCTCTTGTACTCACAGTTTATCACAATGTAGTGCAGATATCAGTATTTGAATTTGCCAGAAACTTTGGTATGATTTCACCAATACTCAGGTGATACTGTGCTGTTGCTTTTTGAAAAAAACATGAGGTTTATCTGTAACAAATACAGTTGAATTAATTAACTACTGTTTCATCAAAAGAAACCATAAAATACTCAAGAGGGAGGATGTTTTCTGTTGTTCTTTTCAATTAAATATTACAGAAGCTTTGTTTTTAGAGACAAAACTAATTAAAATGTGATTTTTTTGCTTTTATTTCTAGTTCCCCTCCACTTACTGAAAAAGAAGTTGAGGTAAGTATGTTCTTAAACTCAGTATTTTAGACATACGCCTCAATTTTAACTAGTTACTGCAAGACTAAGAGTAGTTATTAGAATCAAGTAATAGGATTTTTTTTCTAAAAAGTATTTCTCAGAAAAAAAATATACTGAGCTCAATCAAAATAACAATTTTATGAAATATGGGCAATTATCTCAGGCAATACAAACTGTAGAAAGAATTAGAGTAGGAATAAGCAAAACTCCTGTTTGTGCATTCTTCATAATAAAGTATGCATTCATCTTGGAAAGTATTATCATATACTTATAGTAGTAAAAAAAAATTAGATTAAAAGAGACCAGAAACCAAATGAGTTAAGTTGAATTTTTGTATTGGCCGATAGGAGCTTTGGGGCAGTTTTTGATGATATCTTGCAGTTAGTTTACATAATTTCTACTTTTTCAGTTCAAGCCAATATTTTTTTTTGTAGGTTGCTCTTTAGCTTGCTGGCTTTTTTTCTTCCCTTTTTTCACATACCAGTCAAGAAAAAGATCTTTATTTACATAGCTCCGATCTAATGGAACTGTTGGTGCCTTCTGCTTTGCAAAGTAGTAATCCTAAGAAATAATGCATTTGGTGAAGAAAGAAACAATCTTTTAAAGCGTGGTGCAAGAGAATAAAAATGTTAGCACTTAATCTTTTGCTGGCTTCAGTGGTAGGTGTTTATCCCTTAGATAAAACAATGCTAATGGTGAGCTCATCCCTGGACTTCCTCTGCACTGACTATCTGTTTAAAAACCTTGGGGACCCTTGGAGGAAGTCCAGCTAGAAAACAGATCCATTGTGCTTCTGATACTTCTGGTAGGCTACTTCCTACTTTGTGTCTCTGATCTCCCAGAAAAACATTCAGAAAGAGAGGCAACACATTTATTCATATTTTAGAGGAAGTAAAGAGAAGTGATTTTTGAAACGATCTAATTTAAAAAATATTTTCAGTTTTCTGTTTCAATACTTATTTAAGCACCAAAGTTTGTTAAACATACATCTTATGAATAAGTTATTATTGGAAATTACATGACTGTGACACTTATTTAAAAATGCCTTTTTTTAATCCAAACAGAATGTATTTGTACAACTTTCCTTGGCTTTTAGAAATGATAGTTATACCTTAGAATCTAGAATTAACCAAGCAGAGAGAGAGAGAAATCTCACTGAAGAGAATGCTGAGAAGGAACTGGAAAATTTTAAAGCAGCCATTACGGTAAGAAAACAACAATAATTCTTTTTCTGAACTATAGTGTACATGAAAATGCACGGACATTTGAAATATGCAAGCTATGCTTGCTTGTACCTATTGAAAATTCAGCCCCAAAACTTCATTTTCTGCTGCTTGAGCTCATTACTGTAAGCTTCCTACCCTTCTACACAGGAGAGAGCATTTTCAGCCATAGTGGCCCACCGTTGCTGGAAATGCATATGTCTAGCAGATTTCAGGAATAAATAATATGAATTTGTTATTCAGTTCTTGGAATAAGCCTACGACAAAGCTAAGAGCATTCAGAACTGCAATTTGAGAACAGATCCATGCCGTCATGGGCAAGACCTCCTTTAGCAGTAAATTTGAGGTGCCCAGTTAGGTGAGATACTGTAATGATCTGAAGCCTGAGTCCTGAGATTTGTGACTTGCAAGACCTATTAACTGCAGATAATAAAAGGCTATATAGGAAAGGAAACAGTGAGGTTTACTTAAAGAATACATTCAATCTCCAGATCAGGTTATGGGCCTGAATATACTTTCATTCCAGCTGTTCCCAATGTTCTTTCCTGTCCCTGATGATTTCAGTCCTTCTTGCCAGCTTTGTCTGGATTTCCTAACTGAAATGCAAATATATCTCTGAGATGTGTCAGCTTATCTGCTGCGATCATTCTTGTGAAAAAAAGGAAGGTATGCTTAGCTACCGTGCTGCTAAATGAAATATCTGTAGACCCAATTTTCATTTTACAAGGAGGTGCTGCCATACTTTTGAGAAATAGTTAGGAGAACATATGATTCTCTCATTTACTTTATGAAGAACATCATCAGGTAAGAAAGAGCACAATTAAAAAAAGATGGTGATATTTACATCTTTTCATCTGGAATTTCAAATTTCATTTCCAGATTAATTCATTAAAAAAAAAAAGGTTCTGAGTGTTTTGCTTTTTACCTCTGTTCTCTGTTTAAAGAGCAAGCAGAAAGAACCTATTAAATCTCAGGGTTTTATTCTAATATTTTGTATACATACACATTTTTACAACTAGTATATAAAGGCTCTTAAAACTGAAAACAATTAATCTGTTAGATTTGACACGTATTTCTGTTAAGAATCCCTAATTAGGCACTAAGAACTATGTTGCCAGCATGGGACAGATGTGATTAGCTTTTTCCTCCTTTATACAGTTCACATGCTACAGTCTGGCTTTTACAAGCTTTTTAATGCAATTTATAACAAAGTGGAAACTGCCATTCATATGAAAACTTTTGTTCTATACAATGGAATAAACTAATAAGCAATTAAATGAGGTGACAGTTTCTGTATAATCTGTATCATAATAGACCTAGACTTGTCCCAATCTCAGTGGGAGATTATCTTAATTTCTGTAGGACAGGCACATGTTATATGGCTCAACGACAGTTTTACCAGTCTTTATGATTTTTTTTATCAATCTTGTGATAATTGATATTTTATTCAAAAACCCAACTTCAAGAGAAAGCTGATTTATACGAACTTCAGATTTGTTTGAGAAAATAAGCAAGTTACAGTTGCCAAGAAAAATGTGAAAATCTGAAATTCTCTCCACATTTTTCTCAAACATATTCGCTTATGTCTTCTTGGGTCTTGCAGTCAATTTTGGCTGCAGTTTGTTATCACACTAGCTTCAGTAATAAATAAGTTTAAGCATTTTTTGTTGTTGCAATTATTGTTGCACCAGATCTTGGCTGTGCTCCTACACCAAAGGTTTGCACTACAAATGCCACTCCTCAAATGACTCTACTGAAAAAGTTACTGCACATTATTCCCTTCTTTTGAAGGGGGCAGGGAAGAAAAAGAGGAGGAGATGTTATTCCTTTCACACATCATTTCAATGCATTGACTTACTGTTACCGTAATGCAAGCAAGGGGTTGCAAAGATCTAGGGCGCAGTGCAGCTGGTCAGAGGGAGAATTGTGTGAGTGGCAACAGTGATTAATTATGTAAGACCACCTCCATGCCAAAACTGGTGCATCCTGAAATTGCACTTTAAGAATATAGGAATCATCCGGCATCGCAAAGTCTGCCTGTAAGTCTGAACTAAATTGTATTGAGTTTTCTCATATCAAACTTTTCTATGAACAGAAAACTCCTTCAGTGCAGTTCAAGGCTTTGGCTAATAAAACAACTAAATTCACTCTTGCTTTTGGTAACTAATCCCAAGGAAGTTGTATGCTTTGATGCTTTTCAATATTAATCTGATCTGTCAAAGTGACAATATTAATCCAGTGCATAAATGTGTATATTGATTGACAGAAAACAGTCAAGAAATTGCAATTTCTATTTGATTTATAGGCCATATTATTTTTTATTACTCTTTTACATTTGGAATTTTTGAGACTATAATGTCTTATTTTCCAAATAAGTGAAGTATCATGGAACTGAAAGAACATAGACAACCACCTTAACACCTTGTGCTCAGCAAATGAAAATGTTCTTTGTGTTTCAGCAATCATTTGTAAGTATTAGTTCAAATAAACTTGGCATTTGTAAAGTTCACAGGTAGCGAGGCATGATTCATCATTAATTTCAGAAGGAAAAGTATTGCAAATATGCTTAGCCCTCTTTAACTCCTAGAAAGGTGTGCCTGCAGTATGCAGTGAAGCACTATTCTGAAACAGAGCAGCACTCTCTGGGCTATCTATGGTGGTAGTGATGGCACTCCTTTGGGGCTAATTTGTCCACGTGCAGTTCTGCCTAGACATCTCTACCCCACTTCTGTGGCTCAGGCTACTTCACCTGAACTAAAAGTGGCAAGACATGATGATAGAGCTTACATATTTTCACTTCAGTCTTCAGCTCACTTATGGCATCACTATGAACACAGAGAGGCTTACCAGAAACTATTGGAGGATATTGCTGTTCTGCGGCGTTTAGCTGCTAGACTATCTAGTCGTGCGGAGATGGTTGGAGCCGTTCGCCAGGTAAGAACATCCTGGTGTCTAACGTATCCTGGCTGCACATGTTCACTCTCTTTTTTCAGCCATAGCTAGAGGTTATATTAGTCCTTTGAATTTTATTTGCCATCTCGACAGATTGAAAACATTTATTGTAGTGTCAGATAAGATGCCATTTCAGTCTGGAAATAGAATTCAAACAGGAGAAGATTATCGATGAAGTTATTCAACATCAGTAAATAGAAGCATATATATTGTTTAGAGTTATAGCTGCATAACAAGAAACTTACTTAAAATTAGTGCAGCATGAATAAGAACTTTTTCTGGGCCAAAAAGCTCACCTAGTTAAGTCACTTGCCTTTTGCTATAGCTTAGTCAGACAACTATAGAGAGTATAACAGAGCAAATATGAATGAGAACACAGTGATACCCTTCCAAATTCAAGACTGTTCCCTCTGCCCATTAAACTAATGAGGCTGATGCCAATGACTAAGACCTTTAAGAGTTTGAAAACAAATGTACATATGCCACGTAACTAATAATAGGCAGACTGTATAAATATATGACAAAATAAATTATTATAATCTGTGGATATGTATGAATGCACATTATTTGTGTTCTAATTAGTTTAGGAATTTTCAGTTATTGAGGTACCAATATTTCTTGAAGAACAACTGTTCCAGATTTAGCGCTAACAGGGAGCATATACACGGAGGCAAATGATTTGTCTGAGAAGCTCAGAGGTTACCTGAACATACCCCTCTTTTCTTCCTTAGGAGAAGCGTATGTCAAAGGCAACAGAAGTAATGATGCAGTATGTGGAAAATCTGAAAAGAACATATGAAAAGGATCATGCTGAACTAATGGAGTTCAAGAAACTTGCCAGTCAGAATTCAAGCAGAAGCTATGGTGCATCCGGTAAAAAAAATAAAAATTTAAGGGTTTGTCTTGCCTCTATACAGAGAGGTGTTGGTGGTATTAATGATAAAAAGGTTAAGTATCGTGAAACCTGTTCATGAAGTTCTGATCTACAGGAATAGATTTCAAGAAGTTATAGATACAACAGTCAAAGTATTCCATATAAGCCATATTTAATGCTATAGTACAGTCATTTAAAATCACTATCACTTACCAAATTCTGATGAGTTCCAGTGACATTTTCATTGTCCTCTTGCACACGTGTGTAGCTTTCACTGTTTTAACGCAACTACCTCTTCAATGATGGATGATGATAAAATTCCATTATTAGAAAAATTTTTAATTTTTGCAACATTTTTTTTCCTAGTTTACTGCAAACTGAAATATGAGTAATTTCTTTTGCAAAAACTTGTATATGGAGGCAAATGGGCTTTTGCCTTATCCCAGTAAAGATAGTAATGGTTCAATTTTTTGCAATTATTTAAAATTTCTTCTGCGGGTGTAATTAAGACCAGAACTATATGTCAGATAAATATGCAGTCACTACAGACCTTGTACAAATATACTATATCTGAGTTTGAAATACAAGCAAAGGCTCTATTAATATTATTTATAGATACTCATATAGTCTAAGACTGTTCTTTATCTATTGTTTTTATGCAGAAGATGGAGTACCTCGTTCATCTAGATCCATGTCTCTTACTGTTGGAAAGGTATTTCTACAATATAAAGAAATTTAAGCAAACATGTAGTGAAATTTTTGCCTGTATACACTAACTTTTATAGGCTGTGTTCAAAACATAGTACTGGTAAATTCTCAATATTATTAATGTAATTCAGTGCAAGTGCTTTGTAATTTTGCATATATAATTAAGCATGACTTTGTGCAGTAATGGTAATGCTTGCTGTGAAGCTATAAATAATAAAGGGACCTATTTATTTAATAATAATTGTATTTCAGGCCACATACCTGTGCTCCAGAGAATGGCTTAGGTCCTGTGCTTTATTCTAGTTCCTCAGTGAGGAAACTGAACATTGAATCAAAACTTACTATATGATTTGGGATCCCATGATCATACCATTTTCATTATCTTAAGAATTATAACATGTTCACAGTACCTGAGATGTAAACAGTTATTTTTAAGTGGGGCTCATTTTTCAGTTAGCATCAAAGTATCTTGTTTCATTTGACAAAGCATTCAGAGTGAGAGATTATCTCCAACTGTTTTGGCTTGACCAATTAATAATTTTAACATGGCCAGTGTTCCATTTCTGTAAAAATTCCAAGTGTTGGAGATCAAGCTTATTACAAAACTTCCTAAAACAACTAGTAATTTGAGAGAGCTGAATCCCAGTGTGACCATTATGAAACTTCATGATCAGAGGCATCATATTCAGTCTACTATTTCTTTCTATACTTATATTTGCTTGGGTTGTAGTTCTTTAGGTTTAGTTTATTCCTGCCATCTCTGAGTGCTGCATAGGAAGTGCACAGAGCTGAGGGCAAGACTGGATTTCTGAATGAGAACCAAATAAGTTGAAACAGAGGTCTCCAAAAAAGATGAAATTTGACAAGGACAAGTCCAAATAATAAAGAGGGGAGGAAAAAAAAAAAAAAAAAGCCAAAACAAAACAACACTAGAATGCACTGCCTAACATGGCTGCAGACTCCCCAGTATAGTTTTTTGGGAGCACGTTAGATAAACCTCTGTCATTAATGAATATATATAGTTGTTTTGTCTAGAACAAGGATCATGGAGTAGATGACTCCTCCCATATATTTTCTAAATCTATATTTAACTCCTTTCCTGTAAAGTTATCTAGAGCAGAATCTTAGGAGTGTTTGGATACGCACTAAGATGAAGATGTTAGATGCTATAAGTGCTTGGATTTTTTACTCAGTTGGAAGCGTAGAGTTTACTAGGTGTGTATCATAGGATGAAGCATTTGGCTACTTGCCTAATGACAGCAAAAACTTACATAATCTGTACTTGAGCTAGAATATATTGTGTACAGCTAGCATGTGTTTATCATATAAAGAATTTCCATGGTCTTTGGGAAATGTAAGCAATGTCTCATGATGCTAGATAGATATCTAACAACTCAAGGGTGGGGGAGAAGGCCCTGTTCTTTTGTGGAGGGAACGGATGTTATTGTTTCTGTAAATTATAATTTGTAGGTTTAGAAATAATTAATATATCATAGTGGGTACAGTATATCATAATGGGTACATAGCAAGAGAAGAGTTTTATGTGTAACTTCATTATTTTCCAGTCATTGTGACACTGGCACTTTTCCCAGTAACACTGTATATCTGGTTTAGCCAAAGATAATAGCCTCTAATAAGAACTGACAATATCAACTCAGAACATATATCTGTTGTGTGACTTAAACTACTGGGCTTTCAGTCTGGAGGGAAGAGAGTAGCATCCCTGTACAACACCTCATTTCACACCAAGCTCTTGCCATATCAGACAGTACTAGAGGAAATTTTGAGGAAAACCCCAGCTGTAACAGCCATTTATCTTAATTTTGCTTCCAACTCTCCTTTCCTGCAAGGGACATTAACCTATATCTTTGCTGTACCTGTTAACTTGTAGAATTGTTCTTCAGTCTATCTTGTTGTATGATAGAAAAAAAAAATGTTGTTTCTCACAGAATGTGCCTCGGAGGAGAGTCAGTGTTGCTGTTGTTCCTAAATTTAACTCCTTAAACATTCCCGGTCAGTCAGCAACAGCCTCACCTATACCTTCAATGCCATCCCTGGTAAGTAAACCCCACATTTTAAAGATATTAATTTCTGTCTAAACCACTTTTGCGTAGGGCCAAGCCATAGTCACTAAAAGATGTAAGCCTTTTCATTGATTGGGGGATGGACAAAGGTAATTCCTGTTGTGTAAGGGACATATGCCTTCAGAATCCACCTCCATAAATGATCACTTTGGACACAGAGCTGAATAAGGCTACTTGATGATTCAGAGGCATTAGACATTAATTGAGGCAACTGGCCTTTTAATCTGTAGTACTGCACAGGAAAGTAGTAAAAATAGTTGTCCACCATAGGAGAGAAATTTTAACTAGAAACCATAGAAGATGATTGGACTGCTTCTCTTCATTTCCAGAAACTCCACTAAACAGAAAAAATATGTAATTAATGTACAGAAATGTATGTGGTACAGATATAGAGGTTCTGTGATGATCCGGGATTAGTGGAGCTATCAGCCTCTGCCTTGACTTTTTGTTTATAAGATTTTAATAAATGAAATAAGAATCTAGTCTGAACCTAATAAATCTATATAAATGCTTTGGAGGAAAACTGCAAGGCATACCAACTGTTCAGAGATGAGCTATGATGGCACATAACCTGAAATTATGCAGTTTTCTGTTAAAAATGTAAGGCTATTTAAATGAGGGGGTTTGCTGAGAAGCTAAATCCACTTTAGATTTAAGAAAACAAGCTGTGAAATTTGGTAATTATGTACTCAGAGTCAATTGTTTCAGGAACCAAGGATTTTTATTTACCATGATTTATGATTTATTTTTGTTTAAAATTATCCATTAAAAACTCAGCCAACAAATTAATGTTCATAGGATAATATGGAGAGAAGCAATAGAGTAATTTCACAGTTCAGTGATCAGTATATGAAGAAGACAGACTTCTGGGGAAAAAAAGCAGGGTAGAAGGGAATGGCGCAGAAAATTCTTCTTAGTCTACAAGTCCATTGTTTTCTGTGGCTAGTAGGGGTAATTTGGAAGCTCCATATTAAAGATACCTTGCTCATGGGTGTGGGAAAAGCTAAGCAGCACATTGACTTTGTCATTTTACTGAAAACTCATTTTAAATTAATTAATGGATGTAACACTTATTTCTGTTTTTCACTTACAGTCTGAATCACCTAGTAATGGAAGGAGCAATCTAACATCTACTCCTGTTCTGCCAGCACTTTTAGAAAAGTGAGTTTTCTCTAGGTCATCTCATTACTTATTAAATTCTAGTATGAAATTAAAATGATATAATTTGTATCTTTCCTAACAGAAGTTATACCAAAGTATATGGTATTGAAATCAGTGACACGATATTGGTTTGGGTTGATTTGTGGTCTGGTAACTTCATGTCACCATCATATTGTTCTTTTCATGTTCAAAGAGTTTACAAGCAGTATCTCAGAACTAAATCAAGCCTGCAATGATCATTAGAACTCATCAAGTAAAAAACACGGCAGAAGATTATACATTTGCACATTTGAGTAGGCCTGCCTTCACAACTTGACAAAACTAAGAGCATTTCATACAATGCATGTGACTTTTTAAAAATATGTTTTTTGGAACATATTAATGCTGTATCTAAAGTTGGCCATGAGCAACCCTGGGTACGAATATTCCTTAACTTGACTATCCCACTAATAGAAGTTTGTGTTCTGCCCTTGCCTTTGCAACATGTGGCCAGCTGGTAAGAATCGTATCTTGAAATGCTATGATATCCAGTGTCATGTAGGTTTTTAAATTTATATGAATAAGCATATGAAATTAAAAAGTATTATGATTCAAAACCATAATATTAGATCATCAAAATTTTGCATAAGTAAAAACAATGGTTAAATTTAATAGTTTGGTTTTTTTTTTTTTATAAACTGAACATTCAACTAAATTAAAGCATTAGGTTTGAGATTTTAGTTTTAACAACTTGAGATTTTAGTTTTAACAGCCAGAGAAATTTGCATTTTAAAATTAAAAAATAGAGATATGGAAGAGGAGATTTTTTTTTTTCAGCCAAGTAACAAGCAAATACCTCAACATCTGTATTTTTCTGGTACCTATATATTGCAAAAATATTTTTTACTAAAACATTTGCCCTTTTGACTCTATATTACTTACCATTAGTCTAGATGTCCTGGCTGGATTAAGGTGTGCTGTTGTTACCCATTTTCTGTAATAGTTCCCTGAGTCATTCCACGGTTTTAAACAGTACTACTTTCAGAGCAAAATAATAGTTATATGAACAAGGAAAGCAAAGAATTGCTCTGCTGGAAAGCATGTGCATCTACACATTTCTAGAAAGAACTCTTAAGTTCTTCCAGTTGAAATTCATGTAGACATGTAATTTAATTTAATACAAGTTATTGAAATGTAAAGCCCCAGCAGTAATAGAATACAAAGGTGGACAAGATGAAAACATGTGAGACTGGAATGAGAACAGAAGACATACTCAAGCTGCTCCACATCTTTATAAACAGTTACCATTATGGATACAGGTGCTGTTGCATTTGCAAACCCGTGTGTATATATACTTTATTCGTATGTACAATCAGCCTAGAAAGCAAAAATAAAAAATTGTCGTGCCCATTTTCAAATACTTCTCCTTGTCAGGAAATGTTGCACGTTCTAAGAAAGTTGCTTGCTAATGGTTCAGAAGTAAAACTTACTAAAACATCCCATTGATTTTTGTTGTTGTTCCTACTATTACTACTTTGGTCTTTTAAACTGTTTACAATATCACAATAAAATATCTGCAATACTAATTTCAATTAAAGTTTGTTAGGCTACTTTAAATATGCAAATTAAAAGCTTTAAAATATGTAGATCTCACATCAGTACAGAATATTGAATTTCATGTATATAATATCAGTGCTGAGGCAGGACAAAATTTATCTTATGTCTTTGTTTTATCTCTGTGCTTTATTAAGAATGCAAATATGCAAATAAAACCAGTGAACTATGACACTAGCTGTTACAATTCAGCAGAATGCTGCAAGATATAGACCGTCCTTTGAAACCATACAGAAATTCTGGAAAACAAAAAAACCCCCAAAGCCCTTATCAGTGGTTCTTACTGGTTCTTAAGAAAACAAATCATGTTATCAAGTAAAGGAAGTAGAACATGAAATTCAAGTTTGAGCATAAGTATGTATGCATGGGCCAGCTGCTATAGTAGTGTGAAATCATATAGTTCAGCAGAGTTTTGTATATTTAAGCATTCATGTTTATATTTATGATTTGTTTAAAGTACAAGTGAAAATGTCTACTGTTAATCCAACTTCCCAAGAGAAAATCCATTGCTCACAGATGGTGTCAATCAGGATGAATTATTCTGCCATTTGTTTTAGTGCCAGAAAAATAAAGCCTACAGAAAGTGTTAGATTCTCAAAGTTGAAATGGGATCCACTGTTGAGCTTATTAAACATTGACTTTGATAGATTTGCGAAGTTGTGTCTAAATCACATAAACTCTTTGTCCCAGACTTAAATGAGGCAGGTGAGCACTGCAGAAAGAGAGCAATATACAAAGGCTTATCTTTAGGCTAAATACTCAAAGCTTTTACTTAAGAGAAGTTTTTGTGACAAAAGCTGTGTATGTGTTTGTATTTTTTTAACCTGTGCAGCATATAAAGTCAGCAGAGAGGAATACCTAACAGGCAAATAAGAAAAATGTTTTGTTAAATTAGTATTTGGTATTATTTCTGTTGTCTTCCACTGATGTAGCAGGCTACAATTTCTAAGATGACTTTTAGAAAGTCGATGGAATTGTTTTCAAGAATAACAAATAAATGCCATGGATAAGCCAGGAACCAAATGCTCTTTTCTTTTTTAAAGAAGAAACAAAATGCAAGTTTTAATACCTTAGAAAAATATTAATTACCATTCTTGAATTACAGCATTTTGAAACTAAAATTTTGCTTATTATTTAATTTTTTTATGTTGAAAGACATTGCATTTCTTCAACATACATTGAAGAAGAAAAATCAAGAGTCACAAAATTGTGTGTGATTGTTCTTGTTCATTAGTATACTCCAAATACAGTACATTTCAGCGGTGTTATTTTCTATTTGTCTTTCTTTTGTCTTGGCAGTGGAAAGACTAATGGAGAGCCTGACTGTGAAACCTCTACTTCTGTGCTGACACAGAGTGTGTTGGAAGAGATCAATCCTGAAACTAAAGCCAAGATAGAGGAGGAAGCATATAACAAAGGGTGGGAAGATTTTATCTGAACTAAATCTGTAAATATGTGCTACCAGATGAGGATGTATGTTTTTATAATGTAATTTTAAATGCAAAATGAGAGACATAATCAATATGAGCTCCTAGAAGATGGTCATGATTGAAGCAATATGGGAAATAATGCGAGTGAGCTTCACTCATTGCATTTGCATTGCAGCTATTCATTTTCATTAATGTTAGCCAACCTTTGGGAGAGCAGTTGTATCACAGATTCTGAGTTGGGTGGGTGTTCTTATGTCAATAGTGTTCTGCTTCATGATAGGATAATCCAAAACAACTTTCTACAATGTTTATTCTGAAAAGCGTACATGGAAATGAGTAAAAAGTATCAACTCTTGTAGTAGACTCATGTAATTTGTGCCACAAAGTGCTTTACACAGCATGTTTTTGGGGCTATTTACAGCTTTGGGATCTGTTTCTGAATGTCAAGTAAAGAACCTCGCACTATGTGAAGAGTGAGACAAAAATTTTGATCCTCTCTGCAGAATCCAACAAGCCATCTATCTTTATAACTGATTTACATTTATTCTCCAGGAAAAAAAAATATTTAGAAGATGTTCAAAATGATTAAAAAAATAATAGAGAAATATTTCCCAACTTTTTTACTATAGACAAAAGTTGTGTTCTACTGAGGACTGTAACCTCTTTTACAAGATGATAAGTTTGGTAACAGAGCTAATGTAATCCTCTGTTAAGGAAGGGTGGCTGTTAGTGTGCCATACTTGTGGTCTTTAGCTAATTTTTACTGTTGTCCAAGTGCTGCCACACTGCTACTTGTGTTTTATTGCACGTAACAAAACATAAAGCTAATTTTTCATTACATAAGAACAGGCTTATACAGCATGTTAAACTAAGAAAAATGTTTTTTGTGTTAAAGCTATCAGGAAGGCTTGAAGAAAACCAAAGAACTTCAGGAACTGAAGGAAGAAGATGAAGAGACACCAAAAGAAAGTCATGATGAACATGAAGAAAGTGAAAATGAAGATGAAATAAAAAACCTGAAAAGCAGGTGAGACAGTGGTGTAGTATGTCCATACAAGAGGAGCCACTTTTTTCTTTATGTGATACCCAACCAAGTGTTTTATACTATTATTTTGACATGTTTTCTTCCAGTCTAGGGAAGCATATTTTAAATAAAAGTATTTTCACAGAAGCATATTCTTTGATAACATAGATGCAAAATGCAAAACTTTTTTTGTTGATATTTCAACTAAAATTGTATGTTGACATCAAGATGCCTCATTTTGACAGGGTTTGGTTTTGATGTGAGGTAAAAAATATTTCACAAAAGTTTTTAGATGCCAGAACGACTCTCTCAGTAAGCATGCATTGTCTCATGAAAGTTGTAATTCAGGAATCTGATGCCCATATTTGTCCCATATGTCATTCCTAAAGGGTATTCACAGGTCAGTCTTTCAGTACATCTACAAGGTGAATGCAAATTAAGACAAGCTCCTCAGATATGTTGGACTTGCTCTGACTTGAACAGGCAGGTGTTTGCTCCCTCTGGAATCTGTGTAGGTGCAGCAGAACAGCACTATGCTGGAGTTCCTGCCTTTCAGCAGGGACATGTTTATTGCATTCATCTGTACCCAAATGCTCTTTGTCTGTACTGGGGACTTTTGAATAATCTGCTTATTGTCTTACCTGAGGCATTTGGTGCCTAACTGGAAAACTTTACTGAAATTTTCAACTTTTCTTGGAGTTAATTATTAAGTCTCCTCAGTGGTTCTACAACCCAATTCAGTATACCTGCAATTTCCTGCATTTTAAAAGCAGAGAGTCTTTTGCATTAGATAGGAATTGAATACTGGCCAAAGTAAATAATACGTTCAGTCCCGATCTAATGTAGGGATCCATACCTGATGCAGAAGAATTAATTTCCATTCCATAACCATTGTGATTATAAGCATCTGTTAATTTGAGATTTCAGTCATGTTCAGGAGAGCAGCCATCTCACTAATCATGAAACTCTTAAGAAGAAATGTTTACAACATGTTGTGATGTTTAGCTTAGTTGAGCAGGCTATGAACAGTGCAGAATTTTACATCATATCAAGCTCTGAGATTGCCAGTTGACAGGTGGGAGAAGTCAAGTTTACAGTCTTCAGCCATCTTGCAAATATCACCCATATCTGAGCGTATGGCTCTTCTTAAAAGAACTTAACAGTCTGATTCTTCTTTGACAGAGTATTTGTATTTGGAAGAAAGATGGTGCACCATACATCTATGAAACTTCTCAAACTGAAAAGCTTAAGATAATAAATTTGCATATGATTAATATATAACAGTTTCCTTTTAATTTTACAGCAGACTTGAAGTCATCATTAATTATTTACATATACTGTACCCCAAACTGTGTAAACACTGGAATGTGGTATGGCTTGTAGTGGCTGCGATAATCATTTTTGCTGTGGTGTTGGGAATCTACCATTCATACAACTCCTGTGATGAAAAATCAGAGGCACCTGAAGGGAAGGCCAGCTGTTCTGCTGCCCATCAACATTCCTGGTGGAACTCAGGATTTCAGCATGAGCAACGCACTGAATAATAAAGGAACAACCACATATTTATGGTACCTGAGCAAGTACACGTATTAGAACACAGTTGTTAAAGGTAGTGCTTGGTCATCCTTATGGTTGTTAAATATGATCTGTTAGACAGGTGAGTTACTCCGCACCATCAGGTTTGGGGATACCTATAAACATACCTTGCCAAAATGACAATCTGATAAATAACCCTGTCTGTCCTCTTATTGTAAATGATTGGTACAAATAAAGTAATATTGAATCATGATAAGGTTATGGCAGTAATCAGAAACCAGCAAGACATTTAAAAGAATGATTTGCACAACACATTGACATCTCTGCTATTATTTTGAAGAAAAATGTAAAACCTGCATTTGCAGTTAGTGCTTTACCTTGCATTTCCTGAATATATTGGTGATTGTTGAAGTACTAATGACATTTAAGTCCTGTGGGTTTTAAGAGTCTAATTCATTTCTTTATTCATTATTATTGGGTAGAAATAGAAGCTCTTCTATAGAAGGTTAGAATTATATTATCAGATCAAATGCCTTGCTGATAGAGTAATTTAATATGAGGAATTATCTCTATGATTATTTAAATGGAATACTAAGTACGTACATAAATGTGTTTTATAATTTACTTTAAGAATGGGACCACCACTTTTTTTTTTTTTTTAAATGGGATACATACCAAAACCTAAAATGAGGCAGAGGTGGCACAGTCAGCTTAATCTGGGCACTTATGATATATCAAAGGGACATACTTGACAACAAATTTGTATATGCCACTCAGAGTCACTACTGGCTACAGCATAAAGTATCTGCTGTCTGGCAGATTAGATGTGTTGCCTAAGCCCAAAACACAGCAGTCTTGGATGTGGGAAGCAATCTTCAATTCTTTATTTAAAAAAAAAAAAGAGAGAGAAAAAAGCAGTGTCTTCAAACCTGTGAGTACAGGTCATCATATTAAGTGGACTCTGTCCTACTGCTAATGCTGGAAATAGATATTCTTTGAAATCTGCATTAGGAACACAGTTCTGAGTACAGTCAAAACCCTATCAGTGCCTAGATGAATTGAGACATGAAAGCACTGAGGACTTTGAAGAGGTCACTGCATGTTTTTAGTAGTTCATTTTCAGAATCTGATGCCAAGTATATAACTGTTCTGATACGTTTTCAAAGCTAAACCATCAGGTCATGATAGACGAATCTTTTGCTCAGATTTTTTAACAGTTCTGCCTACTTAGGAGTTGTGAGTTCTTACACAAGAATGTTAAAGACTGAAATTTTTAGACAAGCAATTTCAAAATGGTGAAGCCATTATCTGTAAAAAACCACACCACATAGGGCTGAGACCAAAATGCGTGTCACTTAAGGTATACCGTATGTACCTGCTGAACATCACTTCTGATTGAAGATGAACTATGTTCGTCTTTCCGTAGCTATATGCTTGAATCTAACTACAATATCAAAATCAGTGTGACACTTGATTGCACTCATGTCTTGCGTTATTCTGGCATTTTCTGACTGATTAACAGGTCTGTTTACCAGCTGAAGGACAAGTATGTTATGAAGTACTGTAATTTCAGTTCAGATGCAGTTAGTATTGTCTTGTTTTCTTTTGGTGTCAACACTGAACTTCAAGCTGACTATCAAAGAAAACAGGTTTCTAACTCAGTCAGAAATTTAATTCACATATCTGGCACTAGTAACAAATATCCTGCTGGTGAGTTTTGTTTGTTACGTCTTTAGCCACATGTTTCTTAAGAGACATTTATATGGAGAAAGGAAAGAAAAATTAATTAATTAATTAATTAATTAAACAAATAAGCCAACCACCACTTTTTTTTTTTTTTGGATGGGGGGAAATCTAGAAGCAGTTGGGAGGTTTGTTTTTTATTTTAAAGTATATATTAATGAGGAATAGTGTGCTTAAGGAAGTTCAAAAAGGATAATGGGAAAGTGTCATTTGGTCTAAAATTGTAATTGGTAAAGATTAACACAGAAGGTTTCCTGCAAATTACTTGGTATCTGTTTGGTTCAGTTAGAATATCTGACTGTGAAGAACTACTGTGACATTTCACATACTTTTTCAGTATTTGAAGAAACTTATCAATTGATCTTTGAATACTTCTTTATTAAAATCACCTTCTTCAACTTAATATTCTTCACAAACAGCATTGATAATAAGGCAATAAAAATTGAAGGTAAATAGTCCTGAATATTCAGAATCCTCTATGTCAGAAATTATGGCACATATTTGATTATTTGATTGTAGAAATGTTGGGCTGCACCAAGGAAAAATTATTAACAATACCTATAATTGAATTAATTCGCTCTTATTTACATCTGCACTGATACGGGTCCAACACCTCACTTTAAGAAAGTTAGTCTTTCATATAGAAAGTTAGTGATATCAATAGTGCTCTTGAACTGCTTAATGTTAAGCATGTGCTAAGTTTTTTCTGGTCAGTGGGTGAACAAGATCTCCACCCTCTCTTGAAATTCAGCACACTGGCTTTTTGTGGACTCAGTGCACAAAGGTGAATTTCCATAAGTAGCTGTACTGATTTGAACAGAACTACTTGCATGTCTAAGGCAAGTATAATTTAGCCACAAAGTTATTAATTTTTGTGGGGAATGGACTGAAAGAGGCAAGAGATTTTAATGGGGATGAAAAGAAGAAGTTTATTTTTAAAAAAACCTGGTTGTTCTTTTTATAACTACTTTGAGCAAACTGTCCACTAAAAATAATGAACCACAATGACTAACAGCACATTAAATATTTTTACTTATATTTTGCAGTTAGTTAATGAAGACAACATTTTTTATTAGGAAACTAGATTGAGATCAAAAACTATTCTAAATGTAATTTTATCTGTTCAATATTAGTTTGCTTTATCTGGAAAAAAAAACCCAAGCTCTTCTGTGTTCAAAGATCACATCTGATAACAAGAAATAGATCTATTATTTATGCTATTTACACTGAAATAGTTTTCTTGAGGTGCAATATTTATTTTTCTGCTTTAACAAGACACGTTTATTGTTTTTCCTGCACAGCACAGATGTTTCTAGTAAAAGGAATTTTAAAAGGGCACTATTTTTGTGTATCATATTTAAATCTGTAATATTGTAAGATTTTGCACAAGTGTGCTGGTATTGTACTGTATAGTATCACATACTTGAGTTTTGAAATAAAAGTATGGTTTCAAAGTCCTCAGTGTTGCTACCTTTAAGATTTGTTTTTTACATGCACTCTGTCTGCCTATAAATGGCTATGTTCTTATGAAATCAATAATGCCTTGTCTATACTGCATAATGTAGTGCTATGTTACACATACCAAAGCTCTTGTTCTTAGTCTTTCAGTTCTTCAGGAAAATGATGCAGAAGAAGCAAGCAAACTCTTGTTTCGGTAGAGAAAGTGTGTGTAAGCAGGGTCATCCTTGTCATACCCTAGAAACAAGATGAGAGAGGAAACTGAAATATCCTGGAGAGAGTTTAAATCCTGCCTCAGAGGGAGGCTGCCTGTCACTGAGGAGGTTGAACACAGAAAGCCACAAGGGAGATCTGTAACTAAAGGTTAGGATTCTTTATTTGCTTTGTGTTCTTGTAGGCTTGGGAGTTCTGGAAAGCCTGGGTTTTGTGGAGGGCTGAACTGCCAGACCAGTGGGAAGGAGAAAATGCTCAATTTCCACAAGGAACAGAAGTATTGCTTTTAAATCTCTGATGATCTGTGTCAGGGATAAAATCTTTGGGACAGCAACAACCTTGAAAGGAATGACTATTACCAGGAAGAGACCCTGATATTTGTATTTTCCACATAAACATTTTTTTTAAAACTTATTTCCTCTCTTGTTGTCCAGGCAGCAAGGTTCCTTTAGAAATGATAGTAGAGAACAGTTAAGTCTGTTCTCGCATATCAAAAGTTTAGCAGTCCTCATCAGCATTTTAAACATGCTGGCATGAGATGCTGGGAGTTTTCCTTGTAGGTTACTATGAGTATTTAGGTCAAATGCTAATTAAACATCCAGTATGGGACTGATGCTTTTTCACCACACAAGTTAAGACCCACAGACAGGTTAAAGACCTTTTATACTGTTACAGTCCAGGTAAGTGATCTTCCACACAGTTTTAGAACAACTGAAATGTAAAAACAAAGAAGCTGACTAAAAAAAAAAAAGGGTTATTTCAGTCTTGCTTTATCATTCTAAATTTTTTTTCCCTCTCCTAATCTGTAATTTGCTCTTACAAAACGATATGAAGGAGCTTATTTGTTCTGTTTGATGTTACAAAGGTGTTTATCTCACTTTTCTGGAGAAAAATCCTATTAAACATCAATAACATGGACAGTTTGACTAAAGGAACTTCGCTGCAGTGAGGATAATAGGCACAAAGTTTTAAAACTTGGAAGGACAATTAGCATGAAATTTTAAACCCAGCTTTTGATTAGTTTTCATGATAGGTAGTACTTAGCAGCTCAAGGTGAGGATGGAGATGGCAAGATTTTGTTTAATGTTTTTGGTGTTTTACAGCCCCAGCCCACTAGTCCATGAGAGCTACAAAGTAACTATTAGCTCCAGCTCCTACATTGTAAATGCAAGTGAATCTACTTAGAACTTGCTTCAGTGAGAGTAAGTCTGATTACAGTACCTCAGATTGCCATCACTTTGTAGAGGCAGGTAAGTACAACACAATAAAGGAGTGAATAGAGATTGGAGCAAGAAATTTGTCTTAAGATCTCAAGGAGCTTTACCAACATTCAGTTCCAAACCACAGCCCAAACACAACCAAATTTTCCTTTCTTTGTTGCTAATGGAGACATCATTTCATTAACCCACAGCATTCTCCGCTTGGCCCTGTAGATGCCTGTCTATGTTACAGTATACCCATAACCATGTTATATGCTGCTGTAAGAGATTTGGGCTGTGCCCACATAAAAGTTAATACTATTGTGATATATTAAGTGGGAACTTTCTACAATGCAAACCACAGTTTAAAGAGGTAGCTACTGTTACACTTGTGTTTACAGGACCTTGATGACAGCCAGGGGATGTAAGACATCTGAAAGTTTACTGAATCACACACTGAACATGATGTAAAAAAAAATCATCCTGTTACAAAAAAAGGCTCATACCATTCTGAACTGTATAAGCAGGTAATTTATTAACTGGTACTTGGCATTGGCAAGGCTTCAGCTAGAGAGAAAGAGGGAGCAAGCTGGGTTTCTTAGCTGAAAGATGAGTGGGAGCAGAGGTATAACTAAATACAAATTGTTGCAAAACATAAGGGAATTAATTATTTTCCATGTCCATTTCCAACAAGAAAATAAATTATATGTTTACACCATGGTATGGATAATTCAGTTTAGACTAGGGAATACCTTTTAACAGTAAAGGACAGTGAAGCGCTGGAAGTGAGCATTTGAGGAAGTGTTAGAAATTTGTCACTGAAAGTCTTCAGGAACAGGTTAGAAAAACATCTGTCAGGAATAATACAAATACAGCTGATCCTACTGACAGTAAAGGGAACTAGCTGGTCTCTTGAACTGTATTCCTGCTCTGTGTTTGTTGGATTCTCTGCAAAAAAAAAAAAAAAAAAAAAAAAAAAAAAAAAAAAAAAATTTCTTTGCTAAGGCTTCCTGAAGGTTTTCTAAATTATATCTATGAGGATCATCTGTGCTTTGAATCAGTCTATTGGAATCACTAGTTTTCGGAACTTCTCAGAAGGCAGCAGTGAAGGGACTGGGTCGCACCTCTGTCCCTACAGTCTCACAAGAAATCCTATTCACAGTAGTGTATCTCCAAATCTGTTCAAAACTAGGTATCATTATCTCTGTGTTATGGTACCTATTTTTGCATTGGAACAGTAAGGCAAAGGAAGGCAAAGGCAAAGAAAAATCCTGCCTGGTATGCTGTGATACAATAGAGAACTCATTTTATTTACCAGATGAATAGACAACATGAGTAATGAGCTGTTAATTGGTAAAACAGGAAAAAATAGTAAAATAAAAACTTCTTTCAAAGTGTTTACTGATTTAGCAGTCTAACAGTCTTATCTCCCTTCCTCAGCTGTGTTTTCTGAGTCAGCAGTAGTTAAATTTTCCAGAAAGCCCTACATGAAAGAAAGTGTAAAGGGTAGTTAGGGATTTCCAGTCAGTGACCTCACCTTTGAGTGGGACAGTCAACACATTTGCTCTGACATTCTTTCTATGAAGCAGTGCAGTGACAACTGAAGTTGCTTTCAAGAAATCATCTCAAAGCTTGTCTGACAGTATCCAGTACCTTAACTTTTCCTAGCACGGGAGAAAATCACCTTGAATTTCTTAGTTTTCCAAGTTGGTGACAATGGCAACTTATTTTGGAGTCACCTCAGCAGTGTTTTTCATCTGGGTTATGACATTCATGGCTCAAAATTACTTTATAACAGGTAGGTAAAGTTCCGCTTTTTAAAGTCTCCTAGTTGGACAGTAAAGTACTAGATTTGCAAACTGAAATGGGGGGAAGAGTGTGTGTTTAAGTGTGTTTCTGGCATCAGAAACCACAGGGTTTTGAGAATACAGTGCAAGAAAGACTACTCTAGCATATAGGGGAACTTTCATTGTTAACCTAATTTAAGTACTGTCTAAATGCTGTAGCATTATTGTCTAAATGCTACAGAACTTGTTGTTTTAAAGATTCGGTATTGCATTTAGGATTAAGTTCAGATCTATTGAAATGTGGTTTTTACTTTGTATTACTTAAAATGCCACAGCAAACAGTTTTGTACAATCCTCAGAGAGCAAAACATGCATGAAACTAGTTCTGTGTGTCTATGGTAAAATGCTATCTTTAATGCAAAGTGTGTTGTAGCATTCCCTGTGCTCTCCTGTAATGACTTACTGACTGTGCTTCACGGATGGACTCTGGACTTAGGTTGTAGGTAGCCTTGTCTCCAGAATGGATTTCAGGCATATATTATAGGTAGCACCATATTCTGCTGTTCCCAGGTGGACTTTCTGGATGAACCCTGCATCTGACTCATTGTCTTGCTTTTTCTGGGCCTGCCAGTGAAACGTGTCACTGTCACCACTGTGGTCCTGTTCAGGTGCCATGGTCACTGAGGTCACTGTCCTGACTGTGCTGCGGTCGCCCTCGGCATCCAGCTCCTTCTTCCTTGTGGAACAGCCTCATTCTTGCTGCTCACTGACATCAGCAGCCAAAGGAAACTCTCTCTAGTAAATCAGAGTGAAGGCTTTGCACAAGGCAAAGAGATAACAACAACAGCCTCCCCACAAAGAGAAAAAATAATGTGCAGTAAAGCCAATACCCATAGCTTAAAAAACTTGAATTATTTTCTTCCTGTCCTATGACAACTTTGTCTTGTTGTGAGATTCTTCTGTCTAGGTCTTCCCACATTTCTCAGTAAACAGATTTTTCACACAAGATCCAAATACTGAGGAGAATGACCCATTATTAATAGGTTAACTAAATAGAGCAAAGCATAAAGTACAGCTATGTGCAGCTTGCGGACCAAAAAGGATAATATGCTTCTAAAGGATCAGTCTGTCTCCCGTATAAACTCAGTCATCTTTAGAACAGAGTTCAGGGGTGATTTAAGAAGTGATGAAAAGACTTGAAGAGGCTACTGTTCTCTTTCTGGATTTCTTCCTCACACTGAAAACCATCTGAAATTTAGATTGAAGCTGATAACTTTGCCAAAATATTTCTTGTACTTCACCATTTTGTTTTAAAAATCTTAGCGAATTCTAAGGTACAACTTTGGTCCACGTCCTACATTCACTTTTCTTGTCACTTAAGACTTAGTTTTCTGGTACGGAATTTTTATATTATGCTATGTATCTATCATGCAATTCTCATGAAAAAATATTTGTCCTGTAATTGAATGACTAAAGACTGTAACAATTTTTGAGTATCTAGGCAGCTTTCTAAGGTTTCAGGAAAATCCATTAAGTTAGCTGCTCAGCTTTATTTGACATTTGTAAAGTTGGTCATTGAAAATCTTTCATTCTCAACATTGCATTTTTCAAAAGTTCTATTAGTTCAAATCTAAAGGTAGGAAAATAATTGAGTAAGCAATAAGAGTAAAAGTGAAGTATGAGCATTAAAAGTAGTAAGGGAGGAAAGGAATTAGGCATAAACCATAGAGGAGGAATGAGGTCTTGAAAACTAAGAGGAATTGTGAGATGTTGTACCTCAGCAGCTGAGACAGGGAGTTATTCAGGAAACCAGAAATGGTTCTCAAGAGGACCAGGATAATTGCCTGTTAGTAAAAGAAAATCAAGAAAACTTAACACTGGAACAGAACAGAACAGAACAGAACAGAACAGAACAGAACAGAACAGAACAGAACAGAACAGAACAGAACAGAACAGAATAGAATAGAATAGAATAGAATAGAATAGAATAGAATAGAATAGAATAGAATAGAATAGAATAGAATAGAATAGAATAGAATAGAATAGAATAGAATAGAATAGAATAGAATAGAATAGAATAGAATAGAATAGAATAGAATAGAATAGAATAGAATAGAATAGAATAGAATAGAATAGGTTTTCATTTGGAAGGTACCTACAGCCATCATCTAGTCCAACTGCCTGACCAATTCAGGGCTGACCAAAAGTTAAAGCATGCTGATAAGGGCATTGTTCAAAAGCCTCTTAAACACTGACAGGCCTGGGGCATTGCCACCTCTCCGGGAAGCCTGTTCCAGTGTTTGACCTCTCTGACACAGAAGTACTTTGGCCAAAATGAAGACATACAAGAGGGCGTTCATGAAGACAGGCTGGCTGAAAGGAAGACGTCTGACAGTGTGAATCATCTTCACATGGGGACTACTTGGATAGACTTGAGGTCCTTGGTACCTACACACACATCTTCACTGAGCAACAGGGCTTCTCTGCATCCTCATGCAATATGTTTGGGCTTGTCGTATGTTCAAGACAGGGCTGGATGCAGCTATGATTTGGCAATGGGGACTGCTCAAGTGTTCAGTGGCTCACCATGTGCCTGTGTCTACACCATACCAGGAAGCGTTAATGGGAGGCCACAGCCTCCATTGCTGCTAATTCAACGATTGCTCTACCAAACATTTAAGTCCAATTAAACTAAATGTAGGGACACACCAGAGATGCATCCTTTACCACAGCCATTTCCAACCCCACCACAGCCAGAGGGAGCAGGAGTGAAAAGCCTGCCTTTCTTTTAGCACTCCACACAAGCTTAGACATCTTATCGCCTTCTCACTATGGGAGTGGATTGGCTGCTAGTTCTATCTTTTAATTCATAAAATTCACCTTAACCTCTGTTGCTAAGAAGTCATGGGTGGTTCTGCAGGGATCAGTTCATCCAGCCTTGAGACTTTCTGGATCACCTGTATTCTGATGCATAGATTTTATGAAGCATGCATTAGTGTACATACCTGGTGAGCACACAGTCAGAAAGTATGTTGAGCAAGGAATTAACACCTGTAGCTGTTGGTTATCTGAAATGTTTGCATTGAAATGTTGAAATGTTTAATTTAATATGGCAGTTACTCCATGTAACTCAAAAAGAAAAAAATTTTTTTCCAGTATATGCTTCAGGTGAAATTTGGAGGCAAGAGAGTAATATCCTTTCTCCTTGTCTGTGTAAAATCCTGAATTCTGTCCTATGTCCTTGACACAGGCTAAGAAAGTAGAGAAGGTGTAATCATACCTAAGCTATGCATTTCCTGGTGCAGGTGTCATGAATAGTGTGCCAGCTGTGGCTACCTAAAAAAACTGGATAACCACCTATGGGAGAGGAATGGGGAAAGTGTCATAAATTCACCCAGCCTATCTCCTCTTTTCCTGCTGCCTGCTAAGCACTCAGTAAATTGAACACCTAACAGTGGCTGGGGCGTGGAAGCATCATGCCAAGCTAGGGAAAAAAAAAAAAAAAAGAAAATTAGGAATGATAAAATCGTTATATGTATATTTCCTTATTGGTATATTAATTACATGAAAAATTATATATATTACCTTTGATAGAACTCATGGTGGTAAGAGTGGTGGAGTAGTGTACTGCCAGAATCAGTGCCTCAGTGCAACTGTTAATTTTATAATTTTAATTTTTAAAAAAAAAGGAAAAACAACCTGTATGATTAGACTTCCCATTTTGGATGAATAAGTATGACAAATAAGAAAGTCTTTAGTAAGAAACCGAATCCAGGTAACAGCTCAAATGCTAACTGTATATGCATTTAGTATAATAACAGCCAAACCCCTTGAAATTCTAGACTATTGTGTTAAGAAAATATGTTCTATTTTTAAAGTATGTCTTTTTGCTAGAAATGAGTTTTCTACTATCCTCAAACTTAAAACTTTTAACAATGTTCAATTTAGTTGAATGTGATCTTAAATTCCTCATGAGGAATAGATGTTAATATTCAAATACTAACCTTGAATATTTATGTCTAAATTACAGGTTCCATTCTTTCACCTTGCAGGATCACAGGTGTAGGAATTTACCTTGAGGAGAAAGTGAATTTCTCAGAAGCAAGTAATGCATGTAATCAACTGAATCTACAGTTGGCAAGTAAAGACCAAGTTGAAAAGGCTTTGAAACATGGCTTTGAAACATGCAGGTATATGACATCAGTTAGTGTTTCATTACCTTCAGTGAATGCCTTTACACACATCTGAGGCTGGTGATAAATCTAAAAAGGACTGATGCTTTTTATTGTAGCTATGGATGGGTGAAAGATGGATTCGTGGTCATTCCTCGGATAACATCCAACAATAAATGTGGTAAAGGCAACGTTGGACTAGTGCTATGGTATGCCGAACTCTTTAAAACATTTAAGGTTTACTGCTTCAATTCCTCAGGTATGTAAGCATGACAACTACATTTTCTGTATTTTGGTTTGATTTTATTACTTTTTTAATATCTGCGTGAAAAAATCATAGCAAGTGAGTGAGTTCTTATAATTTGTTGGCCCTTTCCCCTGCACTCTTAAATGTTGTCAAGCTGTACTTAGCTCTGTGGGAGAAAAAAGCTTCCAATAAATACAAAAGGTCAGTTCAGTTAATCCAAATTAATAATTTGGTGCTGCCATGAATGCTCTTGAAGAGTTGCTTTTACCATTGTGTAATGTCAACACAAAGCTCTTAATATGTTTTCATTATTTAGGCACATTAATTTGAAAGACAGTGAATCGAATCTTTAACCAGGGTGTCTGTGTGGTGTGTTTTCTTGCAAAAATACCAAGAGTCAGGGGTGTACTTCAGGAAATGTTGAATGTTTTTTGATAAAAGGAAATGTATCCATTATATGTATTTAAAATATAAGCTATAATAGCTGAGACACCATAAAATTAGCTAGGTTCCCAATCTATTATCAATATAATCAAACAGCTTCCTTTAATGTGCATCATTTTATGTGTGAAAAGACTGGTCCTTCCCCTCATTCTTGACTGTCTATTTCCAGACTGAAGATAAAACAGCAGAACTTGGGCCTTGATACAAATTAGATCTCCCTAGATCTAGAGCAAAGATCAGTATTGTTTTTTGACGACTTCTGTGGTATTAACTAAAAATGAGTATTTAACTAGAGGCATTGTGTTCCTGTTAGTGTCCCATATGTATGGTTATTATGTAACAACTACCCAATAATTAGACCATATACAGGATCAATAAATTATTTCTAATCAGTCCCTAAACTTTGCCAATGAGTTTTAGATAACAAGAGCAAGAGATTATGTACAAACTCCTGAAATTTTTCAGGACAGATATGTGAGCAAGGGTTGGAAAGAGCAGGAAAAAAATTGATATGCAAGATACGCCCATGCAAAGATATGAAGGCCTAAGACTATGTCTGGTGACTGTGAACACTGGAGTTTACAAAGGCACTGAGGATAAAGCTCTTAGGAAGAAGGCCGTGCCTTCACCAGTGGGACTTTGTTCATGATCCTGGCCATTTCAGTGAAGGAGGGTAGGTAATACAAGTAGTTGGTTTACAAATTATCTGACTGCTAGTATGAAAGCGCTGCAGAGAGAAAGCACCATTAAAAATTGACTTATCACCTAAGATGTAAAGTTAAAATTTAGATGATTTGGCTTAGTTTTTCTCTACAGTCCATAGCTTTATTGATGAATGCACAGATGAATGATTACTCTGGCAACATGCTCTAAAAGAAGCTGCTCCTATTGGTGCTATTATTTCTTCTGTCCCTATGCAACAGGGTGTTTCAGTGCATGAAATACGTGTCATTCTGCACCATAAATGCTGGTAGGTTATGTCATGCTAAGGACGTAGCAAGTAGTTCCAAATGACTTGCTTCGCTTAGCGTTAATTCAAAAAAAATTATATTGCTACAGTATGTGAAGAAAGCTAAGCTTCATGAATGGTTAGAAAATAACTTAATGTATATTTAATATTGGGATGATTCTGCGTTTCCTTATGTAAATTGTCAAACTGTTGCCTGTTCTAGGCATTTCTAACCCAAAATATTTGGCAGAAGCTCATTCTGTAAAATCTCTTTGTGCCAAAGAAATGCCAAAATCACTTGAAAACTGTAGTGGAAAAAGTAAAAAGCCCTTGCCATTTAGATTTTACTCTGAATGTAATTGCGTCATCAGGCTTCCCACAGGGATTCATTTTGAGAACAGTACATATGTCATTTCCCTTTTATTTATGTTGTAACCTGCTTGTTACTTTAGTAAAATTTTGCAGCTTTACAGAATATAGAACTTCACTAGGAAAGAAGAATTTTCATATTTTCACATGAGCCTGATTCAGAACTCAGCTTTTCCATTTACATATAAAAGTTCACTTGCACCCACGTTTTTATATAGACAAAATTCACATCATTTAAATTACTTCATTTCTGAGTGTGCCGGAAGTTTGTTTCTTTCTTGTCCCCACTAGAATCATGTCACATTTTTTTTATCTCGCAGTGGTGGTCTGGTTTACCAGAAAGTTTTATGGCCTACTTTTGTTTCCGGAAATCAAAGTAGTGTTCCAGGTATCAACAGTGCATGCATATGTTTTGAACATATACATAATATAATAGAAATTGTTTTGTGTCTTGGATCTGCAGTTAAGTCTCCTCCTCTGCAGGAGTTCTTATTACTGTTTTTTATATGCATTATTATTTTAAGTATTTTTCAGAAAGAATCTTCTAATTGGCATGCAATTATGAAATGAGCACCACATTTGCTCAAAAAGATGCTTAATTATGTGAGTAATGATAAAAGGTGCATAATCTGGGTTGTAGCCATGTGTTTGAAATAGGCATGCCTGATTTGGGTAAGGCTTTTGTGAATACACGAATAATAATTTCATGAGGGAATGACAGAAACAATTTCAATAAACGTGTGTACTATAAGTACAATACTAACACCCAACACAACTCTTCTGTATTTCCTTTCCCTGCTGCAGATGTTCAGATTAATTCATGTAAACCAGATCCAACAACAACAATACTACCTTCAAGTACACCAACTGACTTGACTGCATATTCAGGTTCTGTTTTGACTGAGAACATCACAGCAGTGCCCAATCTGATTGAGTCAGAAAAATCCCTGAAAAATATAAGATTTCGTGTAATATGTATAACTGAAACTATATTACCGACAGAGGGAACTACTACAAAAATGCCAGAGGAATACTCACCAACTGACTCTCCTAACTACATTTCCCATGCTGCCTTTAAGAATGATGCCAGTGTCTTTGGAGGTAAAAGCCATATATGGTAGCTATTTAATTAGAAGAGCTAGTTACGTAGCTGTTAGTAGTAAAACTGTTTACTGATCTACTTGTTTGCTACTCCAGCATCCATTTTGATATAGCTGAATGTGGGGGCAGAATAGGAGTGTTAGTTTTGCAAAAGCAAAGCTTATAAGGCAGAGGATTTAAAAATAATTTTTAAGTAGAAGTAAGATCTTCTTTTATACTTTTTGATAATATTTTAATATGAAATGGTGGAAGTTAATACTGGTTAATATGATTTGGGGTAAATGCATTTCTGAGAAAGTCTTAACAAACACCATGTGCTCTGAGTAATGGAGAACTTAGCAGGCTTTTAAAAATAAAAGAATCCAAGAAAGTTTTAAGGAGAATTGTTGTTCTCCAAAAATGGAGGTGTTCTTGAGATATGAGGTGTGAATAAGTAATCCTAATATACAGCAACTGAGAAATAGACTAAATATGAGGGAAAGCATTCTAACTGTAGGGATAATTAAACACAAAAATGTGTTCTCTAAGCAGGTTGTAAAAATCCTCCAGTGAGCAGATTAGACAAACATCTGTCTGTGATTACCTAAATACCTTTTTTAGTCTCTCTTGAAAAAAATTAGCAGAAGTAACTAATATTTTGAAATTCCTAATATCTCGATTCTTGAGTTGATGTGTACGTACCTCTTACACTAGGCTGTTTTTAGAAGAATCTGGATTTATGCTCATGAGCCTTTCGAAAGTCAGAAGTACATATAAAAACGCTATGCTTATCTCACTTTCATCTCTAGGTATCCCCATTGCACTTCTCGTACTGGCAGTCATCTTCTTCATTATTTCAGTTGTTCTAGCAGTCTGCTATATCAAAAAGTAAGGTTTTTCTTTTTTCTTTTTTTTTTTTCCCTCTTGGATGGAGTTAACTCCTAGTGTACAACCAAGTAATATTTTAAATATATAGCTAAAGAGCGGAGAAGTAATGATAATGACATAATTGTGTAGCGCAAAGAAAAGAATACTAAACCCTGTTGTTATGCAGATAAAATTTGTTGTTGCTGTTGTCATTCCCCATTTTAGAAAGAGAATCAAAGACAAATATTACTCATTTTTGATTAGTCAGTCATGCCTAGTGTGAAACATTTCCAATTGTGGCAAAATAGCAACACTGCAGTGTGTATCTGTTTGTATATAAGTCTGTTTATGAAGTTTTATTCTTGTTTCTTTCTATGTCAGACTCAAGGTAAAAGTTTTCATTCTTGGACTATGATTGTGTTCAGAAAAAAATAGTTGTTGAGCTGGTTTGTCATGTGTAAAGATCTTCAACACAGTGCATTATTACATCTTGTTAAAAAGTCGTGTAGATTTCTCACACCCTAGCCCAGGTAGCTTTATTGTTATTATCATGAATCCTGAATATACACGGTCTGCTTTTTAAAAAAATACAAAAATATTTATTTAAAAATTACACTGCTTGAAAAAGCACAATGATCTATCATGCCACTATTCTCTGTGAGACTGTTGCTTGAGTATGGCAAAGAAAGTTTGTTCTAGACATTTTTCACTTTAGTTCTTGAGTGATATTACCAAACTATGTCAGTGTTTGTGCTTTATTATCCCTTCTTCTATTTAAAGGTATAAGAAAACCTTCCCATTTTCAAATAAGAATCAGCAAAAAGAAATGGTTGAAACCACTGCTCTCAAAGAGGCTAAGTCAAATGACAAAACACCTGAGAAGGAAACAAAGAATAATGGAAAAAAGGTAGAAGAGTCTAAAACCAAGCCTGAGGCCACGGTAAAATGTCTAGAAGCAGAAGTTTAAGGGGAAGAATGTACATTTCTTGATAGAAATATAAAATAAAGCACACAGAACTTAGCAGTGCTTTTAAACATGGGTGATTGTAAATACTCATGAATTAATATTTTCTCTATCTTAACATATGAAAATTTGTTTTTTTTAATAATTACATTTTTAGCTATAAATACTCCTGCAGAAGAATATGGTATCTTATTTACTTGAAATAAATAAAAAATCCATATTACAGCTCATTTATCATCTCTAATAAAAAAGTATTGGGAATATGCTATTAACAACATGCAGTGTGTTAACTATTTGCACAGAATTCAGATCAATATATAATGAAAAGAGTTTTCTTATCTGGTTGGAGGATGTCTGCTAACTTAATGTCTAAAATAAAATGATGATACTGGAGCTCTTCCTCATGTAGATTAGCTTAATTCCATTAAGTAGCTTCATACTGTTTTTGAAAAGTCTGTTTACAAACAGAAGAAATAAGTCTTTACAAGTGAGTAAAAAATCAAAGGATCAACCCACTGTCATTCAGATACCCAGGGAAGGGTACAAAGATGCTGACGTTTATATATATATACAGCAATGAATAGCTTTCCTAGATATCATCATATCATAACTTACTAGTTTATTTATTAAAACCTGTATCATTCTTCTGCATCAGATATTTGACAGGAGAGAAAAAAAACACTTTTGATTGTATCTCAACAGTTATATTTAAGATCTTTTGTGTATATTTAAGTGTGGCTTTTATACTAAAGATCTCGAGAGGTTTGGGACATTTACAGTACTTCATAAAAAAATAAAACATGGTAGATATGTTTGTCTGGACAATTTATTCTCATGAAAACTGTCTCACAGTAAAAAGAGCTTGTATAACCTTAATGTTACAGAAGTAATTATTTGTTATAAAAGAACAGCATGAGCAACTTATCAAATATTTTCTTGAATAAATGGTTTGGATATCTTATTTTTATATGTTGAAGGAGGTTATTATGGCAAAGAAGTTTCTTTTTGATTAAGCAGCTTGAAAAACAGTCTTAAATAAAATAGCAATAGAACTGCTCACCTGTATTTTGTTTTCTACAATGTAGGATGCTTTGTTATGAACTTCCATATTTTTGATTCACAGGAATTTAAAAATTGCCTAGTGGTTGTATATTCCAGTAGATAGTGAGTTATAGTGTATTGCTAACAGCATACTTGGAGATTCCCTGTATTGTTTTTTGCTTTCTCTCTCTTTTTTTTTTTTGATAGCTCAGAAATATTAATGTTTCCAAGAGTCTGGACTACGTTGATACGCAGTCCACCACTGCCATTTAAGCTATACTACTGCAGAAAGACTTTAATTCAGTACAGCTCTAAAACCCACTGATTTTAGACATCCGTCAACAGAATTTCAGCAGAAAAATGTGCAACAGAGGAAAGCACTATATACAGCCCTCCCACTCAGTTAAGTAATTACTCTCCTTGACATATACTCCAGTAATACCATGCATCTCTCTTGGCAACCTGAATGAAGGCACCTTACACCATATGAGCAGCAAGAGTAGACAGCAGAAGTAAGGCCACAGCCAGCACTTGTCATGACAGTGTGAGAACAGCAAATGGGCTTAAAGACACAGGCAATACAAGTGGATTCCAATTAATTTGGACGTTTTTGTGGCATATTATAATTTCCCTTCCACCTTTCTTTTTATGTGTTTTAAAGATAAGAAATTTCTTGTTTCTCTGTTCTTTTCCCCACCACCAAGAAATAATTATCTATCACTTCTGTTACTCTCCTACTAATATTGCCTTTATTTCACAGGTATCAGCTTCCTTTTCTCTCAGATTGTCACATTCACACCTAAAGAAATTAGGAAAATTTTTCTCTAGTTCCACTCCAGCTGGAAGTTTGTTGCTTCTGTTTATAGATATACGTAAGAGCTTTTTCTCCCCCCTTAAGTGTTTATGTTCTAAAAAAACTATACTAGTTGATATAATAAGATATTGCCTTAACCTATAAATCTCTTGCTTTATCATGTACCTTAAAAACTCAGATAGCTTTCATCCTGACCTTCGCACTGCCACCTGGCCAATACACATAGTTTGATCTGCCCCTCCTTTCCATCACACAATTTATAACAACTCTACAAAGACTAACAGGAGCTTGTTACACTGTTCTACATGTAACAAAAGCTAGCTATAAGTACTAATCAACAAGTACTGTATTTGATATTGTCTGTATGTAATGAGTACTACTCAGTCACAATCGAATTAGAAAGTACAAAACATTCCTGCTCATTGCTTAAGAGAATTGCAAGGGATCTACCACTACAAAGCAAACAGGAAACATTTATTTAAGTTCTAGACAAAAACTGTCAAAAAACCCAAACCCCTAACAGGTAGTAGAAACTTAAGAGAAATTCTTCATTATGTTTCTGACTTTTCTCAAGTGTCATGCTTTCCCTTACAAGACATTCTCAACAGCTATGAAGTTCCTTGATGTCTCAGAAATTGCATTATGCTCAAGTATCTTGGACAAATAATTCATTCCACCTAGGAGGAGATCACAGTTTGTACTAGTCATTTGACAGTAATACTACTCAGATTCCCACAGTGAGGCTACAGATGTTTGCTGACCTTAGGTGAAAGGGGTGGTTGGTCTACAGGAAATACAGTGAGGTTCCCAGTCCAGCCCAATCTCTGCCTGGAGTACAGGGGTGCCTTTATTGTGGGAAGTACGTGTGTCTATGTGTGAACAGAAGCAGGCAGGAAAGGGAAGTACTACTCCTTTTCTCCTCTTTAAATTAAAACAAAAAACAGCAACAACAACAAAAAGAAAAAAAAAAACAGCAAACAAACAAATAAATAAAAAAAAACCCAAACAAACAAACAAACACAACTCTAGAATTAAACCTTGAAGCATCAGGATGTGCATGACCTAGAGGATGTTCTAGGATTTCTGTTCCTAAATGGCTTATCATCATTTATGGGTGTTGGGGTTATTTTGTAAAAAGGTCTGTGAGCGTTGACCTCTGCCGCACACATCCAACCCCCCCATCCTCCACACAGAGCAGGGTGCTCTCTCTTCCCCCCAGCCCTGGCTGTTACGGCAGGTTGGGGTGGGGTGTTTTCCACCAGCAGTTGCTGACCAAGGCAGACACCCAGACTCCATGAATTATCATTTGTATTGATATTTATTAGAGCTAACAGAAAAGAGAGGATAGTACAAGTCGTCTTACACCCCTTCAGACGCTGGGAACCCCGGGCTGCGCAGCACCGAGTGGGCATCTGCTGAGGGTGCACAAGGCCCGCCTGCGGACAGGTTACCCCGTTTTGGTCGCTCAAGCTATTACAGGATTCTTCTCAAAAGAACACCGCTCTACACGCCATTCCTGCCGCAGAACAGGAAGGATGCCCAGGCAGGGCCGTCCCCGCTCAACTCTAACGCCCCCGCCGACTGCCCGGTGCGCAGCGGGTGCCCCGGCCCGGCCCCGCGCCCGCCGTGTCCTGGCAACAGCGCGAGCCGCGCGCGGCGTCACCGAGCCGCGCCGAGAGCCACCGCCCCTGCGCCTGCGCCGCTGGCCGACTGCCGGGGCGCGCGGGGAGCGGTCTCGCTCCGGTCCCGGTCCCGGACCCGGTCGCAGTCCGGCGGCGGCGAGCAGGATGCGGGGCCGCTGGGGTGAGGTTGCCGCCGGGGCCCTCCGGCCGCGGACCCTCGGGGGCTGCCGCGCCGCCCGCAGTCACGGCGACGCGGGCGGGGGGGGTTGGAGGGTGGGGTGTGGAGCGCAAGGCCCGGGGCACGGGAAGCCGTTGGGTGCGGACGCCCTGAGCAAAGCCCGGTCGGGCCTCGCTGCCGCCACCGTTGGGGCGGGAAGGGCCGAGCGGCGGTTCCCCGGGGGCACGGCGGCCACGGGAAACGGCGCGGGGCGGGGGGAGCTGGGCCACGCCCCTCCGCGCCGGGCCGTGCGGGAGTGACGCAGGCGGGGCTGTGCGCGCGGCCTGTCGCGAGGCCGCGAGCGGGCCGTGAGGGCTGACCGGGGCCGCCCGCGGCCCCGCTCCTCGTCCGCTCGCGTCGGAGAGACTGGAAAGGGAGGCGGCTCCTGGGACGCCCCGTTTATCTGTGTATGGGTTGGTGTATTTCCGATCCGGAAGAATATACAGAAGGAAACGCTTCTGCAGGCATCTTTGCAGGTTTTTTTTTTGTCCAAACTTTTCTGTGGTACAGGGTTAGGTTGGTTATGAGTTCCGTAGACTCACGGGCGGCACCTTGGCTCCTCGGGAAGAATGCATTTCAGCTAGAGGGAGCACAAAAACTGGAAGATACGGGACAGGCTGTCTTTGAGGGGTGAAAGGTTGTGCTGTGGAGAAGTTGTGCTGCCAGTGTGGCTTCTGGGTGTGTGCCCGCCAAACTCAGGAAGATGGAGGGGAATTCAGAAGGAGAAAAGTGACTTGAGTGGGAATACACCAGTCTGAGAATAGAAATAGGTCAAAATCCAAACATTAAGTTGGAAGTTAATTCTCTTGTATGAAATACCGGAATAGTTAATAGAATGCTCTGATATGAACTCACTTCACGTGTGCTGTGTTTTTCTTACACCATGGCAAGATCTTGACAGCTGTAGACCACATTACTGGCTAGTTTTATGCCCAGTTGTATGTACATGCAGGATGAAGTTCTGATTTTCTGAGACATCTCTCAAAAAGTGTTAGTAATGCACCTGGTATCAGATTATTCCATAGTTAAGATAAGGTTTTGCAATTAGCTTGCCATTGCAGACCTCTATCTGTAGAAGTCTTAAAAGGGTATGGAACTACTGTTTTGCATTAAAAGTGATGAACTCTGTACACACTGAGTTAATTTGCGTGCTTCTGCTATTTCAAGACTAAGATCAAAGAGAAATGTTGGGGGAGTGACAAATGAGAGGGATCAAGGAGAGGAAATGGATAAAGACTCAGAACCAGAAGGCATAGTGTGGATCCTAATACAGACTTTCAGGGAAAAAGATACAAGTGTAAAGGAAAGGTGAAATACAAGTTGGAGAGGTCTGAGCAAGTCAGATCTGTAATACATCCTAAAGTGGAGTGTTTTGTGCACATAGGGAGGTTTCTGAATTGGTTTATGCTGGTGTGGATTCCTTGGTTTACCAGTTTAAGAGTGCTGTGAGAGTTCTTTTGATCTGCCAGTGTCAGTCTGATGTGAGAAAGCTAATTCCTAATGTAATGTCTGTGTATAGACATACATTGATATGCTTATTTGTAGACATTCTGACTTTCACAGGCAAAAATATTTAGGGAAACCAAAGATTGTAATAAATTACCATTGTCATATTAAGGTTTTCTTTTCCATTTCATTGGATGTGTTTATATGTGTGTTGGAGGTGCTGAAGAATCTGCGTGAAAAAAAATATTTAAGTATTGCTGTAAGCAAAAGAATACATTTTTCATAAGTTCTTAACGCCACATTCCAGTCTTTTCTAAGTGTTCTGCTTTGTTTCTGATTTGACTGTTCAAGTTGTATTACTGTAGAATAATAAGACTGGTTAGTAGGTAGCTAAACTCTTACACTAAAAGAAAATGAGGGAGTAGCCATTCATAAAACACACAGATGTAACTCTCTACAATATTTTTATCAGAGACTCTACAAGTGGATGAGAACTTCTTTCTACGGAACTGAGGTGAAGAACTTCACCATGGGTCAACAAATTTCAAACCACACACAAACTGTAATTAACAAGTTGCCAGAAAAAGTAGCAAAGCATGCCTCTCTGGTTCAAGAAAGTGGTTTCCTAACGTACGAAGAGTTTCTGGGAAGAGTAGCTGAACTTAATGATGTGTAAGCCTTGCTTTGTTTCCTTCTTTTTCTCATGTTTTACAGAGACCTTGTATGCACTATATTCTCCTGTGCTGGCTAAGCCAGAACTGGCCATCCAGTTTTGAATTGTTTCCTTCAGTTCTTAAAGTTTCTATAATGGTTGTAATTACACTTCAAAACTAAAGCCAGTTCTCCTGCTTAAATTCACTTTTCTCGAATGTTCTTTTTCCAGCAAGGGTTACTTCTTCCTTAGAAGTGCACAAGAGGTAGATGTTTAGGAGTATCTTTTTGTTAGAGTTACCAGTCTCCCTTACTGTTGCTGCCTCCACCAGCCACCTAAAGATGCCATGCTGTTTCCTTTCCCCATCACTTCGGGTAGGAAGTAGCAATACGAGCCCTATAGAGACAGTACAGCTACACTCAGGTAGTACCTGAGACAGAACTGTTTGTGACCATCTCGCACCTTTGTGGACGTGCAGTGCTATTCTTCATTAAAGATGAGATGTGCCTTGCTATCTGAAACCAGTGACCAAGATAATCCCAAACAAAAAGCTGCATAAGTAAGGATTTTTCATAGCCTGCCTTTTATTTGACTGAAACACTGATGGTAAAAAGAAATGAACAAAGAACCAGAGTTGTCATTTTTACCCAATATTTATGGTATAAAATTATATGAAGTGGAAATGTATACACTGAAAAGGGACTTTGTAGCATGTGGCTTTTGGTAGTGTTTGATGTTAAATGTGAATTTGTATTCAGTATAGAAATAGTCTTGTAGAGTGACCTTCAAGAACAGGTAGCTGTCTTCTGGGTAGACACATAAGTAGATTTAGTAGAACATTATTTTTTGGCCAAGAATCTAAGCATAACTCAGTATAATTAATTCCAAAATATCAATTGTTATTAAAGAGGTTTTTTATTTCTTTGCAGTTCAGCCTGATTATAACATAGCATGTTCTCATTCTTATGGAATTGATCTTTGTATCCATGTTCCATTAAAAAATACGAAACCCCCAAAATCTCGGGGTCACCTTAAGCTTTCACCTGACTGCCTCATTATTAATATATACTAACAAAAATACACCTTATCAGCGTGTGTTCATACTTGCATGCTTTTCTTACATACATGGTAGGGAAACAACCTTTTCAGATTGGACCACTAGGCTGTATGGTTACTGCAGTAAACAGTGAAAGTACATATAAATTAATATGTCTGTAAGGGATGCTTGCTGATGCTGGATCAAAAGACTTGCACGTCATTTTCTGAAATTTACTGTGCAATTGAAAGTGAAATGGACCAGGTATTTTTTATTTAATGACATGCTAAGAAGGTCATTTCTCTTTAGTTTCATGTTTCTGGGCAGTATTGATAAAATCTCTTTAAGGATAAAGAGCACATAGGTGAACAATAAATAATACCACAGTGGTTGATGTTGCTGATCTTTGCATGTCTGGCAGATGATGTAAAACTGATGTTTCTTTATTTCAGTACTGCAAAATTGGCTTCTGGACAAGACAAGCATCTGTTATTTGAAGTGCAGCCTGGTTCTGACTCTTCTGCTTTCTGGAAGGTGGTCGTTCGGATAATATGTACTAAAGTAAGATTGTTGAAAATTTTAATTTGGTGAGAGTTCTGTTTACAGATATTTGAGGACTGTCACTTTTACTGGTAAAATCCAAAACCTGTTACAGATATTTTGAGTATATATTTTGATACAGATGATGCACTCAGTGATACTATTTGAGGTAAATGAAATCTAAATTCTAAGTTTCTGCAAAAAGCAGGTTAACAAAAACATTTTCATATTTAAGTTTAAAAGAATTATATCTTCCAAGGAAACACTTACAGGCCATTAGTTATGAATTCTGATGATTTGTGTGGTCAAGTCATGGTAATTAAATAGTACAACAAACTGAGAACTATGTAGTTTGATAGTAGTAGAAGTTAGTCAGCAATTCCAAGCATTATTAGTTGAGCAAGTGGAACCATATGTATTCTGATTCCTTAGAAAACCAATCTAGAAGTTAAACGTTTAACTTAGTTTGAAGACCATGACAAAACTTTGCAAGTTTGCTCATTCTAATGCGATTTCCCCCCTCTGTATCCTATCAAGTAGCATCCTTAAATGGTCCTGAATCCACTGAGCAACCTTGACATGTAGTTTCACCCAAGCCAACTGTCAAACTTTTTGAAACTAACAGATTGTAATGTTCTGTTTGCTCTTAGTTTTTATGAAAGCAGCCATCACTGTAGGCTATTTTAGGTTCAAATATGAAATGACCGTTTTTTCTGTTCTTTTTTCTAAGTTTAGCCCAGTTTTTCTGTCATTAGGTCCCTACTCAAAACTTAATCCATTTGAGTAGTGATGGTAGTTGTCCTGCCCTAAAAATGTATTCCCCATGATGAAATAGCTGTATTTGCAGGTCTTAACTCTTATTGAAGCAGACTGCAATAATATAGTGCTAGACGCTCGGGAAGGTGGCTACTGCCATGAGAATAGCAGTGCATTAAAAGAACTTTGAGCAATGTCAAGTACAAATCTGATATGTAATTGTAAACAATTCTTATATCTTAAGATAAATAAAACAAGTGGCATCGTGGAAGCTTCCAGAATCTTGAACTTGTATCAATTCATTCAACTTTATAAAGACATCACCAGTCAAGCAGCAGGAGTTCTTGCACAGAGTGGTACTTCTGAAGAAGCTGCTGAGAGTTTGATGTCTGTGTCATCTTGTCAGGCCAGCTTGTGGATGGGAAGGTATTTTGATGTACTCTAGCTTCTGACACAGTTACAACGTAAATATTTTGGAAGTTGTGTGTAAATCCTGAATTACAAACACCTAATGATCAAAACTGTGTGCTCTTGGCAGATGCAGACTTTGTATCATCGCAAACATGAATAGCACATTTTTTCTTGTACCAAGAGAGCTGTAGTGTACTTGGGTGAAATACTGTAGGTGCTACCATGCCTTAGCTTCAGAGCGATCATTTTAATGATCAGTTCTAATATAAACATGGTATATGTTGAATCCCCTGAATAAGGAAACAGGAGGAAATGGAATCAGCTGAAGCTACAAATCTAGGGGTTTTGACAGTGTTTGTTTAAACAGATTTTGTTATTGTTCCACTTAAACTTTCTCTTCCTCTTTTACATTTTGGCATGTGAAAGTTCCCATCTGTTGCCACTAGAAACTCATCAATTACAATAATAATTTAACTTGTAAGACTGGAAGAATGTGAACTGTCTCACACATGTTGACATCCTGCTTTGTTAACTAGAGGAAAAGCAAAAGACTGAGGTCAACACCTGCAATAACTTCAGTTCAAACTGAATTTAACAGCAAGAAGCTTGTCACCCTTTCCCTGTCTGGAAATGTTGCTACCAATAATTCCTTACTTTTAACCTTCTGAATTAATTCAGAGTTCTAACTCAGTTTTAAATGAGGTAGAGATAGATTTTACCAGAAAAAGTAGTAAATGGTATTATTCTCTATATCAAGCAGTGAACAAAACAATTGCTGAGCTAGTTAACTGTCTTTAGAATGTCACAGCTGTTAGAATGAAAAAGGGGTTGGCTGTGTAGTTGCTTTACAGATGAGACCCCACTGTTTTCTTAGTGGATTGCAGAATGTGTTTTTTTAATTTAATTTCCTGTTTCTCTTGTTTGGGAACAAATAATCTTAAACTATTGGCTATTCTGAGTTATTAAAATGCCAGAATTAGGTAGCAGATTGTGGACATGTTTGGGGAAGCCTATTTTCCTGATCTTTCTCAAAGACACATGGTTGTACTAGAACACATTTAAATCTGGAAATGGCCTTTTACTTCAAACAAAGAAACCAAACAAAAAAACCCCAGATGCTTCTGCAAATTAACTTTATATATTTCTAAAGTCAGTGAGTAGTTATAAGGTTTCCTAGGTGAGATTCTTTTTCAGTTTTCAGATTTTGAGATGGGGAAGATAAGCATCCTTCGTGTTTGTAAACTTCATCGCTTGAGGTAGTACTAGTGACAAATAACAACAACAGAGTATACTTTTCTAATATGCTGTTAATATGCTGGAATTTAATGAGCTTGTATCTTATCCACGTTTTTCAAGTCATTAAGGAAAGTACAGGCTGAATTACCTTCAGATATTTTATGCTGAGGAAATCTGTTTGTTTTTCTGTGATATACTCCCATTTGCTTAATTCTTCTCACCTTTAGACATTTTTCAGCTCTGCAAGAGCTGCTGTCACTGTCCAAAAATAGCAAATATTATCTGTTTCATTCTTCTTCTTAACTTCTTCCACAGGAATAATACCTCATTTCTCTGGAACATACACTTCCTATTTGGAGCATTCCAAAAATATTCATAAGTGGTTTGTGCTTTCTGTTACTGAAGAGACAAGCATTTCCTTAGTTTGTCACTCTTGTATTTTACCATTTCTTCAGAAACCTAGTCCTATGTCTAAATCTTAGGTTGCAGAAACTTTATAAATAGGGCATACATTTTATGTATAATTGCTTGTGTATACATCAGCAAATCTCAAAAATTGAAGTATTATCAAAGATTAGTACTCAGAGTTGCATGGGGGAGGGAAATGAAAAGGGGCAAGTCCAAAGAACATGGTGAACTGATCAAAAAACAGGTTTTTTTGGAGACTGTTGTCCTCGCTGTATGCAAATCACCATCTGTAGTTCTACAAAAAAATCTCCTAGCATTCTAAAGTATTTTCTCAAAAAGCAAATTGAAAAGGAAACCTACTGAAGAATAAAACAAAAGCTGGTTTTGCTTTGTCAGTTGCTGTCCATTATCTGGCGAATCTGTACAGCTCAAAAATTACTCTGTATTTGACAAGCTCCCAAGGTACCTAAGCAGAAGCAGCCTGGTCAATAGTCATGAAGGTGGAAAGCCTCTCCTGAAATGCAATTATTTCCAGAATGCTACCTGTGTGCCCCAAGTCAGAGAAGGGATTCCCAAATCAGGATTCCTAGAAAACCTAGAAATTTCAGAACACTTACTTGGCTGTCTTGCAAGTGAGCCTTGACTATAAAATTAGGGAACTTTACATGTCTAGTTAGGTCAGTGAAAGTTTAGGATTCTCTTCACTTTTTCATTCTTGAGAAGTCTTGATAATGCAAATATTTGAGTTACTACTGTTAGGAACTTTAGATACAGATATCTATTATTTGGGAAAAAAGAATGAATACTGATAAAATGAAAATGTCTGTCCCATGGATTGATCTAATTTTTAAATTTCCCCCGCCCCCAACAAGAACACCTAGAACCTTAACTGGAAAAGCTGTGGTAACAGTCAACTTTAGAGTGTTCTGATTTGAAAGAAGAATCATGAGGTGTGTATTGCAAGCTTAAACCAGCTTTTTCAATCTAATGAGCAGTTTGCTCTTGGCATTTTGATGGCATGTGAAATTAATGAACATGCATCCTAGTAGCGATTCTCTTGACATGCATGTTTTTATCTAGGACATAAGCTGGTATAGAGAAATTTGACAAAGTTCATTATGAATGGCTCAGCCTGCCGCTCTGTGAAAGGAAGGCAGGTTCTTCTGCCTTTAATGTAAACAGCATTTCTCTTCTTTTGCCCAGTCATGTGATATGTAGCAGCTACAACTTCTCACATTTCCTTGTTGGTATAAAAAAAGGATTTGCATAACCCTTTGCAACACCAAAAGCACCACATGACACAAAAAAAATAAATGCATATTCTAACTTAATTTAGTTCATTTACTGCTGTCTGTTGGTAGCTTGAGGCTATGCCTGCTGACATAGGCTGGGATGATGCAACTAGTCCATTCACAAAATTATGCATTCCCTGCAGATAAGCACAGGTGTTCCTTTCTGTCCATCACTAATTATTATGAAAAATGTAGTGACTAGTGCAGTTACTACTAGGGCATAAACATAAACATTGTGAGTTACCTGGGAGAAAATACTGTCGTCTTTTCTGCAGGGTTAAACAGTTGACAGACGAAGAGGAATGTTGCATCTGCATGGATGGGCGTGCTGATTTAATCTTGCCGTGTGCTCACAGTTTCTGCCAGAAATGCATTGATAAATGGTAATACATATTAGATATTAATTATTTTGTAGTATGTACTGGTTATCTGACATGTTTCAGTTTGATCTGACAGATTCCTTAGTTCCCGTATATTTTAATGTCTGAAGATAGTTGCAGGCTAATGTACATATGATACATAATAAGCCTGAGTAAAATCAGACTGCAGCAGAAGGAAAGAAGGATTTCAGAATTTGTCAACATCTTATGAAGAATTTCATTTTGGAAAAAGAGATGTGAAAGTGCTTTTCCACATTTGTTTGTGATTTCTGATCTCTTTTTATTCTTGTAAAATGAAATTACTGTATTTTTGCTCAAAAACTAGAAAAGACATATGAAGGTTTATGTTGATGCTGGAATGTTATGCCTCACAAGATCCCATTGAAAGCTTACTTTTAAAGAAAAAATCAATAGTTTTAAGACTATGCAAATATGAAGGGGAGTTGGAATATTTTATCACTTACTTGGGAAATAGCTATCAGAGGGATTTTTTTTCCATATATTATGCTTGCAATTGAAATAAGGGGAAGGGACCCTGAGGAACCAATTCTAAACTTCAGCGAGCTGAATGACCCAGGAAATGGATTCTTTTTTCCCTTTATATAGGAAGCTTATGGGGACTGGTTTCTGAAGCATCTCAGCTGAATATCTAAAGATAGGAAGAATTAATTTAGGCTGTGGATTTAACCTTCTGAACAGGTAGCTATAGATGCATTCTTGATAATGGGCAACATGACTCCAAATTTATCACTCAGAGAATGGAGCTACATTCAGAATTGTTGGCCAGCCTGCCCCACAAAGAAAAAGTTTTTAAACAAATGACAAAATATATAGATAGTCTAATCCAGTTAACCTGATCATTCTTTGAAGTTCTCACTGGGTTATTTCGGTTTGGTTTTGGGGGGTTGTTTCTTTTGTTTGTTCTTTGTTTTTTTGTTTTGTTTTTTTTTTTGTCTTTTTTTCCATTTGCTTGGGGGCTCTTTTGGCGGCTTCTGGCCAGGAAGAGACCATCAATGAAAAATACTAATTTCCCTGGCTTCCTAACAGGAGTGATCGTCACAGAAGCTGTCCTGTTTGCCGTCGGCAGGTGACTGGGGCAAGTGATTCTTGGGTCGTCTCAGATGCACCTACGGAAGATGATATCGCCACTTACATACTTAACATGGTGGATGAGGTGGGCCAGCCTCACAGACCCTGACACTGGCCAACAAGCTGATAATAGAGAAGCACTTGAAGCTTTCATTGTCACGAACATCTGTTTTTACCTCTCGTTGCCGTTCTTCCACAGTCCGTCTTTTTCTTCTCTTGGCTGCTGTGAATCTACGCTGCTCTTTTAAAACACAGGTTATATGAGCCAGTATATGTGTGTGCAGTGTCTTAATTATTAATCTGTATTTTCAGTAAACTCTTTGATCATTAACAAAGTTTATTTTAACAACAACTTTTGATATTAACAGTTCAACTACTAGATGAAGCAATTTATAACAGCACAACTACAACTACTAACTGCTGTTGGAACATCACAGTGTACTGCTACAGAAGATGAACTGTGACAGATGGCGTGACCTCACAGCTCTTACCCTTAAAAGCAGTTCTTTTAAGTTTCATGACAAATGTGAATAAAGGTGATGTGAGCACTAGTGATTATTAATTTGAAATTTTACTGCTGACACTTGAAGATGTCCAACTGCCTGTGCTTCCATAGCCAGTTATTGCTGCTTTTAGTGTTTACAGGTACTGATTTCAATCTGATCTGTTACAAGTTTTAGTATTAATTATTTTAAGTCTGTTTTGGAGAGTGTAGGCAGCTCTGTAAGTATACTTGTGCACTTCCCTTTATTCTTCTAACGAGATTATCTCTTAGAATATTTTTTTAAATATGATATTCAGTATAGTCTTAGTAGCTTAGATTAAACAGCTTCATACCCACCCCTAAAAAAAAAAAAAAAAATCAATTTATAGTTTTTTGATCAAGAACAGCCAGAACTATTTTTAAACATTAGGCATATCTGAAGACAATTACTTTATCTGAATTAGCAGTTAAGGTGTAGTTTAGTCTGATGCTGTGGTTTTATCTGCTTGAGTTTTTGAAGTGATGAAATCAGAGTTATACGGTATACTAAGATTTATAAGGTGATAATCTAAGTAAGGGTGCTGTGCTTTATATCTACAAGTGCAATATGCTTTTATGTAGCAGAAACTTTAATAATAATGTTGCTTGTAGTGAGATGTGCATGTGACAACTTGGGAAAAGGGATATTACAACTGGAGTGCAACAGTGTGTTTTTGTGTCTAGCAGAGTAAAATCTTTAAAGAGCTAAGATTAGACAGTCTAAAATAAATTGTCAGTATTCAGGAAACCCACCTTAAGCCCCTTTTGCATAAATAATGTTATGGAAATCAACTGCTATTGTAGAGAATTAAATAATGATTTTTTTTTTTAATATGTATTAACAAATACTACTCTTTTAACTTGAGGCTATTGAGTGAAAAATACTCAAATGTGGCATTTGAAGGAGTATCAGCATAAATCATGCTTACTGTAAGATTGCATTTTTAATTACCATACTTGGTAGAAATCAATGATGTCATAAGGCTAAGGCCTTTTATCACAGACAGGCTCAGAACTAAAAGATGTGTGCATATTTGGGTTTTTCTTAATTGGCTTCAGAATATTTTAATTACATTGGGTACCAGATCTTGAGAATTTCTCTCATATACTTCTGTTTGTTAAGGAACGTGAATAGCATATGGCACCCATTTGAGCTTGGCATATAGCACAGTTGTCAAATTTATCATAGACGTTAAGACAGATAAGCAATGTACTCTTCTTGTGTGTTTTATCTAAAAGCCAGTATGGCTTAGTGTGTAAATCTGTATTTAACTATTGAAAAATCCATTTATGAATGTATATAGCTTAGAACTAATTTTTTCCCTTTGTTAATCCTTTGATATCAATGAGATATAGTTCAGAAGATGTATGAACTGTTTGGTTGCATAAGGACTGTTATTATTTGGGCTGAAAATTGTTCACGGTCAGGGATTTTCCACTAAAATATTTACAGATATTCCTAATCACATACCAGTTTGGTTTCTTTTTGCTTTTTAAGCTTTCATTAGTCCATGTTCAGAACTTTAAAATAACCTTTGAATTTCTTAAACTTTTTATATCACTGGAACAGAAAGAGCATCTAAATTAAAGCTCCGAGCTAACTTTATTTTTTGAGTATTTCAAGAATTATACTTCTGAACTGAGATTTTATAAGTTGACTTTCTGCTGAGAACTTACATGAACTTCTTAAAATGTAATTTTGTAATGATGCAAACAGGTTGTTAATTGCAGTGTAATGACACTTGCAATTACAATATAAACTAATGCAAAAATTATTTAAATAGTGAAAAAGTAAACTTTGTATTCTGTACAGCTTTTTTAAATTAAGTTGCTGTAATTCACACTGCTGTGATGTAGGTACTGTAATGTGTGCCTTGTAAAATACATGTACTGTATGTTATATGGGAGAATAGGTATAATAACACTACAAAACTAGTAATTTGATACTGGTTGGTATTACCTAGGCTGAAGTGCTACATTTAGCAAAAAATTTTGGAAAAGGAAAAGGAATCACATCGGCAGGGACATGGCAATGGGTTCCAGAAGCTAGACCTTGAAAATGTGAATTACTACAAATAACTGTTGGTGGGGGGCGTTAGAACAAACTAAACTTTCTTGTATTAAGTGAAGATTTCTTACAGGTTTAATGTGAAATTGTGATTTAAACATTATGGGTTGTATTAATAGCTAAGGACATTCCAGCATATTAAACTTTGTGTATGAATTGTGCAATAAAGTTACTTTGGAAGAAATGTAAAAGTTCTTTTAAGCTTAAGGAATGTCTTGGCTTTAATACCACAAAAGTCTGAGAACTGGATTTTTATCTGAATACAATACCATTGTACAGGTGGTGTGGTCAGAAGTATGCCACTGTGAGTCAAAGGTCCCTTAAACTTTGAAGTGTGATATTAACAAGGTAGCTTAAATGCAGCTCTGCCAAAAAAGACTCACTCTGATACTTTTATTTTTCTTTTGTCAAATAAATTGGAACATTCCACAGTGATGGGAAAAATTAAACGAACAACTCTCCTTCTTAAAAGGACAGCATTGAGGAGTGTTTTTCTTTGGGGAAAGGATTTAATTTTTTTTCCAGAGAACTGTGATCTACCTTTTTCCCCAAGTTATGCCATGATGTTTCTGATAGTATTTTAAAGCTTAAGAATGCTAAGGTTTGGAGTATTCCTTCTCAGATTTTTCCTAGTTTTTGATAAGAATTGAAATATATAATTAATGTAACTGTTTCCTCTGTTTAGTTACTTGGTTTATCTGTTTGGATCTTTTGAAGCCAAGTGAAAAATGGGAGAGGAATTCATTAACAGTTCAGGAAATTAAAATTGGAAGACTTGGCAGTTGACACACACCAGGAGGTAGGTGTACTTGAGGAATTAACATGTTTATATTTACTAGGTTTTGGTTTTAGACACCATATTAATGTAATGTGCATGTTTCTTTTTCTAGTGGGAAATGGCATATTTAACTTAGATCTTTCCTTTAAAGAGAATTCTGTATATAGTGATAAAGGTTTTCTAATCCATATTCATTTCAGTTCTGGAAACAAGGCAACCAGTGAAATCTCTGCTGTAGGTTTGGACTGATCTATTAAAATTCCACCCCTGTGTAGTTCTGTGTGCCAAATGCATTATTTTTAGAAGGAATATCTTAGATGTGGTTCTTCGTGTCTTGCTGAATCCTGGAACAGTAGCCTCATCAGGGAGCCTTAAAGATGCTTGATATAAGTGGGAGCTGTATGTTAATCTGTTTGGCTTTAATTCTTGACACTGCATATACATAAGTCTTTAATTTTGTATCCACTAAACACACATGTTCTGTAATGGAAGTAATTATATTGTGACTAATATTACAGTAATCAGTTACTTTGGTTTTCTGTTGTTAAAGCACTCTTGAAGATGCTTTATCATAAGGTTTTATCCTCACCTGTTTTAGGTGGGTGAATGGAATTCTGCTTTCTTGTGTGTCTTAAAAATTAGTAATTTCAAGACTGCATTTTTTTTGTCATTTCTTCAGATGTTTGCTTCTAAGGCCTAGAATTTAACATATGGCAACATACTTTAGAGACTGAGCATTCTTCTGTTACTCCATGTAGCTGAAGCTAACCCCAGTGGGACAGTGTTCTTGTCCAGCAAGGGCAGGGTGTGGTCGCTAGATGATGTGTTTTGCTATGGACTAGCCATGTTCCAATTAATGTGATGTCTGTGAGGGATCTGACAACACATTCTACTTTTGTTTCTGAGCTGTCAGGATGTTAATTAGCAGATGATTGCCTATTGCTTACCTCACTAACCTAACTATGGATGTTGAAATATTAAACAGTAGGCATGGATCTTTTAGGCCTGAAATTATATAAAAAAAGTATTATCAGTTTTGTGAACTTGGATGGAACTTTTCCCAGTGTGTCTGGTGGAAAGAATAATACTACCCAACAGGTAATTAAATAAGCAGTCTTTTCTGGTTCAAAGTGCTTCTTAAAAATACAGGGTGTTTTTATGAATGAAGCTTAAATTACTCAGAAACGTGCCCTTCCGGAATTTGATTGTATGTGGAACAAGGTAGGGTTTTGATACAAGTCTATGCTTCCATGCTAATGTAGTTCCAACCCACTTTAACAGATCTTCCAAAAAACATTTTTTATGTGAGATGGTACCCCTTAGTCATGGTTAATGATTAATGGATTAGCAGTGTTGGTATCTCACTATCATATATATATATACACACTATTCTCTATGCTGCTTACCATTGATATTTAGTGCTTTGAGAGGTACGGGGGAGAAATACACATTCTTCAGTGACAGATGAATCTGTACTCTCGTGCTTCATGAGTGCTGCTTGTATACAGAAAGAGACACACATTTTAATATTAATCTAAAAATCTTTATTACATTTCCTACTGAAGGAAGTAATTAGTGTTAAAAATTTTTTCCTCCAAAGTCACCCTGACTGTAGCAGAATGTATATGTTGATATTAACTATTTATTTCAGTTTGTCACTTGTTGGCTTCTTAGTTGTGTTCTTTTTGTCAGATAAAGCTGCTCTTTGTACTGCTTAAATTGTTTTGACTCTGAGTGTCAGAAGTGCTTTCCTGCTCTAAAATTCAGGTGTTTTGACTCTCAGTTTAATATCAAGATGAGGCTCCAGTACAAGGAAGAGATGCCTTAACCCCGGATGAGCAGGGAACCAGGGCACCAAGAGACAGTGCGGGCAGCCCTGCACTACAGTTTCACTTCAGGAGTTAATGCCAGGTATTATGTTGTCACAAATCAGAACAGTTTTCATTAACACAATTGCTTTAAGTCAGGTAAGGCTTTAGCTCCTTCTCCTCAATATTGTTTATTATCTTCTCTATACGGTTTTTCTGTTTGTTTGTTTGTTTGTTTGTTTTTCAGTTTTCATGTAGTGATAGTCCTTAATTTTGGTTTAGTTTTCTATACTGCTAATAGTTTAATTGCCTAGGTTTTTAGTTCTACTTAAATGCAGATTCTGACCAGCTACGATTTTATTGAGGCATACACACACAAAAAGCCTCACCATATTCTTTTATAATGTATTTATTTGTGTAATGTTTAATGCTTCCACAAGAGGCAAAATATAAACATCATTTAACCCAGGCACAGAAAGATAAAGCAGTTTTTACAGACATCCCTCCCCCCCACCTTTTCCAGACTTAGATTTTAACTAGGCAAATAGAACAGAAAGGTTTAGCCACAAGTAAAGAACAATGATAGGAGAATATAAGGTAGCTCTGGGGTGAGAAAAATAATTGTATTATCCAGTGGCAGAGCAACATAAGTTTGCTAAGGTAACAGAATGGAAAGGCATCACTAGGAATTGTTCAGATAGACATGTCGTAAACATCAAATAACCATAATTAACCATTTTAGGTGAAAGTATAAAATGCTCTGAGCTAACAGATTTAAGGAAGTCTTGAATAATATTTGAACCTTAACACCAATGAAGAGAAAATAGGGTATTCTTCCATTCTGAAGCAACACCTGCAGTGATGCTGTGCTAGTCCCTTTCTAAGTAAAACACAAGCTGTTGTATAACCAGATTTGATTTCAGCCCCACTGGGGCGAGCAACTGCCCTGTCTTATATTTGAGTAAATATACCAGTAATTCAGCTATCAGTAACACTTCAACACTGGATCGACCCTTCATTACATACATATCCTAAAACTGCAAGGTTATTCTGAACAGCTATAAGTTAGAAAAAAAGTGCAACTTTAAAGCGACTTTAAAAAAAAGGTGAAGTTTAAGAACTGAACTTGAGAATCAGTAACCTTTGCCTCATTAAAAGATGACCAAAAGAGATGGAGTAGTGGAAGCTTGAAAGAATGTTGGTATGTTTCATCACCATTGGCTCAATTTATCCTTAAAAGCAGCACACAAGGAAGCACAGAAAGCAAAACTTGTGGTCATGGCCACTTGTGTGTTATTGTTATTACTGACAAAATCTCAATTACTGTCCATTAGCTGAATATTCAAATCCAGTTTTGATTTTTCTCTTTAATAAGAGCTACAGACGTACTAGAACCTGATGTGTTTGAGGTAAGGAAAGCTGAAAAGGTATTAAACATACACTAATTTGGTATAATGTTAAGAAAACTAAGAAAGAAATCTAAGTAACAACAAAAGCAGCACTAATAGCGATCTTCACATGAAACAACCTACGTAAAGCAATGTTTATCAGATGAAAACACACAATTGAAATTCTTCAAAACTAAGCATGTTGCGTATTTAGCCTGGACACAGATGCTTTTCTCAGGTAAATAATGTTGTGTTGATAACAATTCATCAGTAAGTTGTACTAATGAAAACAATAGATCTGCATTTTATGCATCTAAAATGCTTGAACCACTGTTTTCAGACTTCATCCTAAGAAAATTAGACTTCCCAGGCCTGATAACACATTCTAGGAGATGCTGAAGTTTCTAACAGTGAGGCCAACAGGCATTGTTGACTAAAAACTTTGGGCAAATTTATTCTATCGCACAGTTTCACACAATTTTTAGCTTCACAAGGAATACAAACTGGCACTTGTTGAACACTGCAGCCATTAGGCTAGGTCACTGAAGAGCCAGAGTCAAGTCTCCCACCGCTGGTCTGCAACCACATTTTGGATGAAGAACGTCTGCAATCACCACAGCTCCCGGCATGTGACACTGGCTAATGGTGAAGATGGCTGGATGGCCACAACTCTGCTCCAGTGCCTCTGTCTCCCTCAGAGCAGCCTTCGTTCCAGGCTGCTTCCTAAGGGTCTTTAGGTTTAATCTCTTTTATGGGGCCACACAGCTATCGGAGGTGATAGGGAATTCCTCCTTCCCTTACTTTGGTGCCATTTCCCTGCAATCACCATTCAGGACAGCAGGTACATTAAAAATATGTCCATATAGGTATTGCTTTTAACTGCCACAGCCTGACAACAGAATGTATGTCTTCAATGCATATATGCATTTATGCCATTAATGAGTTGGTTTGGTACTGGTGATGTCACCACTGCTACTTCTAGCTGCATTTACAAGGAAAAGCAAGACCTGATCAGTCCTTGAAAGGATGTAGGTGCCTAAGCCCCAGAAGGGCCTGGCTTAAGAAATACAAGTGGCACAAGACATCTGATATAGTAAAATATGCAGGGTTCTAGGTCTAGTGAGGCTTGATTGGCTAGTATTCATTACTTGCTTTTTCTGCATTAATTCTGAATTACTGTTCTAAGATGCCTAACCTCCCTATGTATTAGAGTAGATAGCCAGTTCTCTAACCACAGGCTCAAGATCCTAACTTAGGGACTACAGGCCTTCCAATTAAGTGGCGTAATGTTGGACTCAGAGACATCAACATCCTCTGCTACCCCTAGTCAAAAAAGGTGTGAAACTACATGCAACTTCTACGGTACATAGATGCTCTCATGTTACTGCCTTTAAATCTTTCCGAATGAGTAGTACTGTGTCTTAAGAAGGATGATCAAACAGAAAAAAAAGATTGAAAGTGATAAATATTCCAGTAGCTATATTTTACTAGCCACTCCATCCTAAATAAAGAGTTTAACATAACATGATTTGAAATGACATATTTCAAGTGGGCTAGCTTCTGTAGAAATAGACAGTTTGACTTCTCATTCAACTCTAATTGACTAAAATACAAACCAACACAAATGTGTAAAAAGATGTCAGAAGTAGGACCAGAACCCAGGTCTGGAGTTTCTACCACTGATTTGTAAGAACACTTCCTTTGTTCAAGTAAAAAATTTCTCTACATGCAACCAAAATTATCTGCATAAATTTCCAAGTGATTTGAACTGGCATATCCACATACTCCCATTACAAAGCAATAAAAAAGTGTTCTAGACTTTCAAGGCAAAGTTTTCATGATATAGTTAGACTCATTATTAAAATGTACAATAGTGATGATTTTGACACCATGTTTTCTACTTACTAGATTAAAAAGCATTAATCTGCTGTTCTTCACAGACATCCTATACAACAACAAAAAGTAATTCATTAGTCATTAAACAAGACTACCAGACTTTGTTTTGTCAGAACACCTTCCAGAATGAAAGGCTAGTCTATGCACTCCATACAAACTGTTAATGAATAAATGGTTAAACTTACAAGTGCTAAATGCCGTGATTGCTACTGAAACTATGAGGACAAACACCAGTGCATGTATACTGTCAGCATCTGCAGAATCCTGAGGTGCATATCACAGATGCACTACGGATATTGGCTGTTGTTTTCCAAGCTACAATATAGTGCACAGTTAAGACAGTATGAAACAAATATTACATGATTCTGAGTTTGCATTTTATATTTACAGCAATCTTACAAAGTCTAATGTTTGTAGAAACTGAAATTTTTCCAATGAGAATAATGCAGTGAAGGATAACAGCAAATGCTGTTTACCTTCCATAGATACTCTATTTTCCTCTTGTTCTGTTCAGCTGTGTCTTGGTAGCATCAAAGCAGATGATTCAATGTTAATTAGCATCTTACCCTGCTTAGGAGTGAAATGTTCTGGTTTCTTTGAGTTTATAACTACTTCGACAGAGTAGAAATCTCTTCTGTTCTCATAGCATCAGACAGGAAACTAAGTTCATTGCACAGTGTCTCGTACCTGAAGGCCATCCGGATCTGTGCAACATTTGTCTTTCGGATGTCATTTCCCTCAGGCCCTTCTTTACAGTAATTCACCCCTAAGAATTTCTGTTTTTCCTGTGAACAGGATTAAGCGTAAGAAGGAAGAAGTCAGTTCAACTGCTTTGATTTATTGTATAATTGATTATTTCTTAGTTGAATGACTCCAGTGCAAGTGAAAAGAGCAGCTTCAAACAGCTGGCCATTGAGCTTTACCTCAGAGTCTTAACCAGTTTTGGACATTTTAAGGCCAAAGTTTATAATTACTCAGCAGGCACTCTATCTGGTTTGCTAAAACCCTTTGTGCTAGTGTTAGGTCTTCACTACTACATCTTTCATGCGAGAGGTCAAAAAGAGGCTTAGGTTTCTTTTGTTAGTTAGTTAAATGATGCAAAAGAGGAAAATCAGTAGTTGTCACTAGAGAATACTGGAAGAAACAACGGAATATACTTGTAAAGCCCCTTCACATAGCAGCTCCTTGAGAAGAATGTTTGAAAGTGACATAGAAGAAAGGATACTCTGAAGTAACTCCTAGAGAAAGTCATGGATACATACAATTTTAAAGCCAGGGGGGAATTTAATCTAACCTGACTGCCTACCTAAACAGAATATTTTCTGTAGTATTCCCTTCCATGTAAAAACATTTCTTGTTTATGACAGGCAGTTTGTTTTTACTCAATGCAAGACATGATGTATAAAATTACTGGCAAAGGGCTACCACCCAAATAATGAAAGGTTTGGAACTGGAGGCAGAATTGAGTATAAACAGGCATCTGGTCTCTGCATGTTTTGGGAATTCCAAAACAAAGGTAATGATGAAAAATGTTAATACTTTTTTTAATGCAAGACTGTAGAGCAGATTGTGAATTTCTGGAAAAGAGGACAGGGATGTGCACAAATACATCACATAAACACCTACTATTCAATTGTCAGACTACTGACTTCTCAGTTCCTACTTGCCCTAATATTCAAAAAAAGATTTTTTTCAGCCACAATTACCTTATCTGACAATCCACTCTGTAGTACGCTGTTTCTTGCTATTTCACACAAGTCACAGGTACTGAGTTTCCACACCTGGGCTGCAATAGCATATTCTTCCATGAGAGCTTCCTGTATCACCAAAATACATTTAATGTTAAATTATATGTAAATAATATGTAAATGGAAATATGTACTCACTACTAATTGAGGAATTTATACATGCTCTTTGCATAGCTGTGAAAAATTAGAGGTTTTAGACTTTAACATCACAGTTACTAATAAACAGAATTGTTTATTTCAAATTTCCCAAAGGTGACTTAAATAATTAATAGGCACTGGGTATCCAGTTATCTTAGTCTCAGAAATTGCAGCCTGCAGTCCAGATCCTTAGAGGCATTTATTAGGCAATTTTAAATGAGATCCCAGGGTACATAAACACATTGGAGGATCTAGTTGTAAATCTTGAATGAATATGTACACAGATAGCAGGGCAATTTTTCACTTCTGACCTTCCACACACGGAGGCTGGGTCTGACTCTAGTGAGCTGTCACAGCTGAGGATCTTCCACACTACGTGTAAGTGGGCTGGTGTTGCGTTACACCCATGCAGAAATCCCCCACAGCAGCTCCCTGTCTTTCTAGCAGAGACATGTGGTGGGCCAGAAGCGAGCCTGGGTGAAGCACGCCTGAGCTCAGCCTGTCCTCAGGACACAGACAACTGAGCAACGTACAGGCCACTCTGAGGCACAGAATGACTCAGGACAGTGCCAACCACAAAATTGGGGCATCAAGACCAGTGACCGGGCAGTTCTGTCCTGCCAGGCCACGCAAGGGCAAGAATCAGTTTCAGTTTACTGAGCAAACAGCTCATACATCATCTTCAGAGATTCCACATCGTGTTTTTATAATGTATTTCCCCAGATTTATTAATAAGGAAACTGGACTTTCCTGGCACTCTAGAGGATTGTTTATGAAGGCTCAAACCTCCCTTCAGCCTCATCCTTCATTCTATACTTCAACAGCCAACACTGGAGAGGCAAGAGTACAAAAGAAACATAATTAGGAAATCAGACATTTCCCTCTGAAACCTAACAGTGAGTAGTAGACTGTAAATGAGGAAGAATAATGAATGAAGTGACTGAAAGACATGAAACTTTATATCCTAAGCGATGATATAAAACAGCTTTCAAATCATTCTGGGCCTTCGTGGTACTGTTACCAAATTCAAAGACAAGTGCTTTTTGCTATTCTTACCTTTGTATAATGAAACTGCATAGGATCATCTGTGGAGAGAGAGACATGAAGTCCTTTATGTAGAAATTCCCGTAGTGGATTTTTTGAGTACTCCAGGAACAGGCTATTGTTACTAAGTGGAGACATAGCAATGGGTATTTGTGCAAGATAATAAAGGTACTGGAGGACAGGACTCTGCAAAACAAAACACAATCAGCATTTAATGGTACTATGGGATAATGAAGAAAGAAAGAAGGGGTTTTGCCTTGGATAAAATGGAAACAGCATTACAGAGGGAAGACTAAGTTCCCCAAAATTAGGCTGACACTAAACTGACTTCTTTAGAAAATATATGTCTGAATTTTATATGTTGCTGATCTTTATAATTTACGTTCTTCAACATACATATCATGTTTTTAAAAATATGGTGACTAATATTACTATAGATTAGTAAGTATATATGACTATTAAGAGCACCCCATTTGATACTAACTGCATACCTTCCTGCAAAACCCAAAAGTCAAAGACAACAGACGTGTAAGAACTGCTAAGCAATTTGTCATTTTCAAAACTGCAGTCCAGTAGGTAAATTTTAGGAGTAGAAGTTTTAATTTATTACAATTCACGTGTTGCTGTTGCACATATCATTAATCTGTGGTCACCTCATCTTTATTACTATTTTTGGCTTAACCAGCCTGTGAACCTAAAAAGTCCCTTTATTATTACTGTCTGCTATGCCAGGTTATTGCACCAGGCTAAGCAGGAGAGAGTGAAGAGAATGCTTTGGTCACATACAGCCTTAGTACTACTCTGTCTGGGTCTAATTTTAGGAATTACTGGTTAAGAGCATAACATCAGACATTATTTTAGGCAAAATTTTTCTTTGGTCTTTTATATGTTGAAAAATACAGAGAGAATTTTACAGCATTAACCAGCAAATCCAACTTATAAGAGAACTTCTTCAAAAAAATTACAATAAACTCAGTGCAACTCTGCCACCCACTGACCAATTATTTTAATTACAAAACGGTGGCCTGGGGATGAGTTGTGTGATGGTTTCTATTAACTGATACACCAGGAATAACATTTGTCTTGTCATAACAATCAAGTTGTATATAAAATATTGCTGAGTTATACAGCTATATTAAATTTATTGATCAAGTGATCCCAGTTGCTCTAGATATAAATAATCAAAATCTTAATGAACCTCTCAATGAACCTTGAAGTACAGGGTTGCCAGTCAGGGAAAATTACCTTTGTCCCCATACAGAAGAAACTAGAGATTTCCTTAAATTCTTCTGGGACCTAAATCAGGAAGTAGTAACAAGTCTAAGCAGCTTCTTTCATGTAATTTTAGCTCTCCTTGGAGTAACCAAAAAACAGGAGCTGCCAAGTCCTTGACATATGTGAACTGTTCATCTTCCCTACAAAGACGTAGGTTTAAAATACTCACTTAGGAAAAGCTGTATTTTTGTGGCTTAAATAAGTAACAGGAAGTTCAGCTAAACTTATTTATTTCACAGAATCATAGAATGGTTTGGGTTGGAAGGGACCTTAAAGACCACCTAGTCCCCAACCCCACCTTCCCCCAGCCCAGGGTGCTCCCAGCCCCGTCCAACCTGGGCTTGAACCCTTCCAGGGAGGGGGCAGCCACAGCTGCTCTGGGCACCCTGTGCCAGTGTCTCGCCACCCTCACAGGAAAGAATTTCTTATGTCTAATCTAAATCTATCCTCTTTCAATTTAAAACCATTACTCCCTGCCCTATCCCTACACCACCTAACAAAGAGTCCCTTCTCCAGCTTTCCCATAGCCCCCTTAAGCACTGGGAGGCCGCTCTAAGGTCTCCCCAGATCCTTCTCTTCTCCAGGCTGAACCTCCCCAGCTCTCTCAGCCCGGCCTCCCAGGGGAGCTGCTCCAGCCCCCCGAGCATCTTCATGGCCTCCTCTGGCCCCGCTCGAGCAGGTCCGTGTCCTTCTGATGTTGGGGGCCCCAGAGCTGGACCCAGCACTGCAGGGGGGGTTTCTGATCAAAGTGAAGAATTACGTGTGCCTGGCTAAGAAAATCATTTTGGGCTGCCTAGATAAAGTCATTGTGATGACTGCTGTTTGAACCAGTGAATGATCTCTAAGCAGATTGTGATTAGTTTAGGTGACCAACCAAGCAATACCTTCTTCAAGAGCAATCCGTGAGAAATGTTGTCTGCTGTCAGAAAGGCTGATACAAGGTGTGTGATAGATCCAGCTTCTCCACAGTGAGGTCGAAACAGAAAAGTACACATGCCTCTTTCCCTGAGGAGATTAAAAGCAAGTTCTATTAGCAAAAAATGCACTGATCTTCATCTATTTCGTATATAAGAGTTTTACTGACTCACTGATGAATTGTGTCATCTCACCTAGCTGTGAAAAATATTTAATTATTATCTAGAGAGATTTTCAAACAGTAGTTGAAATGATCTTGAGGCAAAAACCAAAATGCGTAAATTCTGACAGAATCTCTGTCTTTGGAAAATAAAAAAATGTAGACTACAGAGAATGTAAGAAAGTCAGGAGAAAGGGATGACTTAGATGTTTGCTGTACTGCGTCTTTTCCCTTACAGAACTAAAACTAAGAACTAGGCCTGTTTATTGCAGGTACAAGGTAATTTGAGGTGGATGTTTTCATTATGAGTTTTGATTATATAGGGTGGTAGAAAAAGAAATGCTTGAGGTAGCAGTGGGAGAGAAGAAGTAACTTGGATAAGACCTGTTAAAATGACAAATCTGGGCACCTCCTGTAAGAAATACATTTTGCAAGTAATAACGAACCAAATCCTTGCAAGGTAAGTGATGACACCGTTAGTATCAATGGATAATCTCACCGTGCCTCAATCTGAGTCAGTTGTGCAGATCACTCAGTGTCAGCCACAAAGTCAGGAACATAACCTCAAGTTGAATTTCAGGCTTTACTGAGCCTGATGCCAAAATCTGCTTTTACAGACGTTATCTCACACTCAGTATCGTAACTCCCCACATTACTTGCCTAGACATTGGTCTCAAAAGTAGTAAACTGAATGAGTCAACAAGAATGCTAAAGTAAGTTAGTTAGATGTGCAGTTTATAATTATGTCCTCCTTTGTCTATCTGATAACAGCAGCAGCCCTTAAACCAGTATTTCACAACATAATTTTGTATCTTGTAAATTAACAGGCAATAGCAAGCTTCCAAGAGGTACATTATATTTGGAAATTCACTGTCAATGCAAATGAAGGTCAACAAATCAATTTTGTGGTGTTTCTTCTTTTGTTTGCTTTGATATATTCACCTTTAAGAAATTCACAAATGTCAAACCAAGATAATCTGATGCCTTTACAATTTCTAAGTATTTCATTTGAATTAATTTTGCATTTAATTTTTTCAAAATAACTCATGTATCCCTCTTGGACTATTTAAAATAATTCAAGATAACTTTTGCTTCTAAAGATGTATGATCTAGACACTGACTTAGATTGAGACCAAGAGTATTGATTTTTCTTTCTGAAAGTTTGTAAAATAAAAATGACTACTTGCCTCCTAAGGTTGTTCAGCAACATGATGTTCACATACATATAATACAAATAATAGCTATACGGGGGATTCTTCTCACTGGTCCAGAGGTCGGGGTTAAGGCTTTTATCAGAGAACATATGGCCACTGTGTTTGGATTCATCATCCACACTGTCAAAGCCAGTAACCTGGTGGCAAAAGAGATTCACAGAAATCAGTGTTTTCAAGAAGCAAACTTCAACATTACTTAGTCTTGCTTCAGGACTTCCAGACAAAGCATCTAGTTCTCTTTCTTCATTTCACTCCTTATGCTAGCAGTCCTGCTGCTCTGCCCTCCTACCATACCATGCAGACAGTAGGAATAATGTGTTTTCTCAAAGGAATTTTCAACCATTTTTTATTTCTGAGACAAATAGGAGGCCCAGGTACACAAAAGCCTTCAGATTTCCAGAGGGGGGAGAGGGGAAATAGAGAGGGGTCATAGGCCTGTAAGACTCTGTCAGATCCAGGTTATAATCCTTTGCTCTGTTATTTGAAAAGCAGCTGAGGGACAGAGGCTCCCAGGAAACCTCAGAGTTCTGATTTGGAGCATATTCAGAAATGCCTTTTTTAATCACATCCCAGCAGCTACATCCCCACCTCTCTCCTGAATCCCATCAGGATCTACACAATGCTTCCTTTCAGCTGCCTCCTTTCTGGAGGTCAGTCCCAGAAGCAAGCTCAAAGTACACACCCTGGATTACGATACTGCCTCTACACAAGAGCATGCAAACAGTTTTTGGTCATTCTTTATGGAAAGCATTACTGACAAGACAAATAAATAGCTGTTGAGCTGTTTCAGAGGAAATAAACGGCAACTATTTGACAACAGGACCTTACCCAGCTTTTATTAAATTTTATGTCAGGGCTTTAAAACAATAATACAAGTAATCCATGGAGAGGGAAGCTCTAGTGTCTGGAAACAGCTGTGGGCAAACAAAATTTATGAGGAGAGTATCCATTTCATGTGAGACAGAAAATTCAAATATACTTACATATTTGAGGAAAAGGTGCAATTCTCTGTGGTCTTTGGGGTTGATTGTTGCTTCAAACAAAGGTACAAAGATGTTCTCCAACATCTTCCCAAAACTAGGCAGAATATTTTTTGACCTAAATATGTCACTGAAGGGAAAAAATATACACAGTTGTGACCATTCTTTAATCAGCTTTTATTTTTCCTCCCCCTTCATATTTTCTGTTATTCCTGTATATTTTAGAGCTTCAGTTCTACCAGGATTCAGAAATTCAAAGTTTATGTTGGGGCAGGGATTGTCTCTATGCTCTGTTTCCTGCACTGCCTGGCACCTGCTTCATCCAGGCTTTGCTGAAGCTCCTGAGTGCTCCAAAAATAGTGACAGTATGCAGGGATAGATGCTCTCTCAAGAACAGCGACACCTTCCCTTACAGCAAGACAAGACTAATAGGGGAGATAAGGAATTACCTCTCGTGAAAGATGCCATTTTCCAAAGTTGTAACTACTCCAAATGAAAGTAGAACGTTCTGCTATAGTGAGCCTCTCAGAAAAGAGGGACAATACTTCAGTGTGTCATCAAGTGCATGACTTAATGGAAGTGTTGACTCCACTATGTACATAAGAAATTGCTACATAAGAAATGGAAAGAGAGAAACTTTCTCCCTAATGAGAAACACACTCTGGCGGATATATGCAACCATGACAGGTCTTTCTCTACTCGTATTCCAACTATGCAATTTCAAAACATGAAGCTCAGCTATTAAGGCTGACAAAATTATAACGGGAGACTGTATTAAAATATATGGTATTAGAAACAAAGAACCATTTAATAAAGTCCCAAAGGATGCTTAAAGAAAAACTGATAGTGATTGAATCTTGCAAATCAGCAATCTGGGCTGTGTTTCCAAGTTTGCTGTTATTTTGTCAATTGATCTTGAGGAAGTTTGATGGTAACAGTTTTACAGAACATTTTCTACTCCTTTATGGAATTCATGAGTTGATTTATTTTCAATAGTAAATTGTATTTTACCTTGCCTTTGAGTGCAGCTTAACTTCACCCAGTTGTAATTTTTGGTTTTAGGACCTTCAGACTTACAAATAATTCACAAAAGTTTTGAATAGCTTCATAAAGAGTAGATTCAAACCCCATCTCCTGTCTTACACCCCCAGACTTTCAGGAAAACCTCAACAATTGTCAAGAACAAATTTCCCAGACTGTTGCTTATAAATAGAACTAGAGGACAGCTCATAAACCATCTAAAAAATATCAAAAATTAAAACAAATCATTGGTATGATTTCAAATTGTTAAATTTACCAAGAGCTCCTGATTACTTACTAGATTCTGGGAACCTGAATTATCCAGCGCATATTAGGGGAATAAACTTTATGCTTAATGAACCATTTTGCCAAGTTCAGCCATTCATCTGGAGACCGTCCGTAAATGGATAAGCGGGGTTCTGTATACTGGTACTTACTTTCTTCTAGTTCACGGGCTACTTCCTATTAAGTAATAAATATATTTGCTTTAATATCGACACTGAAGATGACTTACAGCTAGTAGTATATTTATCATTTCATTTTCCTCAGACCAGATATAACTGTACTGTCACCCTTTAAAGATAAAGGGAATCTCTTGTCTCTTAATCCGTTCTTCTATTTTAGGCATCTAAATATTCTATTAGCAAGCTATCTTAGATATAATTTGGGTATAACTAACTGTAACACCTAGGTTTAGAGAACAATATTCTTGTGCCGTTATTGCTAACACCTTTGTAATACATATGTTTAAAATTGGTAAATCAGAATTATACTATTTAAACTGTAGTAAATTACTACATAAGATATGCAGACCAATGGAGACTCTGACCCAGAATCTGTGGTAGGAAGCAATTTTAAGGCTATTAATTTTAGACAAGCACTTCTATACATTTAAGAAGAGCTGACATCTAATTCATGAAAACTACTAATTCTTTTGCTGTAAGAAATTAATTTGAAGCCTGTGCATGCATGTGCAGGTACAGATTTACACAGAAGCACTTCCCTAGCAGCCACCACTAGCCAACTAGATCCTAACAAAATATTAATCCAGTGAATTGATCCTTGGCTGCCCTACACTAGTTTGAAACTGCATGCAGCTCTGCTCTGAACTCATACACAGCTTACGTGGATGAGCTTCTAACTCATAAAACCATTTAGAAAGTAGTAGTGGCTGCCTTAGCAGAGGTCTTCCTCTGATGAACTGCTAGAGCAATATTTAGAATCACTTAAACATAGTGTTAGATTCAATTATGACATCACAAATCTGTTACAAACCCTCATTTCCTTACAGCTGGAAAAGCTTGAAACTTATTTACCTTGACCATACGAGCAAAATATTCACCACCAATGTAGTTTTCAGTTTTCAAATACAAGTCCCTCAGCTCACTGGCACCAACTGGATTGTACTTGGAATTGAATTTGTCAAATCGATGAAATGTTTGACGACCCTAGAGGAGGAAAAAACCCAAACAACCATGATTTTAACCACACCTAATAGGTTATAAATTAAATTGCCTAGCAATAAAAGGCACAGAAAACCAAACGCCTATACTAACTTACTTCAAACATGACAAGTAATGCATGAGTTCAAATTGTAATTTAAGCAGTTATCATGCAAAAACTGTAGAAATCAGAATTTGACACTTAGAAAACTTAGCTTTTTCTTGTTTATTTTGTCATTTTAATAGACTTACCGCATGGACATCTAAAGAGTCTACAGTGAGGTCATAAGGGTCCATGTGAAGGCTTTCGAAGACTTGCTTTAAAGTCATCTTCTTGCCTTTTTTCTCTGCAACAATCCTGTCGGGCTCTGTTTGATAAGTGTGCTTAATAAACCTCAGTAAGTGTTTCTGGTTCATGCAAGCAGCAGCATGGATATGAGTATCAACCTGAAATCAAAAGGTTAGTCATGCTCATTGTCCATATACATAAACTTAAATTAGCACAGTACTTATGTCCGTGACAACTGACTAAAGCTTTCTAAAATACTCCTTAAGTAACAAATGGATTAGTGCCTAAGCAACTCAAAATGTTTCAGAACCCTGAAATTTGTGTTTGGATGAATTATTCAGTAAGGAGAACTATAAATAAAACAGCCCTCAATTAATCGTTTCCTATTAAGAAAATTTTCAACAAGTTAAGATACATTATAAGTGCCAATCACAGAATCTGGGTTCAGATTAAACTTGATACCTCCTTAAAGTACACACTGATCCTTTAGTATCCTTTTATTTCATCCATGAATCCATGATGTCTTTCTAGTTATAGACTGTAGTTACAACTATCCTCTCTGATTGAAAGGACCTGGAATTCTTAGTCATTTCCAAAAGCATAATTCATTTTTGTATTTCAGCCACATGAAACATCTTAGGTCACTAAAACTGCAAAATGTACATGAGAGATTTTGTCACTATTTTTTCCAAGTTTAATTAAAAAAAAAAAAAAAAAAGACAAGAACCAAATGGTTTCCCACAGGTATGCTTTTTTGCTCAGAAGCTTGAACTGAGCAGCATATATTAGAACACAATCCAAAGAAACAACTGATGAGATTTGGGTGTTTTCTTGTTGATTGAAGTTTTCCCTTCAGTACATATAATTCCTTAGATGCCTCCAGCAGGTACATAAAATGAATCTGTTGCCGTTCCATGCAGTCAGCTGTTTATTATCTTAAATACACCGATAAAGAATAAAAGAAAACGAGGTATTTTCCCCAACTACTTCTTGTTTGAAAGGGCAGGTAATAATAATTGCAGTTCCTATGGATCAAGTACATGAAAGGGAAGAATAGGCCTTAGCTAGGATAATGGCCTTAAGGAATCTAACAGCACAGCAATATCCAGTGGGTCCATTTGCTTTGAATACCCTTGAGAATTTCCTTGAGAAATTCTGATTGAACAACAAAACAGCCTAATGCATGTCCTAGGCAAAACAATGAAATTACTCTACCAACTAATTCCTATCAATTTAAAACCAAACCAAACCACTGTTCTCATCAGATATCACAGTTGACACCTAATGAGCCCAACGGCCCTAGGGACAGCTTGAGAGATTCTGAAATCGCCTTCAAGTCCAGACTGTCAAATCCTAGCAGAAGCAGTTTCAGCTCACCCAGAATCCGCAGTGCTGCAGCCTGTCTGCTAAGCTTCCCATTTCCCTCCAGCCCAGGCACTGCCTGGACAGGGATGGCCGTGAGCACAGGGATGTGGTCAGAAGCAATTGCCAACTTCACTATTTCTAAAATTTGCCTTGTGCACCAGCTGCCTGGTACTGGAGACAAGTTTTACAAGACCCACTGGCAGAATGGTTCTGCAGAAGGAAGTAAGATAGTCGGTTTGTAATACAAGTTTCAAGATGATACATGACAAGGACGGGATGGTTCAAACAATAAGTCTAAAAAGCACCAAACAGTACTGTCCTATACATCGGTAGGAGATGGTTTGGAATTATTACAAGTAACACTTTACCATGAAGCCTTATGTGAAACTGTAGTGGAAAGGGCTGCTCTAACTTCTCAGTAAGAAAGAAGCTTCAAAGCAGAAATAAAAAATCATCTTGCTTCTGCACAACACTGGTAATGCAGCTGTCAGAATGCACCCAGTTTTGCTGTCCACATTTAAAGGTTTAAACAAACCAAATACTGACAACATTCCCAAGAAATGTCACAAAAGGAAATAGGAGCTGGAAAACCCACACCACCACGTGATTGTAAAAATTAAACTTATTTGGCTTTCAAGATGCAATTTGAGAATTAATTTGATCAACTGTATACAGCTATTTGTACATCCAAAAGAGATCGTGAGGCGGAGAGGGGGCTTTTCAATATCACAAGCAATGACATAACAAGATCTGAAGGTTGGATGCTGATATTAGATACAAGTTTCTAAAGATACTACGTTGCAACAATATGAACCCACTGCATTGTGCTTTCTAAAATACAAGTAACTAGCACTCCCAGGGACACACTCCCAACAACAGCCGTGTAGCCTGTATGCAGGAAGTCACACTAGAAGGCATTCTCAGATGAGGAGAGTGACCTATAAGGAGTCACTGAACCGACATCTCTGCAAGGACTCTCATCCCGGACTCTTCCGTCCAGGAAACTGCAAATACGGACACGTACAGTGCGAGTCCATTGCATTCCCCTTTGTGTAGTGACTCTGTCTGCAGCTTTCAGACTCCGGCAACAGAAGCAATTGACAACCTGAGCTACTTTTCAGATCAGTAGAGGAAACATCACAGAGCACCTGAGTACGTAACAGCTGTACTCCTGCAATGTAAACCTAAGCTTATGCTATGACATACAGTCCACAGAAATGCCACTCTATTACTTGGCAGATGTAGTAATTTAATTTACAGTTTATACATACAGGAGGTGTTGCAGCCTTATAAGGGTACATCTGTCTCCATGTGAATGTTTTAATAGCATAACTAAAGACCAGAATATAAACTGAATCCTAAACATTAACATTTAATTGTTAATCACTGCCTAGTTCAAACATGCTAGACTCTTTAAAGCTAAATGAAAAAGCAAGAAACATATTACTGTCTTGAAGTACACAACATGAAGTATATTACTAATGCACAGTAAACAATGCTGTGTCTAAAATAGTAAAAATAGCTCTACTTAACATATTATTACACTCCTCAGAGTACTTCTATAGACATTTGAACCCAAGTGTATTATACATATGCTTACTCAGTTGAATAATCATCTTCTGGTTTAGAAACAAATATTGTTTACTGTAAACTCTTCCTGGACCAGTGAAATGCTACAAACTACTGCGTTTGGTCAACTTATATGGGAGAGTGAAATTACAGTTAATAGATGCTCTATAAACTCTAAACATTCAGGAAAAGCAAGTCATAAGCACAGAAAACCAGCTGTAGGGAAACTGAGAAGTGTAGTTTATTGAATTTCAGAATGCACTAGTTACAGTGGTGGCTCAGCTACTGGAATTAATGAGTCTTGGGAAAACAAAACAAAACAAAACAAAACAAAAACAACAACCAAACAAACAACAAAAAAAACCAGACCAAAACAAACAACAACAAAACAAAACACTTCCCCTTTATTTAAATCAGCATGAACTCACTACTGTTAGGAGGGAAAGGACAGAAAGCAAGGAGACATTTTGTTTCTTTTGTTTGCTTGTATGTAAGGATCAGATGGCACAGTAGTAATTGCATTTCTTTTAAGGTCCTGCTTCTCTCAAGTGTGTCTCTGCACTTCAGTAAGCTCCTGTGAAATCTTCTCTAGTCTTCACAAGCGTATCACACATTGCTCTATAGCTGAGCTAACCATGTCAGGCTTATTCTCTAAGAACTGAGATCTCACTTGTTTTTTTTTTTCTCCTCCAAGAGTAAAAAGACTTTTCTAGAGTCTCTTTCAAGCTTTTTCCAGAGAATATGCAGTACTTTGGTTACCTTTTTTAACTACTCTGTATATATTTACTTTTAGGCAAGCATCAACTTCAATAACAAAAAAAGTCTTATAGAGTATCACACAGCATTTTCTTCATTGTTTTTAGAAGCAATGCAACTTTTTGGAAGGTTTTAATGACTTGAGCTTTCACCTACCCTAGCACATTATTAGCGTGTATGCTTTTGTATATTTTCACAATTCAGGGTGCAGTCCTATCTAAACAAAGCATCTAAATACATAATCCTTAGACACATCTTATATGGTTTTTGTTAGCGATATTATTATTATTTATATATTATAATTAATAATTAGAATCATTTATTATTATTTCTTAATAATTACTAATGTTATCATGCTAAGAAATTGTTACTAATTTAATTGTTATTTATTATGAAAGGCATCTACTAAAAGACTTTGAAGAGATTGAGTGCATGTAAAGGTGACAAATGCCCCCTTTGCCTCCTCCCTCCCTTGCAAAAAGACAAAACCAGTCTCATTTTAAGCTGTTATTATTTTGTTCTTCATACAATATATGAAGTAGGCTGAGGCTTTTCTGGGCCATGAGCAACAAGCCCCTACCATAAGGTCTATTTGCATCTATTTGCAAACAATCTGCTGGTATTTCCAGATTAGATACAATGTCACTCCAACCCAGTATTTCCCTTAGTGGAAAAAAACCCCAGTGTGCCCTTAGCCAAATTTCTTGTCCCAGTTGTTACTCTCCCCTCCCCAAAGGAGGAAACCTTTTATTCAAGGTCACATTAATCTTCAATGAAAAGAAGAAACACAATGACTGACAGAGGCCTGTCCTGGACCACACAATATGCCTTCAGTGAACTCGCCTTTTTAAGAAATTAAAACAACTGTTAACACAAAGGTTTCCTTAATTCTTTTAATTCCATCATTTTATTCAAGCAATGGCAGACATCAGTTTTCTTGCAATTAAAGGATGGTAGAATTCCCTTCACTTGGCAATTCTCCATGGAATGAAGCCAGGCTGTCTTCCTCTGCACCTTCTCAGTTCAGGCTAGCTCTTTCCTTTCCTTATTGACCTGACCACCCATGCCATTTTGTCTGCAGGCTTTGGGGATGAAATGCATGCACCTCTCAGTCAAGATAGTTACCTCTGTGTACAACTCACAGCTTGAAGGAGTTACCATTGCCCTCGAAATCACATCTCACCAGCACCAACTTCCCTAAACTACTCGGCCTCCCTCAGCTTCCTGCATTGCTTCTCTTTCCTCCCATTGTCTCACAAAACATCCACCTCAGATCTATTTTATGGATGCTTATCCATGCATCAGAAATAGTGTTGCACTGAATTAGGTATATGCTCCAGATTCAGAGAAATAAGTGACAAATACAGCAAAAACAAATGCCAAGGACAGCCCTTTTAATGATACTGAACTTTTCCAGTACATAGATTAGCAGTATCCACAGCTGCAAACTACCTGATTTTCTAAACACATGCACTTTAACTCATAAGTACTTCTACCCCAATAGCTATGGGCTTCATGAACTTGACACTAAATCTGCTGCAGCCTTTACTTCAATGCTGGATTGAAGGGAAATCATTCCACATCCCACTGCTAGATTCACGGCTCACCAATGTATTCCTGCTGCATTAGCTTTTCAGATAGGATGCAACAGCTCTATACAATGAGCTTGATTCTCTCCTTTCAGCTCTGTAATAAGCATGAGAGGCAGAAGACACAAAATACTCTGCTCTAGGGCAGTGCAGTAATGCTCCTGGCAGCCAAAATAATCCCTAGAGCTGGGCAGAGCCCCTCAGGAGCTTGTCCAATTCATACTTATGTCATCCAGAGCAACCCAGAAACCAGGAGAGACAGGAGATGTGAATCCCTGTGTCTCCAGCTTCCTGTTTGGCTGTACTCATTGCAAAACAGACAGCATCAAGCCCCTGTATTCAGATGAACACAGAAATACACTGCTGTGAAGAGAAACAAATTTCTCTGTTCTTCAAAATACTAAAAGAAAGGACAGAGTAAAAGCTTGGTTTATGGTCTCTACAGAATTTTTGCAGTATAATGGCTGATGGCTTTCTGACATCATTTTGTGCTCACTTGCAAGACTGAGGGCAGACTCAAGAATTTACCTCAGCATCTCTGCAAGATAGGAGGGGAGGAGTAGTATGCACAGTGCTTTGAAAGCACAAAACACAACTTTACTGCCAGTTAACAGTGGTGAGGCACCATTACATGTAATGCTAAAAGAGGTGCACAGAGGCATTCCTGTCCTTTGAATCTGATGCTAACCCATAACCCGTAAGTGTTCCCATTCACTATCAACTTTTCTTTGTATGATTAAATTTCAGCACTGAAGTCTGTAAGTAGCTACTGGAGGAAAAGAAAAATAAAGGAAAAGAAAGAAGCAACCTCAGAATGAATCAAAGTTCAGGAAAGTTAAGGTATAGATTCACTGTTAACTCAAAAGTCTTTTAATCATACATTTAAAAAGCAGACATCTGTTTTTCATTATTTTGTGAGATCTAGAGAACTGGGAAGTATATAACCCAGTCTAACTTCCTTTCTTACAAGTAAGAAGTGGTATTTCAACCCTGTGGTCATAACCAAAAGCTAGAATTTACATCCTTTTTGTCTAACCAATACTTTAAAAACAAACAAAAATATTAAAATAAAATCAGTTGCAACAGTCTAGACCAAATGGTATGTCACAGCAGCAACCAGCTATTGCACACGGAATGCATTAGGGCTGTGTAAGCCACTCTAGAAACTGTGTTCTCCCATGCTGTTATGCTGGCCTGAGCCAAAGCTCTGCTGCCACACAAGTCTAGGAACCTGAGCTAGTGAGTCTGTAGGCAGAAGAATATGATGTGTAAAAGTCACTGATATGACATATCCTCAGGTTTGTTTTGCTGACACACTAAAATAATGGCTGAAGGGAGAAAGAATATGGAAGGGGGCTTAAGCTGTCATTTTTTCATCTTTAGAAAACTGTATCAAAGCTATATGCAGTAAAGGACACCTGCCAATGCAGTACATAGGTATACATCATAAAGGTAGCAAATAAATATTAGGTAAGTGAATATCTTGGCTTCACCTTTGGAAAAACAAAAAAAAAGGCAACAACCTCCCCCCTAGAAAGAGGAACAGAGACAAAACGAAGTTCCTAATAACAAGAACAGCTCCAAGACCAAAAAAGTAAAACAATATTCAGGTGTGGGCCCTTTACTTCAAAGGTGTATTTCAGCTAAAAAACTGAAGTATCCCTTCTGAATTATCTGAGGCTGTTTGGCACAGTGGTCTATTGGAAGCTCCGCTCAAAAAACCTCACATACTTGCTTTGGAAGGCAAGATACCCTAAAACACAAAGGCTAAAACTTAGTTCTGAGTTTGTGTGCCGTAATAAGAGCTAAACTCTTATTATTTAATTTCATTCTTAATGAAGTCAACCCAGGAGTTATGTGGAGAATCTGTGTTGACTGTACTTTGCTATGCATCAGCTGGAGAACGTGGGAGAGCGCTGCTGACAGCATACTCAAGAGTCTTCTCTAAAGTCAGCGTTCTCTTACACAGACAGTTGTCCATCTCCTTGGCAAGCCAAGCGGAGCCTGCCACATTATCTTACCACCTGTGGATTCTTGTCTGTCTAGAGAAGTATTTGTCTGGTTATTAAAGGATAATTTTCCAGTTCCAGCTTGACCAGTGCAAAACATGTTTGGTTGCATTCTGGTTAAGTCCAATATATAAGATATACACATACATTTCCCTTATTTAATAGGAGCCTTATCTTGGGATTTATTAAATAGGTGATCTTACTGGAGGAGAGCTCCTATTAAACCAGGAAAAAACAAGGGCAGAAATGGGACAAGGAGAAGGGGAAAAAAAACCAGTAACCTTTGATTGTCATGCCAGCAAATAATGCTGGCCAGCCTTCTACTGTACCTTTCTAAATGCAGTAATACATGTGCACTGACTGACCTTACGACTACACTCATAACTGTTTTAATGCTGGCATTTTCCATCAGTTACTTTGGCTCTTTTATATAAGAAAACAGATTGTACCAGGATCTCCACACTAATGTCTGAGGGATGTAACAGACAACTTCACTAACAGCTCTTTTGGGAGGTGAATCTTACTTCTTGCTTTTCTCATGAGCCATAGGCACTGTTTAGGATTGACTAACAGAGAGACATCCTTAAAATACAGGCTCTAGAAGTGTCTGTTTCGTGTTGTAAGTTTCACTGGTGTTACTGTTACTAGGGAGGAAGCACTTCAGGGAAGTTACAGATCCAAACATCACTTGGGTTACCAAGACAAGGAAAACAAGATTGCTTAGGGGCTTACAGGAACTCTAACTACAATGCAGTTTACTTGCCATAGAGAGCTTCATAAAAATACTTCTTTAAGCAAGGTTAACTCTGTGTAGCAAGAATTTTTAAAGCAATAACTAGCAGTAGGAATGATCTCTGCGAGAGAGGAGCAAGCTTGTTCCTGCTGTCTTGAATTTGGGTATTGCTGGAGGGGAAATGATGCACGTTTTGTCCTTTTGAGTATTAATTCATTTGTAGATGGGTTTATTTAATAGTAGAAAATTAGAAAATAATTAAGATATGCCAAATTACATTGAACATTTGCTTTTAAATCAAACGCTGAACTTAGCAAGTACAATCCTGTTAATTACAGCTTCTTAGTAATCAAATTGACTGTCTAGGCAGTTGCCTGATCCACACCTCTGTCCTTCACACCTCTCAGTCACCATGTGTTTTATTATTAATGTCTCTGCCAGCTAGTGAAGTGTTTTATCTGAATGTGGCATGGAGTAAATAACTTGTCCGTGGTTATGCAAGAAAACTGTCAAGTTGGGAGTCAGATCTCTACCATTGGAGTCCTGCTTGAGCTAACAGATCCTCCTGTCCCTACAGTTATCAGATAAAAGTGTGAAATATAATTTACTTAACAAGCCATCTGCTTCTAGCCTTGTGATAGACAGGGGTATATTCATCAAACACTTTTGTTTAGCAGAGTTTGTATTTGACAATTTATTACCAAAACAGTAGCAAACATTCAGTTGCCAGCACACTGGACACCATAAGGAAAAGTCAAAAGGACTTTCTGGTGTACTAGCACTAACTAAAACATAACAAGGATTAAGGTATTGATCTAAACCCAGAAATTACAAAATAAGGACTACCTCTTCCAGTTGCGTACAGAAACAATGCAAAATGCACCTGAAGTGGTTAAAACCACCACCAGCAATTACTGACTGCTTTGTGAAGAAATGTCACCTATCAAACTGAAGCATTATCTTTCCACTAACTTCCTCTCAACTTCAGGAAAGGGAAGCAGACAAAGAAGCATAACACTGTTGCTTCCATGCTTTGAAGAAAAAGCAGCTCCCTTGGGTGTGAATACATCAGGATATGAAATCAGCTTCTTGATTCCCCTACCTGTCTCCTAATCACATCCCAGCATACCTGAGAGGCGGCTAAGAATATAACTCAAATAACAATCTTTTTACTTAATATTTCACAGGCATTTTTTACCAGATACAGATGGCAGCATAAACCCTCAGTTCAGTTTCTGTAGGAGTTCTTTCTTCTTTTGACATGTATTTAAACACCTATTTTCAATATGAAGTGCACTATTTACCAAAAATCTATACAGCTGTTCCTACTACAGTCTAGTATGACTTACCTACATGAGAAAAGGAAAATGCATTTGACTGTCCTTAAGTGAATTAAAATTAATTAAACCATGTGGATATATTTATTCATAATCCGAGTAAGTTTCACTTGATTAACTCTGTTTCGCTCCTTTAAAGCAATCTACCTAAAACTAAGCCCCTTTGATGATAAATAAATAAACAGATGAGTTTAGCATAATCCATTTAACCCACTTACACCCAAGTTAATTTTCCTGGAGTGTTCCCATGTAGAATAATTTGAATATTCTTAAAGTAACAATTCATTTGAGTGGTATGCACACAGCACTTCATGCATATTACCAACACTTCACACAACAAAAGCAAAACTGCTGGAACTCCTACTAGAAACAAAGCCATGCCTTTAATCCTTTTCACACTTACCTTTCTCACATTATAGAAGTCTCGATGTGGATTACTCTTTAGTTCTTTAAATTCTGACATTTCATTTAACATCTCATGTAAACTAAATTTAGATTCTAAAAAGTTAAGCCTCCGATGACAATATGTTTTTCTGTAAAAGAAAACACAATCATCATCTGTAACTTAAAATTATTTGTATTTCAAATTCAGAAAGAACTTGAAAGTTTTCAGAGTAAAAACAAGTATTTTTATAAAGACCAAGACAAATCCTTTTTTTTATCCTACCAGTTAACAAATATGTAAGTCAATATCCAATATTATTTTAGACCAAAGTTATTAGTGAAACCTCAAACAGAACTCTACATAGCTGTTACGTCCTTTAAATTGTCCAAGTACTTATCTCTGTTTCTGTGCATAAACTGCAGTTCTTTTAATAATGATGACCAAAGAAAGCATAAAACCTATAATAAAATGTGCTGTCAATTGCTATTACTCTGAAACTATATCTCCAATGGAGCAGATCACCTCATATATGAGAAACAACCTGTAATCCAAACTTACCCACTGTGAAAATACTAGAAAAAAAAAATTCCCCAAAGTTTGCTTTTTCAATGTGAATATAGGAAGCCAAGACAAGGTCTGATACTTTCATTTTTTATGCCTTAAAAACACATATATTGTATAGAAATACTTTTTTTTTCCAAAATAATTTTCTGTGCTTTTAGAAAAATCATGCTTTTTTGTTCCTGCTTGCCTACTCCGTCTTCACTTTCATCTTCTGTTATGTTTCTCATTCTATTTTTAACCAAGGACATGTTTTTTCTCTTCACCATCTGTCAATTCTTATTGAATCTACAGTATTTTTGGAACGCTATTAATGTAATAGACTTTTTTTGTTGACAACCTCTCCTCAGTGGGACACAAATTCCATTACAGACTTCAAACTCTAATTCAAACACAGTCTCACTATATTTGATACTGATCAAAACCCACGTGCCTGCTGCAGGAAGTCTTTGTTGGGTTATACTATTATTCAACAGGCCAGAAAACTGAGGAGTAGGGGTATGATTTCACCAGTTTAAGAACAGAAAAGATTAAAGAACAATAGGTTCTTGAATTCCAAGCAGCCCCATATGTAGTAGACATAAATGCTAGGAAAGCACTTGCTGCAAACGGGAAAACACCACCATATGAAGACCTTATGCAACAGGATTACTGCAAAGACTTCCACCTTCGGGTTTGCATGTGTTCGTTAGCGAGTGTGAATCAGCCCGCAAAAACTTAATCTGAAGTGAAAGGAGCAGATGACTGCTCCTATATTCACAAAGGTGCTGAGTGTTCTAGCATGTCCTACAAAGGCCCTTCTTTCTTGTGGCCTGCTGATAAAGACTGTTAACAAAATCTGCAAAAAGAAGCGTCTTCAGTATGACTTTTGTTTCAAGTTTTTCCTCCTTGTCCTTTAATCTTCCCAGTATCTCTCTTGGAATATAACATACTGAAACCGGAAATGCATTTACCCATAGCATACTGTAAACAATCATACTAAAGCTAGCTTTGATTTGGAGCAGGAGTGCTGGTTATGCTGACAGAAGCATAGGCCTTTGCTCCTGAAAAAGTTCTTTGGGAATGGGACAGTTCTGTTCAGCCCACCTGCTTTGCCACTATCACTGCGCAAAGCAGACGGATTGTGGAGCGGGTGTCAGACAGAGACACAAAGGGAAAAGAATGCCATCAGGTGTGACTAACTTGTCATAGTGTAAGTGATGATCTCAAAGGCAGAAGGACTAGGAATGAAGTGCTGGCAGGCAGGACAAATAGCTCAGAACAGTCCAGGTTCCCACTTTGTTCCATTCTAGGGTGGATTAATTCCCTTTCCTGGTGTTGAGGCCGTAAGAAACCTTGATATTTCCAGTCCTCAGCTGGAAAGTAAACTTGAAAACTGGATGCACGTGTTTGTTATGCACTGGGCAAGGACACTGCCTTGTCATGACTGTGCCAGTGACCGTACTAAAGTTGTTATAGTTCTGGTTTTTAGAGATTTCCCAGGAATTTGATGGTTCTCAGAAGTTTCAGACTTATTTTCATTGTGCATGTGTGGATCAGTTTTGCAGCACATGAGCAGTTAACTGACATGTGGATCAAGTCAGACAAAATATTTATGTTGCTGAGCTGTTCTGTATGCTCTACATATGCAGGGTTTCTCTTCATGCAGCAAGAGCAGAACAGACATGAAAGAATTCGACAACTGTTCAAAAACCTCAAATTCAGCATAGACCAAAACAAAATAAAAAAGGTGAGGTTCAAGTTTCAGTTCCCATGCCTCAAGAAGTTTGGGTCAGATTTTACTTGAATGGGAACATTTGGCCAATTTCATGCTTTTCTGTTGACTGCTTCAGTTTGCCATGGTTGATGAAAAGAAATTAAATATAGCCATATGTGGTTTTGTTTGGTTGTTTTTTTTTCCTTTTTCCCCCCCCCTCTAGTTTTTCCATGATACATTAATCCTCAAGAAGGGCAAAACAAAATATTACTGTAGAATGCGTATGTTGGGGAGTTAAATATCACAAAAGTGAGAAGTATTAAAGGTAATCAGCAGCCTGAAGGGGCAGAGAAGAAAAAGAGAAACATACGTTGGACCATCTGCAATTAGAGCAAGAACATGGCTCAGGTCAAGGGTATAGGTCTCCAGGTCAGGATATGGCAGACTTCGAGGCTCATTGAGTTCCATCATTTCTTTGTTATCATAAACAAAGGGAATGCCACCTTTTATCTTGATAACATAATCCAAATTGTCTGGAGCATCATCAAGATTGTAAGGATCTTCATTTTCTTCTGGGGGTGAATGGAAATCTGGAAATAAATGTGCATTACATTTAGAATAACTAACTTACACAAAAGACAAAATAATTACAAAAATTATTTTCTGCTTCTATTATGCCTTGTTTCTAAAAGATGTTAATATTTTCATTAAATTAATATTTTCAGTTACCATAGAAGATCTGTTGCTACAAGACAGCTTTATTCTGACAGGCTTTAACTGCAGACCCTCTCCAAGCTAAGTGCCTACCTTAATTCAAATATTATACATTACTAGAATTCTCTGAACCCATGTATAATTAGATTTAATACTTTTTTTAATAGCATATAATGGCACAAGTTTCAAAATAAGTTTCCAGAAATATTTAAATTAGGATGATTGAAAGTACAGTTGAGATTTTTGAACAATGAAACAGTTGTTGACATCATACCCATCTTCATTATTGTCTTTTCACCTTCTGACTCACTGCGGTAACTCTGGAAGTTTGTATTTAAGCAGAGTAATTCAGCTGTTCTCATATTGAAACATCAGTCAGAAAAGAACAGGCTGTCCCTTACTTCTTCACCTCTGCCCTTCCCACAATCCCATGAGCTAGACTAGTGCATACATACTAGGACTGTTTCTTCTATCAACAGTAGAGGAAATGGTAGAGCAGGAAATAATTTAAGACTCAGTGCTTCTCCCTCTGCCCAATGCAGTGGTTGGTTTGTAGTTTTTTTGCGGGGTTTGGTTGGTCTTGTGTTTTGATTGCTTGTTTTGGGCTTTTTATTAAAACTCCTTATGTTTAGTTGGTTTTGAATAGAATGAAGAAGAGCAGAAGCCAGAGATAGTACAACACAACTCTAGTTTTCCCCTTAGCCTTCTGATCATGACTGAAATCAGAAAGCACCAGAAGCATGGTTTGGATTTGTTCAGTACAATTTTGTAATCCCTTTACAAAATTACAATTTTTTTTTTTCCTGAGAAACACGTAAACACACATACTTCTGGGAGACTCAGCTTATGTGAACACTGGAACATTATACTAGTAAATGTTCATCGCTTCTTTTACAATACCTTGCTAATGCAACTAGAATAAAATAAGCATCTCAACTACATTTCTGTCAACTGAACTACGTTCTTGGGCTCAGTCTTATCACTGAGACTTCTTATACCTGTTCAGTTAAGCAAAGGCAGAAAAAGCAATTAACCAGTCCTTTTATTCACCTAGAGCACCTGAATGTATGTTCTAAACTGATACCATTATCTCCAATATTTGTAACTATCCAGCTCTAACTTGTGCAATGAGATTTTATTGTTTATGACAAAGTTTAAAATCATAATTGTAAAAAGTTAGTTCCAAGCTATTAATAGGTTAATAGCTCCCTGGCAGCTGTTCCAAAGTATCTTTCCTGTCTTGAATAATCGGTATACTGTCCTTCTTACACTCTCTTATAGAAGAGACACTTGAAAACATGTTAATTCACCCTCTTTCAACCACTGAGCTAGAGGGTAATTGATTTAAAATGCCGTTTTACGGCTGAGAATACATTGCCAGCAACATCTATATTGGCACATATCTACAGACTAAAGGTTGCTTCTTACAGGCTAATCCAAAAACTAGCAGTGCAAACAGTTCAATGCACAAACAAAGCTTTCAAGACACAACCCACCAAAGTGACAAGTATCATTTGTGATACATATAGCAGGGAATATGTTCAACCTAATAAGCCTTGTTGAGAGATCAGGGTTTATTAACCCAGGCAAAATGCCCAACAAATATGACTACACGGCTTCCAGTCTTGACCTGGTGAATGCACCATGCCTGTGAAATTACTGACTCATGTCTTGTTAACTGGCATGTCTCTATCATGCTTTAATTTAGTGTAAATGAGCTCCCTTTTATTTCAGCATGCCAAGATCAGGAGGCATGACTTTAAACTATCTCCCATATATCTTTTTCCTGGAGGAACACAAGTGTACTACATACCATCCTTTTTGCTGAAAAAAAAACAAAAAAAAAAAAAAAAAAAAAACAAAAAAAAACCCACAAACCAAAACATCAGTGAGTGTCTAATATGGGATTTTTAGCTTTTGACAGCTTCAAAGTTTCATATTAGAGACAGGATTTACAATTTAGGTCCATCAGTGATTCTCCACCACTTACTAACAGAATACGTTACATAGGCAAAGACATCAGAAGAGATGATCACAAAAATCCAACTTATCTTTACTACAGCAGTGCATGTGTTTAATTCTAGGTTTTAAAAAGAAGAACAAGGATATTCACCTGGACACACTTCATCTTCAACCTTCCATTTTTCATCTTGCATGCTACACAAATACTGAGATGTTATTCTTGGGAAGCGATGATAGGCAAGACGTGAATACTTTTCTCGAATGAGAAGAGCTTTCACCAGGCTCTTGGCAGCTTGTTCATAATCATCAACTGTAACCTGAAAGGAAAGCCTGAATAAATATTGACAAAAACAAAACAGCAGTTTCAGCAACAAATCGAATCCCCACCAGTAGCAAGGAGACTGAATTTCCAGAAATATATGTGGCTTGACCACAAGGATCTTACCCAAGGTCTCAAGGAAGCCAGTGACAGATGCAGAGTCCAAATACAGTATGCAAAACACCCACACAATTTTTTTTTCCCTACCATATATTACAAATTTATTTAATGCCTGGTTATGTTTTTATCTATTCAATTTATTTTTTATGATAAATATTATAAAATGACCTGACCTTGACTTCAACTCTTCCACAAATCAACGTGTTCACAAAGCAATTCACAGTTTGTTGCAGAGAGCCATAATATACTGTCCTTTCATACTGTATATACATTAGCTACTTGTGGTTTGGGATTCCCTCCTGCCTTCCCTGCCAAACACAGAAGAAAGCAGAAAAAAATGGTTTCTTACCCCTGCACAGTAGTCCCCACTAATTGAAACTCTCTGAAACTCTGGTACATCGTATGGCACTTGGACTGGCAGAAAAGCACTTGGAAGAACTGGCGTTGCAGGAGACAGAATGGGATTGGCTGATGGTGCCTTCCATTCCTGAGATGGAATTTGTAATGACAAAGACTGGGATCTAATCATCTTGAAACTTTTCTTCCTATGAATTCATGGTATAAAGCATAAAACATTAAATACACTGGAAAACTGACTACAGCAAAGAAACCACTCCCTAATAAATTTTACAAATTAAATCTCTTATGCTACAGGAAAAAACCTGGGGACAAAATATTTGTCCTTTTAGCTTTTTCTCTATTGACGTTTCACATGATATATGCTACACACAGTCACACTTACCTTCCACAAGAATACAAATATGCCACGATTTATTTACAGCAACTGTAAGATGCCTTTAGGTTTGTTTTGTTTCACTACTTACAAATTCGGTTTCAGCAAGTCACCATACAGAAGGAAAATGTGATTGCAATGCTTACTTTAGTAGGAGTTGATTCTTCAAGACTGGTAGCATCAGAAGTCACGATGTATCAGACAGAAACAAGTGAATGTTATGTATGGTAAGCTATTATAAGTTACCATGCTACTACACATACTTTTCATTCTTCCCAAAACATGCAGGATTTAAAAACTCATCTAGTTGTCAGACAAGACTATGCATCAGAATTTCATATATAGTCATTCGGTTAAACTTGTAAGAAAAAGGATGAGCACAGTTATTCCTTGGGCAGTATTTGATGAGACCTGAGTAAAAGGCTAATGTTGGTTATCAAAGTAATAACATAGCATGGCTTTGATATGCAAGTCATTCCTCCCTTCAAGGCACTAAACGGCTAACCTCCATACATTTAAAAACTTTTGCCCTTTCTCAGCAAAACTGCAATAGATATGCACATATGACAAACCAGCTAAAAAAGAACACTGTATTTTCCAGTGAAGTAATTGTAATACCTCAAGTGAAGTTTCAGAATATCTCTGAAGATTTAATTGGTTTTCCTTACACAGTTTACATCCATTTAAATGTATTTTAAATATTCATATAATAATGTTATAAACTACCTGTGATAACACTTTCTTTTGTGCACCGTGGAAATACTCCCTCGTTTTATAAACTAGATGCCAAAACCTTCAAATGTTATTAAGAACCACTGACAGAGAAAAAGGAATACTGGAATACTCTCTGGAAGTTGCGTATTACTTCTGTGACATTCTGAAGAATAAGAACATGCAGTGTTGGTACGATTAATAACCTATGACCAAATTTCATGTTCTCTTAAGTAATTGTAGCCATCTCTGAAATCAGTATGAAATTCCTGAAAGGCAGTGTTGGATCAACTGCAACTGAAAAACAACAGAAGTTTTACTCATGTAACTGTCCTTGAACTACACTTCAGTCCTGCAGGACAGGGATGAATACTTGTTCTGTTCCCACATGTACACAACACACATATAACATCCCACTTTCCACAGTTAAACTTGTACAAAACTTAAGATACAGTTTGACAGAATGCATTTTTAGAAGACAATTTCCCAAATTAAAAGTGAAACTTGCTAGTTCAGGAGGAAACATATACCAAATAGTCGTTTGAATGAAACATCTGGTTTTCCCTCCTGTGCTTGTTTATGTCTATAAATATGCCAACTGAGAAACCCACTTGCACAATTCAAAACCAAAAGTCTCAGCCTGTATCATCAGCACATCGTACCGTAATTTAACTGAATTGACTCTTCTCCCTGCTGTTCCACAGATATGATGCCCAGCACTGCCCACCTGATTGTCTGCAGCTATCTGGGTACATGTGTTTAGCTATCACTTTCAAAGGATTCCTTGTTCTCCTGTTTTGTGAAGGGTATGTACACATCCAAGTCACTTGGTGTTAGACCGCTGCTAAGCTCACGCAATTTCAGGAAATAGCCTAGCCAGTCCACTGATGTTATGATACTGAAACAACCTGACATCAGGTTGAGGCCACCTCTCTCACAGAAGAAAACAAATCATGTTTGGCTTCATTAGATTCACGGACAAACTGAACGTGGACTGTACTTTTTGAGTTTTCTCAAAAAAAAAAAAAAAAAAAAAATCAATGTGTACTTTTATGGTTGATAGTGGTTAGATTTTTATCTCTGAATTAAGAAAACCTACAAATTACCTCATTATGCCAATACCACTTTTCACCTTCTCCCTTGATGTTAAATGTCTTTACTTTCATCTATTTTTACAGAAACTAGAAGTATCATACCACTGTCATTTTCTCTGTGTTAAAATTTTCTGTGTCTCTGAATGCAGCTAGAATAAAAGGGAAGGGCAAGAATGTGTTTCTTCTTCTGACTGTTTTTACATTAAAAAGTCTTAGGGTTGTGCCCACTTCTACTCAACTATGCTGTTTGTTAAACCTACGTAAGCAATTATCTATGCTATTGCTGGAAACGCAGTTGAGACCACCTCACCAATCCAAGCTCCCTAGGGCCCATCCCCACACCTTCTGCATAGCATGGAAGGATACAGAGGTGCCCTTGGTACCTGATGTTGACCTTTCTCCTGAAGTAACAGTAGGCAGAATGTTATTTGTAATTTCAGGTTTCAAAATGAGTTTGAGTTAACACTGTTTTCCACTAAGAAAGCAACTACTCCTCAACAAACCTTTTAGCTGTTTCCACAGACTGTTGTTCTGCCAGTTCCTTCTGCAGTTCCCTTTCTTTGGCCTCCTTCTGCCCAATAGGGCAGTCCTCAGGCACGGTGAATAGTGACAAGGCATCTTTGCTGTCTTCTTCTCGGAGAACTTTAGCAAATACCTTCTCTGCTAGAAGTCGCACATGCTCATCGACCTCAGAGATGTTCAGCTTTGGAAACTGTCTGGGCATCTCGGCTAAAAAGGAAAACAGTTGACAAAGTTGTAACTACAAGAAGAATAATGATGTGTGGAGAGACTGGGTTTTTTTCATGGTATGCCTATTAAAATTAAAAGCCTAGAACAAAAGCAGAATAAAGTAGAATTGCTACACAGAATTTAAACTAATATACAGTACACAAGAAACACAGGCATCCACAGAGCAACTTCACTTGTGGAGCCATACCACTCTGTGAATCAGGAACTTCTTGGTATATTAATGAAAATTTGTAACATACATATGTATAGATTTGCCAGTAGATTCCACTTACCTTGCAACATCAGATAGACTATTATTTGCAGTATAGTGTATACTTAGCTGTATGTACGTGCACTGAACTTGGAAACCATATTCACTCAGTTGCCTGCCTTCTTCCCTGCTCAGTGACTTCAATTCTAGAGCCACAAGCAAGTTAGAAAAGAAGGTTGCACATTTCTACCTCACGGCACCCTTTCGACAAATAAGAAAGTCATGGAACTGCTGTGAAGTAAAATGGTTGCACAACAGGAGCAAATGTGGTATAGTTAACTTAGTGACTTCTCCCCCTGTTTGTTTTCAGTAGTTCATATCCTGCTTTTGAATTGTATGTGGGAAGCAGATAGGATATGGACCTTAATTTCTACTTGGCATTTAAATATTCTTTTTCCAAAAAATGTAAGTATAAAACATATTTTTTATTTGAGTAGCCTTTCATCACAAAATATTTCCATTTTGTTAGAGCAGCACTACTGAAAATACTATCTTTAGTGTTTCTTCTGTAGTTTCATGGCTTTATATTTCATTCTCATACAATCCAAAAGGTGAATTTCTGACACACCTGGTAGCATTCTGGAGAAGAAAAAAGATACAGTGCTTGTAAGCTACTGACCAGCATTATTTGTTATGTACTATAAAGCTTTTTGAATGCCTTCAGTATGATGGAGTTTGTAACAAATAAGATTACATTCTTATTACATAAGTTATAAATAGCAATGAACATGTCACAACAAATGGATCCAAGCACTTCCAGAATGTGAAGTCTGGGTCCAAAACTGACATTTCAGAATATTTTTTTGTTACAAAAATGCAAACATATCAGAAGGTATTCATTTAAATAACAATGTATGCTCATAGTCAGCATGGAGCATGGCAGTTTTTAATCACTCCAGACACAACTTATCAGGGCCCCCATTACAGTATTTCTGTAGGCATGCTGCAAATTTCACATGTTGACACGTGATCCGTTTGATATGTGATCCTGTTGTTTTCAGCCTAAAAGATTCTAATTAATGTCCACCTGTTTTCACAGTTGCTTTGATAACAGTATTGCTTTTATTCTAAAAGCGAATATAGTATGAAAAGGTGACAAGACATATATTGGACCATAACATAGAAATTTAGCCTTCATCTACATTATTTTGCATTCTTATTTTGTAAGAACCAATTCACAGTGCAGTAGAAAAATGCCAATGGTTTTAAAGAACTGTGGCTCTGACTCAATGCAGTTTTTCTGCCTGGAGAGTATTTGTTTTGCAATCAGTATCAAGTCTTCATAAAATCAAGTGTAACTACATAAGAATATAAAGATACATATTTAGCTGAATGAGTCAGTGACAATGCACTACAATGTCTTAGAAGCATCCAAACTTAGATTCGGTTTCTCAATTTCAAACCTCAACGAAGTCATGGGAGTCTTTCCACTGACCTCAATGAACACAGTTGTCAGCAGTAGTAACTGCCATACAGTTGCCAGCAACAAGGGCCTGTGGGCCACTTCAGCCAGGCAAGAACAATCTTTTTAGTTATTAGACTATAGTAAGTGCTAACAATAATAGTAAAATGTGGAATAATGTGTTTCTTCTGCTGCTAAATCAGCAATTAAAATATTTTTAGTACTAGCTGACTAGTACAGGAAAAATCAATTGGCTGTATGTTTATCAGCAGCTGAGCATTTTCCTAATGTAAATTAACTTTTTCATAGATAATTGTGATCAGAAACAGAAATTCAATAGGAAATACACTACATGAAAAACTACACTGTATTTTAAATCATTACACTAAGAGTCAGAATGTATAGCTACGAGTACAACCCTCTACTGTGACCAAAGGTTTTTTTTCTTTCTTACAGAACCTCATCTCACGTTCGCCACTCAAGTGAACCAGAAACTAAGGCACAAAACACTTTGAAAGGTAGGTTCACCCACATCACTGCTAGCTTATGTCACAGGAATGAGTTTAATAAACCTAAAATAGTCATGTGGCACTTCATGCAGTACTCATGCAAGCTGTGCCATTCCCCAGCTAGAACAGGGATGAGGATGTTGTATCCAGTACCCTTCCACAGAATGCTGTCCTTTAGCCAAGGTGAGCAACAGCTAGACATCTTAATGGATGAGGAGGGGGTATGAATACCATTCAGCAACCAGCAAATCCTCCCACAGGATGCTGCTTGAGCTGCTCTTCAGTTCTACACCTTTGTGGAATAAAGCTATTTCTCTTGAAACACGCTGCATATAAAATGATGGATCGAATATTTAAAAGGCAGTTATTGATCAGGAATGTAATGGGCTTGAATATGGAACGAGCACACGCCATGAAAACAACCGCCGCTGCCGCCGCCCCCAGCCCCCCGCGGGCGGGCACTGCCGGCAGCGCCGCCGGGAGCAGGTGGGGCAGCGCCGGCCGCGGGAGCCCCGGGCCCGGGCCCGTCCCCGCCGGGGCGGCGGCCAAGGTCACCACCAGCCCGGCAGGGCGCTGCCTCCTGCCTCAGCACTTACCTACCGCCCCGGGGAAAGCCATGCCGGGGCAGGGCCGGGCCCCGCCACCGGCGCTCCCGCCGGCCGGGAACGCTCCGTCAGGAGCCGCCAGCAGAGGAGGAGGAGGAGGCGGCGGCGGGAGGAGCCGCCCCCGCCAGATGCCGCCGCTCCGCTCTGCTCTGCCGCATTCACCCGCCGGCCAGCCGCCCCGCTACCGCAGTGCCACGCCGCCCCTTCCCCGGCCCTTTATGGCCGCCGCGGCCCCCGGGCGGAGGAGCCAGCTCGCCGCGCCCCCGGCCCCGCCAGAGCGGCCGGCTACCCCCTGGGCGGCAGCACGGCAGCGCGGGGCGGCCCCGCAGCAGGTGGAAGAAGGGCGCCGAGGTGGGGGGAGGTGGCAGGCGCGGGGTGCAGCCTCCCCCCCCCCCGGGCGGAGCGCCAGCCACCGAGGTGACCCCCGCCTCGCTGCGCCGCCCTGCCCTGGCGCGGGGGGCGAGCGGCGCCAGCAGCCGTTAACGGTCGCCCTGCCGGAGCGGGGCGGGGCGCGCGCGGTCCGTACCTCCGTGAGGAGACGCCCGCCCGCAGCGGCGGGGCTGGTGCTGGGGGCAGGAGGCGGCCGCCGCTTCGAGCGCTGTCCGGCGCCGCTCGCCCCCTCGGCTGCACCTGAGGCTCGGCCGGAAAGCCTTCCTCCCCCGCGCCGCGGCGGCCCCTTCCTCTTCGGAGGCTTCAAGACAGAAGTCGCGCTGTCACATGGCTCCTGGCCGCCGTGGGAGGGAGCTCCCCGGGCGCGCCGCCCCGGCCCGGCCCGGCCCGGCCCCGGCCCCGGCCCCGGCCCCGGCCCACTTCAGCTGCGGGGTGGCTGGGACGGGGTGTGCCGGCATTAGTTTTGATGTCGAAAACTTTGGTTCGAGACTAGAACGTCGTGAGGCTTGTGCACAGATGACACCCGATAAGTAAGTCTGCTGACGATGTATCCCTATCCAGAAGTGTTTTCAGCAATGTCTGTTCTTCAGTGTAGCGACAGGGTTCAGGTGCACATATATATTAAGAAACAAAACAAATATCCCACCATCTCACCGGCAAAAGAGCCCACGACAAATAACTGAAGGTCAGAACAAGCGTGACTCAGCAGGAATGAGGATCTTTGTATGTAAAATAATTTTACCTTATTTTGAGAGTTTCTGGGCCCTGAAGCAGAAAGGTTTAGGGGTGTTTAGAGTAAGTTCGGGTTACAATACTTGGAGTCTAATCTGAAGACATCTAAATATAAAAGTATCTACAGTGTAGGGAAGCACTGGGAATGTAGCAACTGAAGACCAAGGTCCTTTGTGTAGAAAGATGAGTAAAGGTAGAGCTCCCAAAACATGGTGGATCAGGTAGTTCTGGGGCAAGTGAGTTGACCCTGCTGTGTCCTCCCAACTCAGTAAACAAAGAAATGCTCCCATCATAAACCTCAGGGCTTTTTGGCTGCAGAAATTCCTTTACTTCACTCAGCTGGTGAAGAAATGGAAGTGAAAAGAAAGTAGATGACCACACAAAATTTTAATTGCAAAAAAAGAGTTGCAAAAGTTTGCAAAGTCTGTGTTGCAAAGACAACCAGATATTTTGACTCTCACACTAGTAACAACATGATCACATTCATGTGCTCATAAAAAAGCTAAGAATTATGGCCACAACTGTTGTATGAGACGTACCAATCCAAAGCATTTGAAAATGAGTCATCCATCCAAAATAATAATAAAAAAATAATTTCTTTTAAAATAATAATATTTTAAAAAAATAGACATTGTTCCTTAGCTTGGAAAAAAAGGCTTATGCTGCGTGTGCATGTTTCTCCCACAGTAACTCTGAATGTCTTCATCAGCTGCTGCCAGGCTACACCCAGACAAGCCATCTGGCACCCAGGAAACTGCATACTGTAAGTGTCTGTAAGTCTGACTCATGGTTGCCCTGCCCACATGATATATGAGTAAAGGACACCTGTTGCTGCTGGCCATTCAGTACACCCATTGATTGCTGATCTGTTAGTCCTGCTTCCTTCCTCCTGTTCCACATGTCCTTCTCCCAACCACTTGTCTGAACTTGCCCAAACTTGCTTGCTTCCCATTATGGAGTTTGCCTGACAGTTTGGGCTTCTTAGTGGCCCTCTAATCATAATTGTGCTCTGTCTGCTGGACTCAGATATCCCACAGCTTTTTGGATTCCTCTTCTCAGTTTGGCAAATGGGTCTTCCCTCCACACTTGATTTTATTTTTCTTCTAACTATGGTAAAGAGTCTGGAAGAGTTCCCACTTGTTCTGTTGCTGACTTTCTACCAACCACAATGAAAAAAATAACAGTCTCAAAGATAACTGAGTTTCTACCATTTTCTTGCGTATAAACAGGCTGCTCTGTATGCCCCAAGTGAAGAAAACATTGCACTGTGAGTTCATATTTTATGAAGGCCAGAGAATTCACACAGAAGGGAGACCTTAAAAATGCCTTAACAAAGAAAAAGCTTCTATGACCACTGATGTGCAAATACATAAGGACGTAGGACACTTGTTCTAGGTGACCATGACTATTTAAATTAGCTTTCCTTTTCTAAGAAGTTGGAAACCTTTAAAGGAAAATCGAGACCGTAACTTAGTAAATGCATCTATAGTAACTGAAGTATTAAGTACTATTGCAAGATCTGTAATAATGTCAGGATGGATTGTAAGAATAGGGTGATGGTAATAAATTAACAAGGAAATACTTCTCTCACATTTTGCAGAAGCAATTACTAGGTTCAGTTATTTTACAAACTGTTGAAAACGTACATTTGACTAGTGGATCCAGTTTCATGTCCCACCTCTGCTCTCATAATGAAACAACAATGAAATAGCATATTTTCAACAGTAGATGTTGTACACTTCCATTAGCATCTGTAAAACACAAAGCATTAAACTTTGCATCCAGATTTAGAGCACCCCAGTGATGTCAGTCAACACCTTGTTAAACACTTGCCACCTGGCAAGAAGTCTTTCTGCCAGTCCAGTTTGTGGGTACTTTATATTTTTATACACCATGTTGAAAGTAGTGCAAGAGTCTCGAGAGTTAATTTAAATAGTCTGATTCCTGTTGTACAATGTCAGTACTTTCTGAAGATATCTAGGTTTTGATTCACTTCTTTTGTGTAGCAAGCAGTAGTTTCCTCAGGTAAATTTTGCACTGTGTAAAAATGTATTTCTTTTTATCTTTTTAATTTTATACAAAAAAAAAAAAGTTATTCCCTTCCTTTTACCACAAAGTTACAACTGTTTATGTTTCTTGATAATATTTTTTTAAATTCATTATTTCTATTATGCCTTCAGCTTTCTTTAAGCCCTACTTTAGAGAGTATTCTTTTGGTGACGATAGTAAACTCAGGATTATTCCAGTGCATGTGGTATTTGGACTGCTCTTTTGCAGTCAGTCTATTTTAACAAGAGGAAATGCAATGAAAGTTTTAAACATTTACTTGCATGTCAACATCTACTGAGGAATGGAATAAGATAAAGAAAACCCTAAATATACATCTGTATTATTAATACTTATTTTTAGAAACGGACAAATCTTGTCTGGGAGATAATTAAAGCTGGAATGCATATTCATCGAAATTAGGAAATGGTCTCTCATTCTCACTTGAAATTGTTTCAGTTGTTATACTGCTTTAATTTGAACAATACATTAAAAACTAATGGCTTTTGAATTACTTTTTTAAACTAGATTGATATTACTGACTATGGTACTGATAACAACAAAACAACTAATGGATCAAATGAAATATTTTAATCTATGACATATCCATTAATGGCATCCAAGCAATATTAGACCTAGTACTCACTTTTCTGATCTTCAATCAGTTCAGTTAATGATATGCTTGGCACACATGCATTTACTTGCGGAAGAGTAACTGGTATTCCAACAGCCAAAAACCACAATAAATAAAGTCATCTCCAATAGCCGGAGGGGATGTCTGTGCCAAATGTGAAAGATAATTGAATTGCATTATCAAATACTCTCTCCTAGAAAGGAAGAATGTGTCAACTTTTTAAACAAAACAATAGATGAAAATTGTAATCATTCAAAAAGGGAGAAAATTATTCCACTAAGTGATTGAAATGATACGAAGCAAATCATACCTGTGTGTTTATAAAGTCAGCAAATCAAAAAGCATCATCTTTTTTACCCACTGCTTTTCAAAAAGCTTGTGGAAATTAATTGGCCATATGAGTATTAAGTCCTGCATTTGAATTAGACCCAGTTAAGAACTCTTTATACAGATGATTTGGTCTTTCTCAGTATTCATTTGAACTAGAATTCATAAATCTAAAAGTTTGGTTCCTACTCTAAATATAAGCAGCAAATGTAGATTGCTCAAGGCCATTCCAGAAAGTATGCAAGAGGGTCAACGAGGAGGAGAACTTTGATTAGGCCAATTTCTTACAAACTCCATCTTGGATAGTTGTCATGTTTGGAATATGTACATATAAGATATAACTATGTTTGTGTAAAATGCAACATTTTTTGAAAATTATTTGCACTAACACTAGAACTGATAGTAAGTTTGGAATCCTGTTTCTTCTTTTTTTCAGTCAAGTGACGTTCTCCTTTCTGAAGGGAATCCTGTGAGTATAATTTTCCTGCAATATATTATTATAAAATAAAATACATATAACATGCAAATATAAATCTGATTGTTTAAAAACTGAAATGGAGGTGGGAACTATAGAAATTACAAAAGGATGTGGCTGTTCAGTCACTGCTTTTAAAATAAACTAGGAAAGTATCTGTACAGTCCTAATAATCCGAGTCTGAAATAACAGTTTTCCATGAGTTTATAAATGGAATATACTGTAATACTTTGTTGCACAAGAAAGGTTTACAAGCAAGATGGGACACTTTGGTGTGTTTGGAATTGTAATCTGTCATTTGGATATTTTGGAAAGCTTTCTTTCCAGCCAGTTGGCAAATTCTTTGCTGGCATCTACTAACTGCCTTGCTCAGTCACAGCAGCCATGTAGAAATGCTAGCTTAAAGCCAGTTTATGTCAAACCTACTTAGCTTGGGCTTTGCAGGTATTTACCCTTGATGGAAGACTGCCTTGCTCTGACATTATACATAATTTATCTGAAACTCTGTAGCTGTTCTAAGAAGGAGAGATCTGACGTTATTGGACAAACCTGTATATGGAGGTGAAAGGCCTTTAATCTGATTTATAAAAAGAATTTTATGAAAGTTATATTTCACATCTGTTATGTGATATGCAGATAACCACCATTCTGATGTAGAATGCTATATTACTCAGCTTTGTTTTAAGAGGAATTTTATTTGCTTGGAATGCACATAAAATGAAATTTTCAGCAAGCAACAGTCTAATAAAATAGATATCGCCAGTGCATGATAAATAATGAAACAGTGTAATTACAGCTCACAAAGGGGAACTCTGGTCTATTTTGGAAACCCCTAAAA